AACCATAAAATTATTTTCGTTGCTACTCCGTAACTGTCATTTTGCTACTGTTATGAAGTGGGCGACCCACAGGTTGAGAACCACTGCTCTAAAGAATTAGAATACTCTGTGTGGGGGGGTAATTTTGGATTTGATGTAAAGAAGAATTTTTTTTGTATTGCTGTTAAAGCCTGAGATGTGGGGGGAAAAAAGTATAAAATCGGTTTAGGGGGGGGGGAAATCGGTTTAGGGGGTGCTATGGACATTGGACTGCTGATCTCAAAGTCAGTGGTTCAAATCATCCGCTACTCTGTAGCAGAAATATTAGTGAAGTTTCTGGTAAAGGTTTACAACTTCAGTAAATCTTACATAAGGCTGCTATGGTTGGAATTGATGACACAGGATGGGGGTGGGGAGATGTTGGTTAAAAATTTTTTTAAGACCAGAATACCTATGGAATGATACATGTATTAACGTCCAGTTAAAAATTTAAAGATCTTTTAAAAAGATCAGATTACCTTTATCTGTAAACATTATTGAACATCTCACTCACTAACAATGGTTTGAGTAAGGCATTATCTACTTACTCCCGCAGTGGATGGATGAGATGGGATAGAAGACACTGTAGTCTGTTGGGTAGCAACTGAAGATGACCGCTGTTGTGGGAGCTCTGTGGTTTTTGCATGTTTATAAACTGAAGGGAAAGAGAAAGCAGTTTAAAGCGAGCCAATGTCCCTGCACATCATTTGATCTGTGTTTAGCAGCTGAGCAGTGTTATTTTCTCCATAGCTTAAGAATAATTTCCACAAAGTGTCCCTCCACCATTCTAATGGTCTCATTAGAAGAGAGGACCCGTATACATTTTATTTAACTCAGAGGACTCTGTAGTGAGCATCAGTGAGACTGGCAATGTTTACCCCATTTGAAGTTGTACCTGTGGATGTCGCGTTGAAGAAGACACCGCCGTCACTGTAGGTGGAGAGATGGTGGTCAGCAGCTTCAGAGTGCTCAGACTTCTCCTCTCCCCCACTGATGCTCAGGGCACTGGCAGATCCGGATCGTGAGTGCTCCCGGCTCCTGCGCTGAGCTTGTACTGGGAAAGAGGATTGAAAGGCAGAGGCAAGCATTACCTCCTGGAAGTTTGGAGATTTGAGGCTCCTCAGAGGTGGCAGAGAAGGGCCTCGGGGCTTATTTCCAAAATAATCATCATTGAAACCCCCAGGGAGCACAGTTTACCCTGAGATGTAGGGGCTTGGAATTGTCAGGGTGGCCCCTGGTTGGTTGATCATGCTTAATGAATCCTCAGTTCATGTTCAGCCAAGCATACTTTTAAGTGGATTTCCATGGAACAAATGATAGTGGGGGAGGAAGCATTAAAGAACTAGAGGAATATTGTGTGTTTCGTCAGTGCTATACTGCACTCTGGCTGACTCATCCACAATTCTAATAAGAATATGATTATCGTCCTCAGTACAGCGAGGGTACAAACCCAAGGGTATGTTCTTTCTACACTATCCACTTTCCCACCTTAGTATAATGAACACAAAATATTCCCATTCAAACTTCACCTTATCCTTCCGGGTCCTAGCTTTCGGATAGATACATGAAGCTCCTCTCCTGGGTTCACTGAAGAGCATGAGCAGACCTTTGAACTACGCGTGTCAGGGTACTGTAACCTTACCTGCTAGAAGCAGCGGTTCTCAACCAGTGGGTCGCATCCCCTTTCGGGGTCAAATGACCCTTTCACAGGGGTTGCCCAATTCATAACAGTGGCAAAGTTACAGTTATGAAGTAGCAATGAAAATTTTATGGTTGGGGTCACCACCACATGAGGAACTGTATGAAAGGGTTGCAGCATTAGGAAGGTTGAAAACCACTGCTAGATTATGAGCGCTCTGAGCACTTTTATTTTACTTTTTAACATAAAGGTTTGTGTGTAGACTTATTGAATGAATACAGGACCTTTTTCCTGACCCCAGAGAGGTCAGGAATTAACTAAAGGTCAAATTCATTCTCTTGTAGGTCTGTATTTCCCATTACTTCCCCAATAGAAAGGTTTATAACTGTTTTTAATTGAAGTGGGGGTGGGGGGTGGATAATAAGGGGGCCTGGAGGAGACATGCACTGAGGTATGAAATAAGTCTTTCTCTAACTTGTGTAGAAAATGCCGCTTTGCCCTCTGGTCAACTAGATGTTCTGTTTTGAATGGGAGACTTGGAAAACGGAAAGCTCTGGAGGCACGGACGTCTTTGGTGCTAGCCCACTAAAAGGGGAAGCCGATGTCCATCCGCAGCCTAACATACCATTGGCCATGTGTAAGCTTCGAGACTGAATGTTGTCTTCCGCTGGGTCGTAGTCAAACACGGAGCCTGGATTAGTACGCCAGACGCGCAGGCCTGAAAGAGAAGCTAAGCATCAGAGCAGGTGGCTCCTGGGCCCTTCCCATCACCTGTAGGCCAAGTTGTTTACACACCAAATGGAGGACTGAATAGAACGTATCATCTCAGTCCCCACTCCACGAAGCAAAAGGTAAAAATAAAAAGGTAGCTTTTCAAACTCGAATAATAGATGTCTTCTGTCACATCTAACGAGAATGCAGTGAAGGGCTTCCTCCTGTCCCTGGGTGTAGGCAACGTCACCTTCGTTCTCCCAATCACATTTACCTTCAAGACGATTTCCCCCTCAGGAAATTACCTGTGATCATCTCCTGGTCCTGTTCATTTCGTTTCTGTGCCATTTCTACCACTTTCCTCTGAATCCCTCGGTAGCTAATGTCGCTGAAGTCCTGTGTGTTCTTCTTGACGCGTTCTGTGATAGGGTCTGTCACCACTGGTGTGAAACAGCTCTTGTGCTTCTCAAAGTCTTCGTGGTATTTCACCTGAAACGTCACGAATACTCTTCAGGAAAACAGGGCGCGATGGCCACTTACCTTGTCACACGTCCCAACAAGCCAGCCCACCGTTGCTACCAAGAATGGCCGACTCACTGTGGAGATGTGGCGCTGAGTCTCCCTCACCCGTCTCATCTCTGGCGTGTCCAAGACATAGGCGGCTTTGCCCTGGATTTGTTTGCGGAAACTGTCAGAGTACAGCACCTGAGGGAGCAGAGAGCAGGAATGCGGACGGTCAGGGTGCGGTCCTTCTGCTACCACCTGCAGGCGTTGCCCTGTGGCAGGTGTGGCTGAGGAAAGCGTGGCCCAGCCAGAAGGACAGCGCCAGACGCAGGACTAAGTGAACCGGGTCAGTGTGAGGACGAAAGGGCTGGCACTGAACTCTGACCTTGAAAATGTCATTTTTCATTTCGCAAAAGGCCCGGTGTGGGTCAGCAGAGTCGAGGGTATTTGCTATCAAATGTGAGAGTGAACGGGCTTTCAACGAACGGCCTGTCCTTTAAAACAAGTGACCGCTTCTTTAGGTGTCTGGCCATAGGTCATATGCCAATACGCTAATAGAAAAATCAAAGTCTTGCAGATTCTAGTCTCCCCCAAATCTCAAAGCCGAGGAAGGCACCCCTTTCAGAGCACTTCCCCTTGCGCAGAACCCCTTACGGAGCAAGGTGAGCAGAGGTGGGAGAGGTTAGGAGGCAATTGGTTAGGGATGGTTAAGGCAGACGGCCCCTGAGGAGCCTCTGGCGATGAACTTGTTAGGTTTTAGGACGATCATGTGGGACCTGGAAACTCAGTCCTGTTCATTTTAGTGGACATTTTCCATGGAAAGTGCACGTTTATGGGGTTAACGTGTTATTTTTCCAACGTGTTGCATTTCTCTGAAAAAAAATTTTTTTAATTTAGTGTGTTTATTTTCAGTTGAATAAGAAGGTTTTTACGATGTTAAAATGTTATTTTCCCAATCTGGCACTAAAAAAAATACATTAGTGTGTTTTTCAGTTGAATAAGAAGTACATGTTTTTTACGATGTTAAAATGTTATTTTCCAAGTCTGCAGCACTACTAGGCCTTTGTAAGCCTGGGAACTACCGAGCTAATGTTCTCTTGGTTGCGCTTAGCTCGCTCCATCTCTGGGGTCACAGGGGTCGGCGTTGCCTTGCTCATGTTCTCTTTGTACAGTACCTAGGGAAGAGCGGCCAGAGGTCAGCGAGGAGAACCCGGGTCTGCAAACCCTCAGTTAGCTGGGGTTAGGCCTCAATTACATCACACTCTATAAGAAACACCTCAGGAAATCAAGCCATTACTATGTTATTGTAGAAAGCAAACGATCTGGATCCAAGTAGCAAAAAAAAAAAAAAATTACAATAGCCAAAGGATGTAATAGAACAGATACTTTTCTAAAAAACTAGGCTTAAGGTGGGAAACCATTTAGGAAGTAAGGTTAGATGGTAAACGAGGTTGAATGTAGTTGCAGTAAATCAGTTGGAGGTGGTAGGGTAGTTTTGTGGCTGGTTTGTTTTCATGGGCCAAGAAGGACTTTTAAAAATACGCAAAGGTTTGGGGAGAACTGGGAGGTAAATTAGTGGGATAACCAGGCTTGTTAAGAATTTAGGGTTGTGGGTTGTTGGCTTTGTTGGCCCTGCCCTCTCTCAAATACCGAGCTAAAGTTTTCTTGATTGCGTTTGACTCTTTCCATCTCAGGAGTAAAGGGTGTGGGGGTTGCCTTCCCCAAATTCTCTTTGTACAACACCTGTGGGAGCCAAAGTCGTATCCAAAAGTCAGGAGGAGGCAAGTCAGGTTACTAAATTGATGCAATTGGGCAGGGGGCGGGGGAGTTAAAGGGTCTTAAATACAAAACATTTTAAAATTCCAATTTTAAAACATTATTACTGAGAATAGCTCTCAAGAAGAAAGCTTAAAACCAGTTAATGGCAAAGGTAAGTTCAGTATGATATTCCAAGGCGACTGGACTCGAATGTGAATGGCACTTGGCTAGTTTTAACGTGGATTAGGAGCAGGCCAAATTGCAGGGGTTACTTAGCAAACTAGAAAAGCACTTTCGTTTCCCAAGACGATAACATACCGAGCTAATGTTCTCTTGATTGCGTTTCACTCTCTGCATCTCTGGAGTAACAGGGGTTGGGGTAGCTTTCCCCATATTTTCTTTGTACAAAACCTACGGGATCCATTGGATTCCAAAGTCAGAGAGAAAAAGAAAAAATTCAAGTTACCAAAGAGAACGGGAGCAGATCAGATGATTTTTTTTTTTATGAGGTTCAGGGTGCCAAACCCTTTGGGAAATAAGGTTAGATGAAAAGGGGCATGTTTCTAAAGGGGGCCGGAAGGTAGTTACGGCACGACATTTCCAAGGCAGGATGTGAAAATCCCTGAGGTGAGCAAGAGAGGATCCTAGTGACCGCCAAAGGGCTAAATGACCACTGTTTCCTCACCAGTCTGAGTGGCCACCACACAGGAGTCACACAGGTCGGGCTAACTAATAAGAGGACGAAGATGGGACTGTTGTCAATATGGCAGGTGACAAAGCCTCCCTTCAGTGGTAAGGCCTATCGGTGAACGTGCAAACCCCCAAACAGTGCATCGGTTTCCCCAGCCCCTTTCCTGGCGAGGAGCCCTGGTGGCATCCTGGTTCCCTGTTGGACTGCTAACTGCAAGGTCAGTGGTTTGAAACCACCAGTCACCCCTCAGGGGAAAGATTAGGCCTTATCTATCCTGCCCTAGAGCAATCCCACAGGGCTGAGGAGAACTGCCCCTTAGGGTTTTTGAGACTATCAGTGGTTCTCAACCTCTGCGCCCCTTTCATACAGTTCGTCATGTGGTGGTGACCCAACGATAAAATTATTTTTGTTGCTACTTCATCACTGTCATTTTTCTACTGTTATGAATCGGGTGACCCCTGTGAAAGGGTCATTTGACCCCCAAAGGGGTTGCTACCCACAGGATGAGAACTGCTGCTTTAAATCTGTACTGGAGCAAACAGCCTCATCTTTCTCCCTGGGAGTGACTGGTGGGTTCAAATTGCCAATGTTGTGGTTAGCAGTTCAAAGAACCCACTGTGCCACGACAGCTCCTAGCAAACACGCCAAGAAGGAAAATATGCTTGGAGCCATTCTTCTATCACTCTCACAGTAACACAGCATGAAAAGTCCCCAACCTCTGTTTCCCGTACCATTTTGGGGAACCCTGGAAGTTTGGGAAATGACATTCAAGAAGAATTCTGTTCAATAGTGGTTCCCAAGTGTGGCTTCTGCACTGCAAGGTCAGTGTCACCCGAGAACTTACTAGACTTGCCAGGCATATTGATGAGTAAATCTGGGGGCAGGACCCAGCAGTCTAACTTAACAAACACGCCAGGTCAGTGGTTCTCAACCTGTGGGTTGCGACCCTTTTGGGGGTCAAACGACTCTTTCACAGGGGTCACCCAATTCATAACAGTAGCAAAATGACAGGAAGTAGCAACGAAAATAATCTTATGGTTGGGGGTCACCACCCCTGAGGAACTGTATGAAAGGGCCGCGGCATGAGGAAGATCGAGAACCATGGCTCCAGGGGATCCTGATGCTTGCTAAACCTCAAGAAGCACGGCCCTCAAGTATGGGAGAAACTGGAGACTGTGTAAATGTGGAGGGCCACTACACAAGCTGCGGTCCTCCCTACAAGCCCCGCCCCCACAGTGAGTCAGTTCCTACCCATAGTGACCCCGTATGACTGCCCATGGGGCTTCTAAGCTCTAGTCATCACCGAAGGAGGCTACCACATCTTTCTCCTGCAAATGGGCTGTGGGGTAGAGTGGGCTGGGTGGGGGCGGAGGTTCTCTAACCATCATCCTTTCAGTTAACAACTGAGTGAGTGCTGAACACCCAGGGCTCCAACCCAAGGCCTAACAAACCCCACGATAGTCTTTTTAAGCACATAGAATATCACAGAACACAGGCAGGGTTTACTGCAATTTCCAGTTACCGGTCATGATAAAACCAACGAGCAAGCCTAAAATCGGTAAAACACAATAGAGTTGACAGTGTCATTTTTAATGAAACTGACAAGTGCCAAAACCACCGCAGGATTTTAATTTATGTCACTATCTTGAAACCACTACAAAATTCTAATTTATGTCAGTATCTTTGATGAGGAGAACTGGGGGTTATTTTTACCAAGGTCTCTTGGTCTAAAATCTGACAGGGTGACAGAGAATCTAAAGTCAGAGATGCAAAAGATACAATGAAATCTCCACTATCAGGTTCTAGAAAGAACACTGTTAGGCCCACAATGCCACCTCCCAGCATCCTCCCACACACACCCCTGCAAATTTCACCAGCATGGAAAACAAAGAGACCTTGGGGTAGAGAGTAAGTTTGGAGAGAGATGAGGAGGCGGTCTTGCAGGGAAATCTGTTACATCCGGTTATCAGAATTGTATTCGAACTATGGATTAAAGCCATCTTGTTATTAGAGCGTTAAGGCTAGGAGTAGTCCTCTAGGAAAGAAGGATCTATGTGGTAAAGACATTCACAACATTTGTCTTTCAAAAGAAAGATTAATATGTATTATTTAAAACCCATTAAGGAAGTAGTTTTTTGTTTTTTCGTTATTTTCTTGCCAAAGTACCGAGCTAATGTTTTCTTGATTGTGTCTGACTCTCTCCATCTCTGGAGTGGTGGGCAAAGGCGTGCCCTTGCCCATGTTTTCCTTGTATAACACCTGTGGGGCGAGAAAGCATCCAGAGAGAAACAGCCGTGAATGACCATCGCATTTGTTGAAACGTTCTGAGTGTGAGTTCAGCTTGCTTATTACAAAATGGTACCATACACCAAGGAGCCAGGAGTTATCTGCGGACAAGACGCCGCTTACTACTCTAACGGAGCTGGAAGGATGGGCATGGCACCCCCGAGGGCAGCAGGCCCTCCGCCAGCTTCGTGGAGGAGGAAAGACCGGAGGAGGTTTCCATTTCTAGGAGCGCAGTGCCTCCTACACCATCGCGTGGGGGCTTGCAATTGTTAGAAACTGGGTTTGCTGCTACCTAAGCACACATACAGACTTGTTACTTTTTGAAGGGATTAAGAGTGTCAGATGGAAATAAAGACCAGGACGCCCCAAATAACCACCAGACGCCTCAGTGGGATCGCAGGGGGGTAAGGAAAAGCAGAGGGCGGGAAGTGGATTTTAAAAACAGGAGAAGAAATGTTAAGAACAGAGGTTAAGTCTGAGGTTAAGTGGCATCTCTCTTCCCCTTTTCTTTCCAGAAATACCGAGCTAAGGTTTTCTTGATTGTGTTTGACTCGCTGCATCTCAGGAGTGAGGGGGATGGGGATTCCTGTCCCCAGGTTTTCTTTGTAGAGCACCTGTGGGAGGAGAGCACCCAGAACAAAAAGCAATCAGCACCCCCTGCCTCCCCTCTCTAGAGGAGGTTGGGCAGGGGAGAGGAGGGAGGAAGAAAGGTGAGTTCGAGGAAGGGAAATACCAGAAGCTTTAAGACCCAACCTGTAGGAGCCCAATGGCATCCTTAAAAGCAAGGGAAAACAGGAAAGAGCGAAAAGAAAAATTTGTTATTGTTTGTAATAACCTCTGCAGCACCGAGCAAATGAGGATCGCTGTAAAAGAGGACAGACCGTTAGTCTTCTCCAGTGGGTTACGGGGGCCAGGGGCCAGTGGAGGTTTCAAAGAGGTAGGGAGAGACCAAACCAAGGAAGTTATTTCTACAAGGGAAAGAAATGCTATTAATAACCCACAGTCAGGGTATTTGAGGTTTATACATATTGTGTATTATGAAGATAGGAGGGGTTTTCAAAAAGTTCATGGAAAAATGGAAGTAAAAGATAATGGAATTTTCCTATGAACTTTTGGAAACAAAGTTCAAAACATACCCACATCTTTTTTGACTTACAGAAGTCAAAGTATCCGATTTTCAGCTTGGGTGAACACATTAGGAAGAATTATTTTTGGGGCAAATGGAGAGAAATCTCAAGAGGCTAAAGACAGAAATTCCAAAGGCTTTGTACAAAAACCCATAGAGGCTGATGGTTAGTGCACAAAACAACACCGACAGTCGGGCCTGTGCAGACTACAGTTCTGTAAGCTTTACATTTACATCAAATTTGCCAAAGCAGGATACGTGTGAATGTTATGTTTTTTAAGAGCTGAGGTATCATAATAAATACTTTTATAAAAGAATTAAACGAACATATTAATATTCAACCAAAATAGGGTAATTGGGTCATAGGAAATAACAGCATTAATTGGGAACAAGCCTTGTGTCAATTTTTAATTTAGATAAATGGATTAGAATTAAAATATGTAGCCATTAATCTAAAAAAATTTTTTTTAAGTTAAAAAGATTTAAACATTTTTGTTTTAAATACCGAACTAAAGTTTTCTTGATTGTGCTTGACTCTCTCCATCTCTGGAGTGATGGGAATCGGGATCCCTTGCCCGAGGTTTTCTTTATACAAAACCTGTATGACACAAGAAAGCATCCGGAAGAAAACAAGAGCAGTCAGGTCAGCCCTTTCGTCTCCTTTGAGCACCTGGTGGACCACAGACACCAGACAGGAAAGACCAATTCACCACGTCAACCTCTCTGCAGGGAAAGGTGCATGTGCGAACAAGCCCCATCTTTCCTCACTGGAGTGACTGGGCATTGGATACTCAGCTTCAGTCTCTACCCCATAGATAAATGTTATTTCCCATCTCAGGACTGGAAAAAAAAAATCTACACCTTATTTTAGAAAAATACTAAAATGCCTAGTATACAATAGTCTAACTGCTTCTTAAACATATGTGTGAATATTTATTTTTCCTATGTAGAATGTTTATTTTACAGTCTAACTGATATTTAAAAGCCCAGGCTCAATCTATACTACCTGGAAAAATTGGTCTTTGTTGTAAGTGGTGGAAAGGGTCCGTTCTAAAAGTCAGTGTTTTAATAAGCAGCCCTGTTTATTTTTTTGCAGAATCAAAACTGGTTCTCAGCACCATTGCATAGCTTGGCTTAACTGCAACTTATGTAAAAATAAACACAAATAGTCACTTAAAAAAATCATCAGGATCATTCAAGTCTATAAATAAGTATAAACAACAATATTCACACTGATATCGAAGAAAATATGGGAAAGCAGTCCTTTTTTTAATCTCTGCAAAAAAATCTCTTAAAGTGCTAAAAAAAATAAGGCTTCATTTTGAAGAACGTGTGCCTGACCCAAGCCATGGTATTTTCAATCACCCAACATGCATGTGGAAGATGGACAATGAATAAGGAAGATCAAAGGAAAACTTATGGCTTCGAATTCTGATGTGAGTGAAGAATATTGAATATACCATGGACTGCTGGAGAAATGAACAAATCTTGGAAGGAATACAACCAGAATGTTCCATGGAAGCAAGGAGGATGAGACTTGGCCTCACACAGTTTGGACACCGATCAGGAGGGCCCAGCCTCTGGGAAGGACGTCAGGCTTGGTAATGGAGAGGGAAGTGAAAGAGGCCTGCCCTCAATGAGACGTCTTCACACAGCGGCTGCAGCTAACGGGCAGAGACCAGGGCAGCTGAGCGGAAGGGCGCAGGGTCTCCTTCTTTGAGCATAGAACTGCTGCGGCTCAGAGCCAACGGACAACAACAACACGGTTTGGAAAGAAGAAATAATCACAATATTCGAAAACATCCAAACATGGAAACCAGGAGCTCACACCCCCAAGAAAGACACATGAAAAACGGAGGCTGGAATGTCAACATGACAGAGAGGTGGTTAGTCGACAGTCGTTAGGGAACACAGGAAGGAAAACAAGGCAGCTGGACCAAAGAAAGTTGCTGATCTACTCAGGTGAAAGATCTTTTAGAAAATACGTAAATTGATTATTGGAAATAACTGTGACCACTCTTTCTAGTAAATTCCCCTGCAAACACCCCCCCCCCCAAAAAAAAAAAAACGAACCAGCTAAATTTTATTACAGCCACTTCTCCATTTTAGGCTAAATCAATGTAAAACTCTTCATACAGACTTATTTTTGCTTTTACCAAGTTTGTCAGTAAAGAGGCAATAACATCAAATGTAAGCTCATGGGCTGATGGTGTGTTTCAAGATTCGGAAGAGCCAGCTCTCTATTCAAGAAATGATTGCTTAGCACAAGCTGAAAAGGGTGGTGGCTTTGGTTTCGATCCTGAACTGTTTCCTTTCTCGCTGTTCTCTCTCCAGACCGGCTCTATGGGACACTTGTTCCCAAGCAGAGCCACCACGTCCACAAGGGCCCTCAAGTCCTCTCTCCTCGCAATGCTGGCTGACCTAGAAACACCAAATAAACGAGTTCCAAAACATTCCAGTAGTTGTTGTTTTGAAATCACTAACTTCAAAAGTCCCAGCAGAAACATAAACGGTGAAAAGGGAAGGACAGGGATCGATGAGACGTTGTTTTCAGGGATTGTGACAGGAAGTAGAGGCTGTTAGGATCACACAGTGAGTAAAAGGTCTTTAAAAAGGAAGGATCCAGATGGTGAGGTGTTTGTTTTTTTTTTAAGGAATCTGTTAAACTGATTATTTTGAAAAGACTAATGGTGAAAAGTTTTATTTTATAGATGTTATTATTGTTGTTGTTATTGTTTTTAAATACAGGAGTTAAAGGGAGCTTTTCCCAAATACCGAGCTAAAGTTTTCTTGATTGCGTTTGACCCGCTCCATCTCAGGAGTGACCGGTAAGGGGGTCCCCTTGCTCAAGTTCTCTTTGTACAGTATCTGTGTGCACAAAACCAACAATCACATCAGTCTGGGACCATCTTTTCAGCTAGACATAACCTTCCAAATAGTCTCTGGAAGTATTTTTGCTGTTATTAAGCAACAGAAGTACAATTTCTTTACAATTATTTAAAGAGACAGTGGCTATAGACCACAACATGTGTGGCCTTAATATTTACAAACACAGCTGCCAGACTGTAGGCAAGGCTGACTGACTTATACACTTGCACCTCATTTAGCAGTTATCTAGTTTGACATTTCAAATTTATGTCAATAGCAAAAAATGGACCATGTTAAGGGGAAGGTGGGAGGAGAAAGGGGGGACCGATCACAATGATCTACATATAACCCCCTCCCAGGGAGGTGGACAACAGAAGAGTGGGTGAAGGGAGACATCGGTCAGTGTAACACGTGAAAGATAATAATTTATAAATTATCAAGGGTTGATGTGTGTGTGTGGGGGGGGGTAAAAAATAAGGAGCTGATACCAAGGGTTCAGTAGAAAGAAAATGTTTTGAAAATGATGATGGCCACAAATGTAAATTGTGCTTGACACAATGGATGGATGGACTGTGATAACAGCTGTACTAGCCCTCAATAAAGTGACTTTTTAAATGGACCACTCAGTTATTTTGCACATGAAGAGCACGCGTCCCCTGATGGTGATGGTTAAGGCCATGTGTCAGCTTAGCTGGGCCATGATTCTCAGTGATCTGGCACTTGTGTAATGATGTAATCCTCCTTTTTTTCTTTATTTTTTAATCATTTTATTGCGGGCTCTTATAATGCTAATTACAATTCATACCTCCTCCTTTTTCTGATCTCATGTGGTCACTGCTATTTTGTAACAGGTGATTTTCACAGAATGACCTGGTCTTTGGAAACTATGTTGATAAATTAAGATGTGGATGTATAGACCTTTGCTCAAAGACAGAACAATTAGGCTATCTTTATCAACTAGAATTCAAGTTTATCATGCTGGTTGGTAACACTAAATTAGAGGAAAAAATTTTTTTAAGTCATTTTAGGGTATACAATAACTAGTTATATGTTACTAATGAAGATTAAACCTAAATAAACATTAGCTTTGCAATAGTCCTGCAAATATTCTCTCCCACCCCACAAGGTCAATCATGTTTCATGGTGTACAAAAGCATTGCTGCGACCAGCAAATGCGCCTTCCTGCTATGTCATCTCTTAAATGAAAATGTTTAAGAAGCACTTTTTTTTTTCCAGAAAAGTTGCAAAGAATATGTCAAATACAGCAAGAATAAATACAAAAAAAAATTTCAATGAACATTCTCCTTCTGAAGGATGTTAGGTTTTACTTTGAATGTGGGCACACCCATTAAAAACACCTACTGTTATTGAAGGATGCTTGGAGGAAGGGAATCTGATTATTACAGGTTTTTAAGGGAAGTGATAAATACCTATGTTTTAGGAAAATCAGTTACAAATTCACGCCAGCACTAAAGTGAATAGGTAATTAGAATTGAAAAGGGGAGTCATATTTGGTACCATTCTTTTCATTATACAAATTTAGTAATTTTATAGGAGAGGAATCTTATATTGGTGGTGGGTTAAAAGTATTATTTTAAATAAGAATGTTTGCGCCTTAAGAAATACCGAGCTAAAGTTCTCTTGATTGCGTTTGACTCTCTCCATCTCTGGGGTGATAGGTGTTGGGGTTCCCTTCCCCAAATTTTCTTTGTACAAAACCTGTGAGATACAAGAGAGTACCCAGAAAACACTCAAAACACACAAAATGAAGGAAGAAAGGAATTTAGGGGGAAGGGAAGGAGGGGTGTGGGAGGAGAGATTTCTCTTTTTTTAGTAAGGATAATGCATTTACATTTATCTCACAATTTTAGTGATGATTTTACGATGCTAGGTCTGGAAATTAAAAAGTCCAACAGCACTGAGTTATAGGCTGTAAGTATAATGGTGAAGAATCTTGTGTTAATTGTGTTTACAGGCCTTTAGATCTCAATAGTCACACTTGTCAGTTGCAGAAGACATTAAGGTGTAATCAGAAAAGTGAGTTGCTTTGTAAAAATCAGATGGTTTGGTCAGGTAGGTAATAATGCACAGTTACAGACACACAGAGAATTGATGTTAGGATGTTACTTTTTGTAAAAGGATGATGGGTTATTCTGGTAATTAAAACATGTTTTTTTAAATGGTACACAGTTTCTTATTGGATGAATTTGTAAATACCGAGCTAAAGTTCTCTTGATTGCGTCTGACTCTTTCAATCTCTGGAGTGACAGGGGTTGGAATGCCTGTTCCCAAGTTTTCTTTGTACATAACCTGTGGAAGATAATTAGAAGACCCAAAAGAGGTAAAATGACCATGGTTTCTTTAGATTCCTGATACATGTGAGCTGTTCAGCAGAAAGCCACTTGTACCATAAAAGGAATCAAACTTTCAAGTAGCACATTCCACCAGCGTTGTTTTGAAAAATCATACAACCGTGAAAATGAGGTGTCAAATGATGCATTTTCTATAGTCAAGTACATTCTTAAACTGCATTAAGTGGTGATAATGCATTAACAACGCGAAAAACCCTTTCATTACACTTGGTGAGCGCTTCAATTCTAAGCAGCCCGGTTTGTCAAAGGCGATGGAGGATCGTGACAGTACAAAATCCCTTGGCAGAGCCCACGCATCCATGAAGCCTCCACTGAATTCTTTCTGATGGACTAGCCCAGGACAGCCACCATCTTGCCTTCAGGCACAGTGCCTCAGGAAGAAGATTGCATTCATGTCTCTCCAGCAAGCCCGGGGCTGTCTGTCTTAGAGGCTGGTGGAGGTCTTTCCCTGCTGGAGACCACCCCTGGGGACAGTGCAGGGGGTCACAGAGCCATGAGCGATTTCCTATCAGCCCCATCCTGACCGTCTTGATGGGAAGGGAAGGCCTTAGACAATTTGTGAGCTCTTCTATCTAAGACAATGCACGTCTCCCAATCATGTCCTGTTCCTATGACTGTAGTCGCATTTGTCACGGGGACACGGTGATCTGCCACCCATCCTGCATCTGTGACTGTCCTTCGTCCCATGCCGTACGTAACCAGCGTCCAGCCTGAACCCTCGGATGCCATTTTGACCGCGTGTGAATGACCTCCCTCGTCTGGATGATGTCTGTCTCTGTGTCGTCTCAGTCCCTTTTAAGATGTAATAAATGGTCTCCTCAACTCGTATTTGAGACTGGGGCATCTTTTGGACCCTAAAACACGTACGACTGAATTTCAGTGAAAAGCATAAAGAACTTGTTAAGCCTTGGGTCTCTTTCTCGTCTCCTTTAGGACGAGAAAGGAGTTCTTGTTAATGCTGGCAAGAAGGTCTAGGCTTCCTTCTTTAAGATGAGTGAACTCTTGACAGGTCACACACACACACAAAACCCTAGGGGTTTGTGTCACAGGTCAATTTCTAAATTAAATGACAAAATAGTGGCAATTTCATTGTTTTTCTAGGAAATCAATGCTACAAATCTTTCATACCCTACCATCCTGGTAGCAAAGATGTGTTTCTTGAGTCTGGTCTCCCCTCTTCCCAACCCCAGCAAGACAGCAGAAACGAACATGGCTAGCAAAACAGCAGCAAAAATTGGAAAAGGCAGGAGGGACCAAATGCCACGAAGGTGTCCTGGGCAGGCTGCTTTCTTGTTTCAGTGGTTCTCAAGCTCTAAGTAGAATTTGTACCTCACAGGAGTCAGGGTGTAAGCAGGAAGGGACAATGAATGCTACCTGAATGAATGACCAGCAGGAGCAGTATCAAGTATCTTCTGTTTGGAATCACAGGAGGGTTTGATCACCCAGTGGTTAGGGGGTCTCTCAGAGCAAGTTCCTTGCCCTTTACTGGTCACAAACCACACCCTAAACTTCATACTGTTTAGGATCTGCTTATGGACAGGAAGAGGGAGTGGCACAGGCAGTTCATCGGATATGTTCGTTACCCTTATAGTTCAGGTAGGGATCTACCCCCCCACCCCACCCCTATGTACTCCTGTGCCCTAATTTATTGTTAAAGAATAGGCTGCCCCACCTAATTCATAATAAAAAATTCATTGAAAAAAAGAGGGCTGATGATGTAATGTATTTTGTTGGCCGATGATAACCAGTACCTTAAATATGTACTGCATTTATAAGGAGAGGGAAGAGAATAAGCAATTGCTGTTGTTTTCAGATTTCCCAACAAGCAAGGTAAGCACGAGCTTACTTAGGCTTTCCTACTAATCTATAGTGAACGACTTCACATGTGCCCACCACATCAAGGACTCTGCTTCTAGGGATGGCTGGCATCTGTCTCTCTACAGACCTATAGCATCTTCCTATGGAATCAGTGCCTGTTTTCAAATTCACAGTCCCTGACATGGACAGAATAGCCAGTAAGCAAGGTAAGCAGGGGATTATTTGTGTTTGCTTGCTACTCTAGTACATTCACAGTAAGTCAGTGCTTAAAGCCATGTGAAATGGTTCCCTATAGGTTACTAAGTAAGCATAAGTGAGACCATGCTTACCTTGTTTGTCAGCTAATCCGCCTGTGTGGAGGAGCTCTGACTAATGGCATCTCCTTGCATGTCAGAGGGGAAATGTGCTCCATTGAGTTTTCAATGACTGATTTTTTCTAAAGATTACCAGTCCCCTTTTTCCAAGGCACTTCCAGTGGACTTGAACTTTCAGTTAGCAGCCAAGCATGTTAATCATTGGCACCACCCAGGGACACCACCAAGGTGTCCACCACAATGACAACAGAACCCCATATCCATTGCTGTAGTCTCTTCTAGCTCATAGCCACCCTATAGGGCAAAGTAGAACTGTGCCATAGGTTTTCAAATCTGTACTCTTTTCATCTTTACAGAAAGGAACTCTGGTAGCACTGTGGGTTAGGCACTAGACTGTTAACCGCAAGGTCAGGGGTTCAAGCCCACCAGCCCCTCTGTGGGAGAAATGAGACTGCAAAGATTTTATAATCAGAATCAACTCAATGGAAGTGGGTTGGAGGAATCCTAATCCACTTGGTGGCCTGGGACAGCTTTCCTTCTTGATAGAAGTTATAATAGTTTTCCCTTGGAGCCACTGGTGCATTCAAACCACCTACCTTTCACTAGCATCCAAGCAGTTAACCACTGACCAAGAGCTCGCTGAGCAGAAGGGGGAAAAACAAACAGGGCAATAAATCTCGTAAGAGAACGGAGAAGGCTGCAGGCCTCACAAACTTCTTGTCTACTCTTGCCACCTGCGGTGCCCAGTCAGGACAGAGAGCAGCGTCACTACCCACCGCCAGCATCCACTCTGACTCACAGAGGGTCTGTCTACAGGACAGAGCAGAAGGGTTTCCATGGCTGTCAGTCTTTCCAGAAGCAGACTGCCACAGCTTTTTCTAGTGGAGCCACTGACTGAGGGCTTCCAACCTCCAGCCATCTTATTAGCAGGCAAGCGCTCAAAGGCTGCGTCACCAGGCACACAACAGCCCTAAACGACAACATACCCACTGCCCCGACCTCGAATCTGACTCATAGGAATCTTGTAGAGAGCAGGGTAGAGCTGCTCCCTAGGGTTTCTGAGGCCGTAAATCTTTCCAGGGCCAGAAAAAAACAAAAACAAAACGCCCTGCCAGTGAGTTGATTCCGACTCATTCCGACCCTATTGGACAGGCCCTGTACGTCTCTGCAACAGTAGAAAAAGCCTCATCTTTCTCTCAAGGAGCAGCTGCTGGTTTCAAACTGCTGACTTTGCAGATCACAGCCAAACAAATTGCCACTATGACACTGGGGCTCTTATAGGACCAAAACGCCTCGTCCTTTTCCTATGGAGCAACTACGTGGGTTTTGAACTGCCGGCCTTGTGGTTAGCAGCTCTAAGAAGGTGTCAGTGCCAGGAGGGCTCCCCAACATCTCCACGGCATGGACAGCCCTTGGTCGGAGGAAGAAGGCACATAGTAGCATTGGCAGCTGGGGAGGGGGGTCACACAAAGACAAGTTGAAGGGCAGCCACTACCGAGCTGATGTGCTTCTGAGTTTCCTTGACGCGTTTCACTTCAGGCAGGTCAGAAATCGGTGTTCCCTGTCCAATCACTTCCTTATACTTCACCTGCAACGGAACATTGGGAGTTCAAAATGTTAGAACTTCCTAGGTAGTTGAGTTCAAAGGCATTAACACTCCTGAGGTAGTTGTGCTTCCTAATATGTATATGAATCTACTTAGTAGTCCCCCTCCCAGATGTTACTATGTGTGTATATGAGGCGTAGATGTGGTAACACTCCTGCCAAGTCAACCATTTTCACACACACAGCCCAGCGACACAATGACCTTCATCATGTGCAACAATCCCGTCCTTTTCCTAACGATTCCACCAAGTGTAGCATCATGGCCTGTCAATGGGGCTGCATTCTCATCCTGAGGCTGGGGCGAACAATTCAGAAAGCAAGGGTCCCTTGACTCCCTCGTCTCTCTTTGGGAGCAGGCATGGCGGGTGGGGTGGGGCGTGTGTCCCACACTGTGACTAACCAAGACAACACAAAGCAAAGCTTGTTGCCAACTCTGAGTGACACTATGGGACGGGACAGAACTTCCCCATAAGGTTTCCAAGGCTGCCATCTTTACAGATTTTCCAAGGTTATAATCTTTACAGATGGCGTCCCAGTGGTGTAGTGGTTACACATCGGGCTGTGATCCTTCTGGTCAGCTGTTTGAAACCACCAGCAGTTCCTTGGGAGAAAGATGGGGCTTTCTACTCCTGTAAACAGTGGCAGTCTCAGAAACCCATAGGGGTCTCACTATGAGTCAGCATTGACTTGATGGCAATAAGAGAGTCTTTATAGAAAGGAGCGCTGGTGGTGCAATGGGTTAAGTATTGGGCTGCTAATTAAAGTGTTGGTGGTTCGAACCCCACAGTAGCTCCTCAAGAGAATGATGAGGCATTTTGCTTCTTCTGAAAGCCCTGTAGGGCTATTACACTGTCCTATAGGGTAGGACCAATCTAACCAATTTAACAGCAGTGATGGAAACAGGAAAAAGATGACCACACCTTTCTACCACATAGCGGCTGGTGGGTACCAACTGCCAACCTTTAGGTTAGCAGCCAAACACTTTAACCACTATGCCACCAGGGCTTGCATTAAAAAATGAAACAAAAAACCCACTGCCATTGAATCAATTCTGACTCATAGCAACCCCACTTAGGGGTTCAGAGACTAAATCTACCAGAGCAGACAGCCTCATCTTTGCTGTGAGCAGCTAGTGGGTTTCAACTGCCCACAGTGTGGCTAGCAGCCCAGTGCTTATCTCATAGAGCCACCAGGCCTCAGACTTGCACTCCAAAGAAACAAACAGAACTCAGTCATCAATCCAATTCCAACTCACAGGGCCCTATAATGCAGAGTAGAGCGCCTGTGGGTTTCTGACACTGCAACTCTTGATGGGAGTTGAAAGGTTCATATTTCTCCTGTGGAGCAGCTGGTGGTTTTGAACTGCTAACCTTGCAGTTAGTAGCCCAATGTACAACCCCAGACCACTAGGGCTCCTGCATTGGCAGTAGAACTTTTTACATTTCCTACATACTCCAATGTTTTTAGAACCGACAGTTCGTTTGACTGTGCTCTCACAGTACAGTTCAAAGATGCACTCTCCATTCACTGTTATAGAGTCAAGTCGGACTCATGGCCACCCCACCGAACAGAGTAGAACTGCCCCTGGAGGTCTCCAGAGCGGCAAATCTTTGCGGGAGCAGAAAGCCTCCTCTCTTCCCCACAGAGGAGCTGCTGGGCTCCAACTGCTGACCTTGCCGTGAACGGCCTGCTGAGTTTCCCATGGCAGCACCAGGGGGGTTATATGTAGATCCTTATCATCGGTTCCCCCTTTCTACCCCACCTTCCCTCCACCCTCCCGTATGGCCACTCTCAGCACTGGTCCTGAAGGGATCATCCATCCTGGATACCCTGTGATTCCAGTTCCCATCTGTACCGATGTACATCCTCTGGTCTAACCGGATTTGTAGGGTAGAATTGGGATCATGATGGTGGGGGGAGGTGCTTGGTGCTTTCTAACAGATTCTAGTTGCCTACAGTCCCTTCTCCTCTCCATATCTAAGACTCCAGGGTGGAGGCAGCCAGGAGAGGACTCCGAACAGGAGGGGATGCTGGGTGTACACCAAGCATCTATTTTGGCAACTTCAAGTGTTATCGAGGACAAAGGCTTTGCCTGCTGCTCCGACCAGCGACCAGCGTCAGTTATGAAAGGAAGGGAGAAGCCACTGCGAGCGAGCGTGTCCACCGGGTCTTTACCGAGCTAATGTGGTCCTGGGTCTGCTTCACCCTCATCATCTCCGGTGTCTTTCCGATCGCCGTTCCTGGGGAGAGGTCTTCTTTATATAAGACCTGGGCATTCAGAATCAGCAGTTACACAGAAGGAAGGGGAGCCAGCAGTTCCCGTGGAAAGGCTAGGCCACACGGCAGCTGGGAAAACAAAAGGCTGTTCTCCAACAAGCGCCCAAGCACTGCAACTGGAACCTTCCAGCAGGAAGCAGTTCCTCAGACTGCAGCTTTGGCCACCATCACCTTCCAGATCTTGGGTGCTCTTAACATCCCACACTAATACAGGACGAGGAAAATCAGAAACAGAAAAGCCCAAACAGTTCGTTTCTCACATGAAACCAAAGCCAGGAGAGGGCTGGGAAGCGAGTCAGTCACTGGGGGAGCATAAATGTAGCATCACAGTGGCATAAGGCAGTCCAGCTTCCTCAACCCAGACAACACACGTTACTGCACTTCGATTAAAGAGGTGAAGAAAGGGCTAGAAGAGTTACCTTGTTAGCAGTTTTAACTTGTTATTTCCAATGGTCTCTGGAGTGATGGTTTCAGAGCAGAGTGTGAGGGCTTTACAAATAACCCCGGGCATTAACAGGGAGGTTAGACGTTAATTGTCTGAATCAGAGTTATGCTTGCAGGTTTTTAAAGGGGAGACTAGAATTATTGGGTTAGCCATTAGATGGGAAAGAAACAGTAACTATACCGAGCTGAAATTTTTTTGATTTTCTTTCACACGCAGTATTTCTGGTGTGTCTTGAACAACTGTAATTCTTCCTTTGCTGTTTTTAAGGTCCCACTGGTATTGGAGCTATGAAGAAAGAGTAAACATCTGGTTATGATTTCAACATTGTTATTTATATATTTTTAATTGTCCTCCGTTATGCAAAGGATCGTAAAGTCCTGTACGTGAAAAATAAAAGACTCTGCTATAATCATCATGGTTTGATAACCAAAAATAAGTTGTTGAATGAAAATCTTGAGCAGATGTTTCTTTTAAAGAACCCTACAATCAATCGATAGTGCTATATTGAAAGATCCCTTGCCTCACATTAACTTGGAAAAGGATAGGCTCGGTCCTTAGGGAGAATGGTGACAGCTCATAGTCAGTGGTCGGAAGAGGGATGGATGGGTCTCCCCGGCTGTGGTCTGGGGGTGATAGGTAAAGTTAGCCCCGAGGGGAATTGAGCACATATTCGCTGGGGCACAGATGGGGCACAGGAGCAGCCGCTTCCTGGCACCATTGCAGGGCTGGGACACCCGAGGACGTGCCCCCCTTACTTCACCACAGCTATCGGTCCCAGCGGTTCTGCATTCAAGTTGACGACAACTCACAAGGCTGAAGTTCCTTTGGTTCTCCCGCACCCTCTGCATCTCGGGGGTGTCCAAAACGGTCTCATAATACGACATGCACTTCTCGGCATCTTCCTTGTACTTTTTCTAGAAATAGATGACAAGTCTTAAGCAGGGTGAACCCCGAAGATATGGGTCAATGGTACCATCCAATGCAGTCCCCACGCAAGACCTCTATTTACTTTATGGTTCAAGGATGTGAAAAAACCAAACCGATCGCAAGTGAGTCAATTCTGACTTATGGCAGCCCAGCCTTACATAGAGGTGTTCTCCATAGGGCGTTCAAGGTGTGGCTTTGGGGAAGCAGGTCTTTAATCCAAGGCCCTGCTCAGTCAGTGGCTGTGCTTCACCGTTTGGGCCACCCCAGCATACTCCCTTCAAGACATTAGGTAGTTTATAAAGCAGATCCTTTCTGAGAGAACTTTTCTTTCCAAGAGGTCCAAGGTTGGACACTGAAAAGGACCCACGATCTTGGCAACGAGGCCCTCCGTGAAATGGATCGCCGCAGTGGCTGCTGTTAAGGCTCAATAGAATAAAAGAGCTTGCCTTAAGCTACCCCATTTTGAAGAGTCTAAAGGTCATCCCCCCCCCCACCCTAAGAAGAGAATGTTTTTAGAAAAATAAGTAAAACTATGTTATCTCTAGCAGATGAAAAACAAATCGTAAAAGTAAGCCACTGTGACCTTACAAACTGCCGGCTCGTAAATGTCAGCCAAAAAATTTTACAAGCGCACCTGGACCAAGATAAGCTGGGCAGGCTAAACTGCCCCATCCTGTTATCTTGTGCAGACACCCTTCCCCATTCCTTACGCACACCCCCTTCTCCTTACTGGTTTTAAGTGTATAAATAGGGCCAAGGAACTCTGGCCGAGCGCTTCAGTTTGGACCCTGCGTGGCCATGCTGTAGCCCAAATCCGGATTTGCTTTTTGTCTCCTTTTCTCTAGTAAACCTTTGCTCTTCTCTAATAAACTTTTGCCTTGTTACTTTGCAGCTGCTTGTGGGTCAGTGGTCTTGTGTTGGGCGCGACTCCGTGACCGCTGCAACCCTGAACTCAGGCCTCGGGACGACTGTGAAGACAGGACGGCGAGGACCGTGCGGTGTTGCTTTCTGTTGTGGTCGCTATGGGTCAGACTCAATGGCACCTAGCAACGTCTTGGCAAAACTGGCAGAGGGAGACCCTTGTTGGCTGGCCGACGGAAGGACGTTCCAGCCAAGGAGACTCCTGGCAGGGAGATGGGGATACCGACAGTGGCAACCCTCTTGGCTGAACTGGATGGACGCATGTAGCCAGGAGCCTGGGGATTCCATTGGCAGGTGAAGAGGAAGAGGGTGAAAAGTAGGCTGTAGCTGGTACCAAGAGCTGGTCAATGAGCCATATGCAGAGGTGACTAGGGCCAGAAGGTGCTTCTAGAACACCCATGAGAGGCTCTTCTGAACAGACCCACCTCGGGCTGCCACTATCACCAAGCGATTCTGAACTGAACTGCTCTAAACAAAGCATCACGGTTCGCCATCCCCCCTTCTAGCCCGTGGCCAGAGAGAGTTACGCGTTTCTCCTCCGGGACACTGACAGGGCAGGCCAATCCCCCAGACGGAACGCACTCTCTCCAGTGAGTCTGTGCAGCTTGAGCCTTGTTTGTAGAGCCCTATTTTCCTTTGTCACAATGCCTTTTTCCTTTCCTTCTTCAGTTTACTGAACTCCAGTGCTTTCCTGGGAAGCTCTGGTGATAGGGCTGAGAACGGGCCGGGGCCGGGGCACTTCCTTTTTCCACCCGGTCATCTTACATTTACAAAGGTTCCAAAATGGAATTCCTTCCAAAACAACCCAAAGGGAAGCAGTTGCAAGGAATAAGAGGTTTCAGGGTCGATTTTGTTCATCTCACAGGAAAACAGTGAAGGCGAAGACGGTTCTACCCCCACCCCCCACACACATTTCCTGAAGGTTGAGGCAGGTCAAGGAAGCAGGTGTTTTTTTTTTTCAAGACAAAAGTCACCTAATGATTCTTCATAGTTATGCAAATGTGAGGCAAATAGGTCCCATCGTCCTGGGTGAAGTACAGAACCAATCCTCCTTCCCTCTTTCCTTTTTTTTTTTTTTTTTTAAAGCTGCTTCAATTGGTTTGCAGGCACAACCCAGAGGGTAATGAATTTCCTCTCGGATCTCCCGGTTTCTGAGAGGCCCGGAGGAACGCCCGTGATCTGTGATCTGTGGCTTAAAGAGAACTATTCAGAACTCTGTATTTCTTATCTGCGTGTGGGGGGTTGTTCTGCATTAGAGCTTAGATTCTGAGCACCTGTTTGCACCTGTTTGGTGATAGCAAATGTCCAGAACCCATCTGCAGAGTCCCACGTGGGTGTAAACCTCTGTGGGACTGTTTCTGACCCTTGAGTTACTACTACTAGTCAGGATACACTGTGGTGATGAGAGATTTTTTTTATTAACCAGTCATGAGATCAATCGCCCTCGGACAGCTTGTGTTAGCAAGTGGATTACCTCCACACCCCAAAGTCAAGCAGCCTTCCTCAGGGGCTTGCCTGGGGGCGCCCTTGATGGAGAGCTCTGTACCAGAAGTCAAATAGTTGGGAGCCAGACCCTAGGAGTCCCGTCCTCCGCAGTCTGGAGGCCGTGGACCAAGCTTGTAAGCTCTTCTAGCGTGATGTGTGTGTCCCCGTGAAAGTCCCGCTCCTGCTTCTGTCCTCCCACCTAAAGCTGATCCATCACAGTCTTTGGCCTCCCCCTGTACTTCCCCAAAGGTCTGATCTCAGCCAACTCTTGGACGCCATCTGTTCTCCCTCATACGGATAGTGTGCCTTTGTCCTGTTTAAGACAATACACGCTCTCCTCAAATTTTATTTGAGATTTGGGGATCGCTTTTGTATCTTAACACACTTGCTACTGGTGAGATGCGCCATGAGCCCACGTGTAGGGAGAGAATTGCGCCCCACGTTCTTTCAAGGCTGTGACCTCTCGGAAGCCAACCACTAGGTTCCCATCCTGCTGTCCCTGGGGGCATCTCAACCATCAACCTTGCTGGCTCCTGGCACTTCAGCAAATCACTGAGGATTAAAACAGATGTGTTATAGTCTGATCTATGAAGAGTCACCCATCCATGGAAGGGGTCAGGGTGAAATGATGGGGATTGTGTTGATAATAGAACCTCAATCTCCTTAAATAGACTGGTAATTGACATTTCAGTCACCTATTTTGTTTTTCCCAGATTCATATGTAAATCTTACATCTACATTAACAGAAACTTCCCATGTTACCTTATACATTCATTAGCTGTGAGTATATTACGTAAGAGGTCTTCAGTACCTTACAATTCCCTCTTCAAATTCATTTTAATTCTGCTATAAAAGTCTAGCTGTAGCTCAAATGTGCATAACAGATGCCTCCCTTCTCTTCTATTGGACAAAATTGTGGTTTGAAAGAATGTCCTTAGATCTTAAGGATTTGTGCTCATCACGATTAGGGTGAGTATTACAGTTTAAAATCTGAGCACCTCGGTTTACAAAAGGCTATGGATGTCAGTGACAGTCTAAAACCCACGGAGATTATGCCTCCATTTAATTCTTTCTGATCCTTAACCAAGGACATGGAGAATCTTACCTTCAGGCAGAATGCCTTGAAAGCAGACTACCTCCAACCTAGGGAGGGCAGTCTCTCTTTTACTGTTTAAATCATGTTATTGGGGGCTCCTACAACTCTTATCACAATCCATACATCCATCTTGTCAGGCACATTTGTACATCTGTTGCCATCATCATTCTCAAAACATTTTCTTTCTACTTGAGTCCTTGGTATCAGCTCCTCATTCCCACCTCCACTCCCCGCCCCCAGTCCCTCTTAAGGGACCGTCTTTTTTAAGGGCTTGCTTAGGATGTGTCCTTGACAGAGTTCCCTGTACCAGGGACAGCACATGGTGTCAAATAGTCATGAGTCTTACCCTATTAGTTTTGCCTTGGTCAGAAGGCCCTGGACCAATCTTGCAAGCTCTTCTATCTAACATCATGTCTGTGTCCCAATCATGGCCCACTCCTGCTCCTGCAGTCCCACCTGTCATTGTGATGCATCACTGATCTGCCGCCAATCATGAAAATTGGTGACAGTGTCCTTTGTTTATTTAATTATGACTCCTTGGGCGCCATTTTGACCTTGTGCTAATGGGCTTCATCATTCGGATGATGTGTCTGTCTTTGTGCTGTCCCTTTGAAGATTTAATAAATGATCCTCTCCAGTTGTATTTGAGGTGAGAGCCCCTTTTGCACCCTCAAGCAGGTATATAAGTGATATTCTCTTGAATATACCCTTACCTGGCTTGAGAGATTCTTGACTTGTTGGGCATGAATGATCTCCGGAGTATCAACCACAGAGGTGAAATTGGCTTTTTCCATTTCTGCTGATTGCTTATATTTAATCTGTAAAAGAATACCAGACAGGTGGATAAATTTGTGGGCTTGGTTTGATTAAGCGGCCGTCAGTATTTCTTTCCCAAGAGGACTCATTCATTTAAGTTTCAACAGACATTTCTCCTCGTGTTCACACTTCATATTAAAGAGTAAGATTAGGCTCCGTCCTGGCTGTTGCCTTGCTATTTCCTTGGTCATAATATGAGGCCAGGGGAGAGGAAATCAACAGATCATAAACTCTGGGTTTTAGTCATAAGTGCTGGGAGAATAAAAAGAAAGCAAAAATGCAAACAAAATCACCTATCAATTAGCATTAGACAAAATAGGACCCTTAAAAAACATGTTTTACTTATTTATTTAATGAAAAACCAAGTTTTAAATTTAGGCCTTGAAAAGAGGGCAAGGGAGAAACCTCAACATATTTTAAGTGTAGAACTCTGGGTGCCCTGTGACTAATATGTTGAATAGGGAACAGAGCTAAGGAGGTCAGTCAGTCCCAGCTCCAAGCAGTTGTTAGTTCAACTTCCGCCCTTTGCTCTGAATGTCCCCAGTGGCTACAGACTCAGAATGGCAGATGGAAGCAAGCACGGCAAAGGGTCCTACTCTCTCATTGGCAGGGATTCCACACAGATATTGTAGACAACTGACTTCATTGACCAGCAAGTAAGGTAACAGAGTGGTAGATATTTTAACCTTATAACCCCAGCTGCTTCTTGACAGATGGATGTCACATGGCAACACTGACCTGACTGGCAATATCAGTAGCATTCCTGGCCCTCATGAAGTCTGGAGTCTCATTGGCCATGGCATTCAGACCTCTTCCTTTGACTTCCAGCTCCAGGTCTCTCTTGTAGTCTTTCTATGGGAGCATTGGGGGAGACAAAGTTATCTAACCGTCATAAAAACAAAACAAAACAAAAAAACACACCACCCAACCCTGTGCTGTTACGTGAATTCTGACACCCAACACCCCTATAGGACAATGTCAATCCACCCCATAGAGTTTCCCTGGCTGTGAATCCTTCTAGAAATAGACAGTCACATTTTCTCCTGTGGAGCAGCTGATGGGTTTGAATCGCTGAGCAATGTAACTGCTGCACCACTGTCAGGTTCTTTCTGCCTCCACTACCATCTATCGAGGCAAGTCTGGGCTCATAACAACTCTCTGGGACACAGCAGAACTGCTCCCTCAGGTTTCCATCTGATCAATTTTTAACTTTTAGCAGCCTGTAGGTGCTCCCTCAGGTTTCTATGGCTGCAAATCTTTACAGGGGCAACAGCCTCATCCTTCTCCCGAGAGTGGCTGCTGGATTCATGTCATTCCTATGCAGTTAGCAGCTCAATGTGTAACCAACTATGGTATACGGACTCCTTTTACCTTCCAGGATAAAAAACCATGAGGAATGATCATAAGTCAAACCATCAAGTCTCTTCCAAACCCTAACAAAACCCAAACCTCTACAGGGTTTCCGAGGTGTTGTCAGTTTGTACAGGCCTCCCTCATCCTTGACAATTAGAAGAGTTAACTCGGGTAATGGCAGACAGCCTCATCTTGCCCCTTGCAGTGCATTTGAATTGTTGACCTTGGGCTTACAGTCCAATGTTTACCAAAAGTGCCACCAGCCTCCTCCCTCAAACCCACTGCTTTCGAGTAGATCCTGAGCCCGCAGGGCAGGGTAGAACTGCCCTGGGTTTCTAAGACTGTAACTCTTCATAGTAGTAGAAACTCATACCTTCCTCTGTGGAGCTCTTCTCTGGTTTTGGTGCATCTTATTACCGAAGGGGGAAAGAGCGCTGTGGGTTATGTACCAGGGGTCGGCTGTGGACCTACCTCATTGAGAATCTGAGTGGCATTCTTTGCCCTTAGCATGTCAGGGGTATCTTCCATATCCGTGAGGCCCCTCCCACGAATGCTTTCTTCCAGATCTTTCCGGTATTCTTTCTACAGCACAAAAGAAACATCACAAACACACTAACAAGAAAGCCTGAGTGCTTCCCCTTTCATCATAAAGAGCCAAGAAACAAGACCAAACTAGACCCGCCCCAATCTGTAACTACTTAAGAGTTTAGTAAGCAGAACTGCACATGAAGATGGGTTATAAGTCTCATCAGGCTTGATTAAGTGTCAAGTGACAAATAGAAAGTAGTACAATGCTGAGATAAGCATGTTTCATTAGCTGTTCAATCTAAAAATTAGAAGGATTAACGTGGGTCATCAATCAGGTGGTAGTACCCAACACACGTGAACCCGGGTTGAAACGCCACCCACAAAGTTAGGTGGCGGGGATGAAATGATGAGAGGGTCACCCTGATGCGCGTCAGGCACCATTAGTGGAGTTATTTGGATGGAGAAGGAGAGAAAAGGCCAAGTGGGCGCTACCTCGCTGGCTATTTTGGTGGCATATTTGACATGCAGTAAAGCTGGCGTGACCTCCAGGCCCGTCAGGTTCCGTCCTTTAATGGACTCTTCGTACTCTTTCCTATATTCCTTCTAATGTGAGGGGGAAGGAAAGACAAATAAAAAAGAATCATTATTACAACTTATTTTCATTCTTAGTAGGAAGAAGAAATTTTAAAAAGGCAACATTTTCTATTTACGCTCTGGTGGCCAGACCAGAGTTCTGCTGATTGGCACACATTTAACACATGTGTGATTGTTCTGGAACTACTTCGTCTACACAAAGGGCCCCAAGGAAATGCAGAGGTTAAGATTCCACCTTCGTCCCAATGACATGGCACGTGGGGCTGGCCCTCCAGCCGAGAGAATGAGGGATGTCCCATGAAGACATCACCCTGTCTGTGCCTGAAATCTTCCTGTGTATTTGTTAAGGTAACCAAAAAAATAAATACGTCACAGTGTGAAATAAATAACTCAAGGTAAAAACAGGCCGACACACAACCAAAAAGATCAGTGGAAGGGGAGCCTGAGTATACAAAAAGCAAACGTGGCCTTGTTTATAACCGTGAAGCAGACAATGGGCATACACAAATTTGTTGCCCTTGTCCATGGCTGAGAGAAAGGCCACAACTTTTCCCAAGTCTCCATTCCATGAGGATGTGTATATATATTATATATATATATTTTTAAAGATACTTTTATTGCGGGCTCTTACAGCTCTTATGACATTCCATATTATCAGTTTTTGAGAAGCATGGAATAGATGTGGGAATTCCTGTTCTATGTTTTGCTCTTATAAAATTTAAAAGGCACTGAAATCTGCAAGAGTAGGGCAAGGAATTCCCACAGACAATTATTTGACACTTTCTTAAACTTTTCCCCCCAGTATTCTTTAAAAATAAAAAGTTTTGTCGGCATATACTTCACATATCATAGAATGTAACTGTTCAATTATATTAAGATTTGTGTGATCATCACCACAATTTTAGAACATTTTCTACTCATACTAATGATTATTAGCACCCCTTTCTTAAACTTTTGATTATTAGAAATTCTATGTACCAGAAAGGCACATAAACTGCTACTCTTATGATAAACTATGTATCTTAATATTTGGAGACATGCCACATGGAAGAAATGCAGAAAGGACTAAAAAGTAAGGCTGTTCTCTACTGAATGCAGATTTTGTAAACTTCAAATAAGACCTACTTTCCTTCACGCTTGGTGAAAGATAGGACAAAAAAAGAAAAGAAACTCAATGCCTTTGCTTGCAAGTCTGCAATAGAAACATGGCACTGTAATTGTTTTCTAAGGTCCTGATAAACATTGTGACCACTAATCCTCTTTTTTTTTAAACTTGAGGCATCCTTTTAAGGTTAGGGCTTTTCAAAGCCAATGGCATGTCAGTGTAAAGGGGCCTTTTCATTCATCAAAAAAAAATAAAATCATGATCAATATAATTTGCTTCCTTTTAGGAAATGTATGCTATTGTAACTGTGAAAACTGACAGTTCAAATAAAGCTACATCGTTTTTATATAGTTAGTTCAAAACACATCTATGTTAACAATCTGCCGTTCAGGACAGTTTGGTAAGTGAACCACTTGGTATCTGAAAGGGCAATAGTTTCAGTGACCACACGCTGAAAGGTGCCGTCATCTGCAGGGCTGCCTGGGACGATGGCAGTCCTTGGTCTCCCGGGCTTCCTGCGTGATTTTGTAGCACTCACCCCACTCTGCATTTGCTGAGACTCTTTGGCAGTGACATATGTTGGGGTCTCAAAATCCAACATGGGTTTTCCTCGTTCCTTTTCATACTTTTCCTTGTATTTCACCTAGTGATGAAAAAAGTCTTATTAGAAATTTCTTCTCTGCTCAACTCCTTACAGAGAGAGACTTGTCTAGGAGTAGCACTTTTTTTTTAAATTAAAAGATCACTTTATAGGGTTCTCTTACAGCCCTTTTAACAATCCATACATCAATTGTATCGAGCATATTTGTACATAGATTGCCATCATTATTTTCTAGACATTTACTTTTTTTTTTTTTTTTGACATTTACTTTCTATTTGAGCCCTTGGTATCAGCTCCCCTTTTTTCCTGCTCTTCCCCCTCCCATCCTCATAAATTATAAATTATTATTTTCATATCTTGCACTGACCGCTGTTGCCCTTCCCCTATGGTTTGTGTTGCTTGTGCCCCCTGGGGTAGTGGTGGTGGTGATGTGTGGATCACTGTCACCGGTTCTAGGGCTAGTACTTTTTAATGGATCAGTGATGTACAATTGGTACATCCCATCGCCATTAAGACCCTTTTGCCATTTCCTGGAGGAAAAACATCAATACTATCTGATTAAAATTCTCTTAAAACTCCCATGCATCCATTATAGCGTTCCCTAAGGCGGGGCAAAGACCTGTAGGACACACTGGGACTACTGGAGGGGTCCCACCATCCCCTTTGGAACATAATCTTGATACTTCCGGGCCCTGAACCTGAGGCATACACTGCATGTGTCTGTCTATTTCTCCAGTAGATGTCAATGCTGTTATGACGTATAGTAACCGGAGTGGTTGTAAAGTTTTACTTAATTTGAAAGCCCACGAAATCATTGCCCGTTTTCCCAGGGTGGCCGTTGGAAGTATACCCACAATCTCAGGGGAGCCCCTGAAACCTGCTGACAGTGTCGATGCACGTGCACTGGGGGAACGTCCGTCTCCTTGGACTTACGATGCTCTGCAGTTCGGTGGCCTCTTTGAGATGCAGCTGCTCCAGATTATCGGGGATGGTGAGGTAGTGGCCTTTACTCTTCTCGTATTTCTTCTTGTACTGGTACTAATGGGGAGGCGGCAAAAAAGGCAGTTGATGCAAAAGCCGCCCAGCATCCTGTTTGTTTCCTCTTCCGAGTCGACATGTGCACAGCGGCATGGTCAAGACCAAATTAAAATGAGCCAGCACGCAAGTGAGGGTGCGTGGGTTAAAAAATAGGGTGTAACAGATGGAATAAATGTTTAGTAATCCTCCAGGTAAATGCTTATGTTATATGGCTTCAACAGACCTATGAGACTTTAAAAGTGAACTAACCGATTGCAAACAGGAACTCTCAAGCCCTTAAAAGGAAGAAGCTGGTTAATGATTTTTAAATGGAAATGTTCTAGAAATAGAGGCATGATTGCTTTCTATGAGGTGTTACAGAGAATTGGGCGGTTAATGTTGCAATTTTAAAGAATGCACCCAAACCCAAGAAGAGCTTTCTAATAAAATCAGCAGCATCAGTAGCGTGTGAGATGGGGAAGGCATTTAGCGGCAAATGTGTGAAGCGAGTTGTTTCTGGAACAGTGACTGAGCCTACCGAACTGGCAAGTTGGCTTGTGTTCAGGACGTGATTCATTATCAGAGATTCCTTCATGTCAGTCACAGGTTTGTGGAGTTTCTTTAGGTCTGCCTTATATTTCACCTGCATGTGAAGACAGGAAACCAGCAGATCACCTGGCGAGCAGGTAATGAAGGGCAGGGCCATGGGAGAGCACCCGACCTGGATACCCGACCCGGAAACCGAGGCTGGGGAGGGCAACAAAAGGACCATACCTCGCTTGCGAGATTATTAGCATCTTTCATGATTTTGTAGAGTTGGCTGTCTTTTGGATTGTATTTTGGTGTCTTGCCTTTCTCTTTGTCAAAATTTTCTCGATATTTAACCTAACAGCAAACATAAACATCCAAGTTAGTCTCGAACATCCCTTAGTTTGTGCACTGAGGAAATGGAGGAAGTAGAGAGGCCAAAGACTCTATGTTAGAGATGTACAGTGCCAATACAGTTTACTGTCCAACGTGGGACTCTTCACAGCCAGCAGAGCACTAATAATAGTTACAGGCACTCCAGAATAAGGTGAAATGCTGTTATTATATACTATCCAGAGGTATGAAAGGCAACCATCTCTTTCTAAGGCCAACAAAAAGAAGTGGAAAAAGGCTTTAGGCTAAATGCAGAAAAGTAATCAGTTTGATTAAGGGTGCTTTGGACTCCCTGAATGGCAAAACCAAAAGCAATGTGGGCCTACTGTAAGGAATTCAGAGGGGCCGTAAATTATTGAGACAAGCTAGAAATATGAAATCGGTTAGAATAGAAGAATGTATTCTGATTTTAAAATCACACTTTGGCCATGCCATTAAAAAAAACTTTTTTTTGCCATTTTAATTTTTTTTAACTCGGCAACAAATAACTTTTGAGTAAAAAAAGAACAGCATTTGGAGTCTATTTGGTCTCAAGTGTGGTGCTAGAATAGGAGAAAGAAGGGAGGTTCCTAAGAATAACTAGAAAAATAAGATCCACTATAGTTTTAGATCACGTGAAAATAAGGTTATACACAAGGGACTAAATAACTTCAATAAAAACAAAAAAAACACCCAATCCCTGACACGCGTAGTTCCTCAATACTACATGATTGCAGGAATAAATGAGAAGAAGAGTATCATAATGTCTGGGTTAAAAAGTCTCAGGAACATGACTTGTTTATAAGACAATTCAGCAGAATGACTAAAAGGGTCAAACATTCCCTTATTGAAAAACAGACTGATGCATCTGTTAATAGTATTCTAGAATTATGTCTGGAAGCGGAACTCTAGTAGTGATTCACTCTGGGCAAAATGGGAACAAATGAGCTTGTTCTAAATGTTAGCCAACTGAAAGGGTGAATTATAGGACTCTCAAGGAGAGCTAGAGTTTCTGTCACTGGCAACAGGACAGATTCATTCATCCAAAATTAGCATACCAGAATGCAGCCACCTGGATGTGGTGCTCTGCAGATGTGCAAAGCAGCACCCTGCGGGCTTTCTCACTGCCCTGCGCTTCCTTGCAAGTCTACACACCTATCAGCACAGACACGAAGTGCGACGACTCAGATGCCACACACAGTGAACTCCGCCACTGCAGAGAAAATGCATCCCCAACATCGCAACTCACTTATTTTGAATAGTCCCACAACGGAAATGCAGAGGAAAAATAAGCATGGGGAGAAAGCAGCAGGATGCAGGCATACGGAGCGGGAGCAGACCAGGACAACCACTTTTAAATAAATGGTAGCGTGAAGTGGCCCTTCTCTGAGAAAGGAGGAAGGAAGGACGCTGACTAGAGAAAGAGGCGGAGAGCTGGGCTCCCGACTTAGGAGTGGGAAGACCCCGAGCACCGTGAGCCGCAAACGAGATAGAGTCGGGCTGCAAAAGGGGAGATGCAAAGGCCCGTTTTGGATGAGACTATAACCGGCTATTTTTCAGAAGGAGGCTCCAAGTCCTCTCTCTGTGAGAAAAGAATAACTTTTCTGATGAAATGTTGACGTGGAGGGCAGCGAGCCCACGGATTTCTTTTTCTTCTGAGCATGGCAAGCAAGCTCTGTGCTTTTAAAGTAACATTTAAAAAGGCAGGCCACTCCTTTGTACAAGAAGACCAAAAACTCCCCCCCACCCACCCTCACCCCCAAAGAAAGCAAAGCTCTTGCTGTTGAGTCAATTGCAACAATGACCGTCTCCTAGGAGTCAGAGTAGCACGGTGGGTGCTCCGGGGGTGTCCACAGCCGATTTCTGGGAAGCACATCTTCAGGCCTTCTCCCTGAGGTGCCTGTGGGCAGACTCCCACCATCACTCTTGAAAGCCTTTGAACCACCGGGGACTCCTCCGTAAGAAAGCCCCAAGAAAAGGCAGCTCAGCTGAACTCCCCAGACGGATCTGAGGAGTTGTTATTTTGGAGCTGAATTGTGTGTGTGTGTGTGTGTGTGTGTGTGTGTGTTCGTGTGTTTCCTTCCGTTTGTACAATTTTACACACTTTGTCGTTTGTGTGAAAGCTTCAGAACAAATCTGTTCCCCACTCCGCAGTCTACGCCCACTGTGCTCTGTGAGATCACTTGCCACCCTCGCTTGCTCCAATGCCCCGATTCCCACCCTGGCGTTGGCTCCTCTGCCTCTTGACGATGAGCACACACGTCGCTCCAGGACCTTAGGAATGTTTAGACTAGAGAGGGATATGACAGTAAGTGCAATAAAACGAGATACATCTTGGCATTAAGGAATACAGAGGTGATTTTTCCCCATTTATTTTTTGAATCGTGGAAATTTAAGTAGCAACTGTGCGATGCCAGGTCCAGCTTGCCCCGCCCCTATCTCGCCCCCCCCCAGGCTCAAAGCATGGTCTATGATGGGTGTGGGTAGAAGAGTGATGCGAACATAATCGTCCATTTAAACTGTTCATGAAGGTGTAATGTGGTGGTTTTTCAGATCCTATTCAGGGAATTGAGCTGTATGTGGTGTTTCTAACGACTCAAGATCAGGCTCAATAATGAGAAAGATAGAAAAACAGAGTGAAAGCCTTTTAAATATCTAGTCCTATTGATTTGAAGGGTGCCCAAGGGATTATATTAAATGCCCAGTATATTAAATATCAATAATGTTGAATACTTTCAGGAGAAGCGAAGGTTATCCTTGTGTGGTTGGATATGAGAATCTCTGTTTTCATCTTTTCATTGGATCGCTGCCAGTCACCCGAGGGACATTAGGAGGTTAATTTTCAAGTCAAGGCTATCTTCCTGTTTCAAGGGACACGTTCTTAAGGGTACAATTCATGCAAGAAAAGAGGAGCAGGTGCTAAATCAGATCCGTTCACAAATCTTCAAACACGTTCCAACACAAAGTCAACAGAAGAGTACAACTTGGTCAGTCATCTGACCAAGGCCAAGAAAGGAGAGGGGAGAGAGAGAAAGGCAGATCGCTTCTTGCTGGTGCCGGTCTTACATCACTGAGGAGCACATTAATTTTTTTAAGATGCCTCAGCATGGGGGTGTCATAAGAGGCAGCGCCGTGCCCGTGCCCTCTCCTTTGGTCTGTGAGGTGTTCCACCTAGAGTGCGTGGCAAGACAGCAACGTCAGAACGAGAAGACCCACAGCAGCGGAAACCCCCTTGGGCCACGACGAAGATGCCCAGGCTGGGAATCCTGAGGGAACATGAGTGCTTTCCCCAGAACTCGAGTGCAGGAAGGAGAGTCTCACAGGAAACGAAGCCAGGAAGGCAGGCTCATAAAAAGGATCTGCTTGGGTCCGATCCTCCACGCCATATGGTTCACTCATGATTAGAATTGATATTCACAGCCAACAGAGCTTTTTCAAAGTCTCAACCTTAAAGCCATGTCCTTGTTTTTAATTTGATAATGGGATGACCTTAAAAGTAATGAAATTTTTATTGATTAAGGTCGTATTACATTTTATTACTTTAAAAAAAAATCAATTTATTGGGGCTCATAAAATTCATCACAATACATAGATCAATTGACATTTTATTACTTTTACAGACTCCATCATTTTTGTGTGGGTGATTTCATATCTTGATCTCAAATGCTTATTCAATTCCATTAATTTGTAATAAAAATACCATATAGGCTTTTTTTTCCCCACATAGGCTTTTAAAGGTAAAAATAAGCTTTAAGCGTCTTATTGCAATCAGTCATCTCAATCTTTGATCTCAGCCTAATTCCAATTTTTGTTGGAGGTTTTATCACTTGACGTGACCAATCGGTAGATTCTAAAAAGATTGCAGTCCCATGTTTGGTACTGCTCAAGCAGGTCCACAGGACAGCCACCTTCCCCAGAGAAATGAATTCCTCAAACAAATCCTAGAGAGAGTAGATCATGAACGAAAGAAAGTGATCTATAAACTGGAGGAGAAATAAAATATTCTTGGGTTCAAGTCCTGGGAGCAAAACTTGCCCCTTCAGAGATCTGGTGATTGATCACAGAGTCTATGAGTTCAAGTCTGAAAATCCGTGGTCACAAGAGTGGAGCCTAGACGATTAGCAATGACAAGAAACATAGGTTCCCGAGGAGATCAGGTTTGGACAACGTGCTTCTGAGCGCCCAGCTTCCAGATGGAAGGCAGGGTTTCCCCCTCAGCACCTTGTGTAGCCCTTTACCATACACTTATGCTACCTTGTCTTTATTTATCCACAGGCAGTCGGAGGCCATCGGGGCACCCCACCCCCACCCCATCTCCCACTCCAGCTAAGAGACATAATACATGTGTATTGAATGAAAGTCTAAATTCAATTGCATTGGCTAGTTCCAGAAGTTCAAAGATCATGACTCTTGCATGTTAACAAATCCCCCACAGGTGACTCAAACATGAATCAGACTCTTGAGATGTTACCCTTATTGTCTGGAGAGGGATTTTAGTAGGACCTTATGAACTGATGTTTTTGTCACACAAAGACTGTCAAACACACAGACATGTACCCAGAACTGGGAAAGTGAGCAGTCAGAAGGCCAGAGGCAAACAGCAAGAGTAGAGGGAGGGAAGGTCTGGCCTGAGGGCCTCATACTGACTGTGAAATCATCAATACTGGCTCACATCACAGGCCTCACTAAAGATAAATAGTTCCATCACATTCAGCAAACCAAACTCACTGCCATCGAGTCAATTCTGACTCACAGCATCCCTATAGGACAGGGCAGACCTGCCCTTGTGGGTTTCGGAGACTGTAACTCTTTACCGGAGTAGAAAGCCTTGTCTTTCTCCCGCAGAACTGGCTGATGGTTTAGAACTGCTGACCTTGAGGTTAGTAGCCCCTTTCGTAACCACTATGCCACCAGGGATCCTTAGCCATCACATTAGGGGTGAGTTAATGAAATATTTGACCAGACAGCAGACTAATTTTTAAGTTGATAAATTTGGATGGCTGTCGAATGATGCTGTCAATACCCAATTGATCCTTGGCAGGAAGGAGGGGTGTGTGTGGGTGTGGGTGTGTGTGTGCCCGCCATGCTGAGCTAGAAGGAACAGCTTTTGTGTTACAGCTTTTCAAAGTCTGCCATGGGATCAAAGGCCTGAGGTCTCTTCGGCTGTGAAGCTTGCACTGCCATCTGGGAATCCCTCCCCCTACAGGCTTCTTTTCATCCCCTCCCATGAGCTGTCCCTTGTCATCCTCCTTACCTGGCTGCTCAGCTTGGCTGCCTTCTTGGCCATTTCAATGTCTGGGCGACCAAGCATGCTTAAGCCGTGGCTGCCTTCCTTGCGGTGCTTAGCTCTGTATTCCACCTAATCAAAGAAAACCCCAAGTGGGCAACACATTCTCCGCCATGGGTGTCGTGTATGGCTTGCTGGCAGCAGCCTGGGGAGTGGGGACGTTCTAGTTCCACCCTTACCTCACTGGCCTGCTTGGCTGCCTGTGTGGCCTTCTTGATGTCTGGCCGATCTGCCACCGTGGTGTAATGTAGTTTATCTTTGGCATCTTTTTTGTAAGCGACCTTTATGGGAGAGAGGAACACATTACTCGAAGACACCATCTTTCGAACATCCTCATGAAGTACGAGAAAGAGTTCCACGTAAAGCCAAAGCAACTCCCAGCATTGTTTGTTTGTTTGCTTGTTTGTTTCAACAGATGGAGATGAATGGGCGGCCACTCACTGGAAAAGGCTGAGCATGCACCCGATTTGGCTCCATTCTAAAGTGTCGGGGTGGGGGGCGGACTCACATTGCTCTGCTTCTTGGCCACTTCCATGGCGTGCTTCACGTCTGGTGGCTCCAGCATAATGGAGTAGTTGGATTTTCCTTTCTCCTTCACATACTTCTTTTTGTAATTGGTCTAAAGAGAGCCCAAATTATGCATGTGAAGAGAGAAATCTGGGAACAAAAGGGATTTACTGGAAGAACTGGGAGAGGAGCTGGCTCCTCGTGTTGACATCAGTCCATGTTCTCATTAGCTCTTCCCTGTCCTCTCTGTTCCGGAACCCAACACGAGAGCCACCCGGGAATCTACTGACTTTGTGCAAAATCCAACTATTTTGCGTACCCTTTCTACTTAAACAAAACCAAAGCCAAAAACTTTTTAGATGGAATTATATGGGACTCAACTCAAAAAAATATGAGCGTCCTGGTGTCGCAGTGAGTTATGCGTTGGGCTGCTAACCGCAGTCAGTGGTTTGAATCTACCAGTCGCTCCTTGGGAAGAAGACCAGGCTCTCTACTCTCATGAAGGGGTGCAGTCTCGGAAATCCACGGGGGCGGTTCTACTCTGTGCTGTAGAGTCACTGGGAGTCAGAATGGACTCGGAGCAGTTTGTTTGGAGTTTTGTATGGGACTCACAAAATGCAATACAATAGTTATTACTGCAGTATTAGACAGAGGCAGCTGGAATACAGAGCACTGGTTCTAGTTCTCTCAAAGAGGACGGTTGGTGGCTTGAATCCATCCCAAGGTATGTTGGTGGGAGACAGGTTTAGTGATCTACTTCTGGGGAAACACCATTAAAAACTCTTTGGGGCAACATTCTACTCTGGCACCCTTGAGTGTCCATGATTTAGAATCAAATCAACAACCACTCATTGTCCCTGACTTATTGGAAACTTCATTTAGCTGTATACGGACAGGAGAGGCTACTTTTAACCACCAATGTGTCCTCCCGATAGCAACACAGGCAGCAACAAGTTACATGGCTAGATAATAGTTCCGGTGGCAAAATCTTCTTCTACCCTTAGTGTCATGGATGGAAAACCAGGAAGACTGGATTCCCTTCATAAGCCAAGTCCCAATGCACCCATTGGTATTGGTGGTGGGAGGGAAGCTTTTGTAAACAAAACAGCAGCCTCCAGTCCTTCCCAGGGTTCTAAGGCCAAGTGGCATTCTTGCTGCCCGGATTCTTGGGGTGGTCACTTACGTCACTGACATGCTTGGTCACTTTCTTAACGTGCACAGTGTCCCGGGTCTCTGGCAGTGTGGTGTATGAGCCCTGGGCCAGGTGCTTCTTGACATGGTCCTTGTACTTGTTCTGAGGGGATCCAAAGAGAGCTAGTTCAGGCAACTGCTTGGGGTGGGGGGGTTAGCCTGAGAAGGGAGTGGAGCATATTCATGGCTGGACAGTTACCTCGGATACCAGATGGCTGACAGTCTTTGCCAGAAGGATCTGAGGAGTGTCGGGCACGGCATGGCAGATGCCTCTTTCCTTGACATGTTTCTCTTTGTATTTCAGCTGCAGGGGAGAACAAACAAAAACATATTTCCTTAGCTTCTCTGAATAGCCTGCACGTTTTTATTTAGCCTCCAGACTACTAGCTCTAGCTAGGAGAGTAGCATTCTTGGCATACTAACTCCATTGCCAATGAATTGATTTCAACTCAGAGTAGGCCCCTGGGGCAGAGCAGAACTGCTTCGTAGGGTTTCTGAGGCTGTTACTAAACCTTTATGGGACCACAAAGCATCATCTTCCTCCCATGGATGGAAGACTAACCTACTTCCTCCCGAGAGTAGCTGATGGGTTTGAAACACCAACTTTATGGTTAGTAGCACAACATTTAACCGACAGAGCCAAGGGACCTTAAAACTCAATCAGAGATTTGATGTTTGGAAGTCTCGGGAAACGTTCAATGGGAATATTTCTTTATCTCTCGAAAATCGAGCCTCTTCTAGTGATCAAAATAGATCTCCATATGGATCCTTTAAACACAAAACCTTTCGTTCAAAGCATCTTTCAAATATGGCATCTGACCTTCCCTCTAGCCTGAGGAGGCAGTATTGTTCTTCCTTTCCCGATGAAGACACTGCAATATCAGAAAAGGACAATTCTACAGAAAATAAGAAATCACCCCATCATTGAATTGATTCTGACTCATAGTGACCCCGTAGGACAGAGCGGAACTGCGCCACAGGGTTCCTGAGACTGTCCATCTTCACCGGAGCAGACAACTCCGCTCTCTCCATTGGAGCAGCTGGTGGGTTTGAACCTCTGACCTGGCAGTCAACATTCCGCTGAGCCCACTGCACCTCCAGAGCACCTCCAGATCATCATCAAAACTCAAACGGAACCCACTGCTCTCAAGGGGATACTGACTCACAAGTGGCCCTATCCAGGGTTTCCCAGACTCTCCAGTGTCTCCTGGAGCACATAACCTGAGCTTCCTCCTGAGAGCGGCTGGTGGGTTTGAACCGCCACCCTTGTTGTTCACAGCTGAGGGCTTAATTCTTGCTGTGTGAATGACTTTCGGGTGCAGCACAACTCAACAGCGATCCCTTGGATGTAACATTGTGACTGCTCTGCTCTGCCATACCACAGGTGTTCCCTCACGGTGGGGTCTTCTTTCGGGATCCATACTTGAGCTCCTGCAGGAGCAGTGCCCCATAGCCTTTGCTACAAGACTCTAGGAAACGGGGTGCAGAAGATAGAAGGCGTGCGGGACTTACATCACTTTCGATCAAAGAATTCCTCAGGGCCAGCACCATGTCTTTATCATCAGTGACGGAAAGCTTGCAACCCCTGAGGAACTCGCGGTCCAGCTTGTACTCAAACTGTCAGAGAAGGAAGGCAAAGAAGGTGGGGGAAGGGGCAGGAGGACAGTGGGCATGAGATGAAATCCAAGGCTAAGGGACACATGTGAGGTCTTTCTACGGGAACGAGAGGAGGGGCTTCCCAGACTCCTTACTGCCTACTGGGCTCCTACTTCCTACCCAGCTTCCAGGACAAAACCGTACTCGCTTGCTCTCCCACTCTGTTCTCCCCACCCTGTTAAGGCTCTGACCCCTTTGGGTCTGAGCTCAGCTACGGGATAGCAGGCTCCAGGGCCTCATCAGCTGCCTGAGCAGGTTCTTCCTCTCCTGACGAGCCTACTACTATGCTTTGTGGAGCTAGGGTTGAGCATACACCACGGGGGGTGGGGGGGTATTAAGGTGGGGGGTATTAAGGCGGAGGATGACTTGGGTTTCTCCTCTCCTCTCTTACGTCGCTCTGCTGCAGGGATGACTTGGCTGCTTGGAGGAAGTCCGGTCGGTCAGGGATCCACTTCCAGTGGGCTTTGTTCGCTTCATACAGCTTTTTGTAGTCCAGCTGTTTTTTTTTTTTAACAAGATAAAAAGAAATTCCAAGATTCAGTAAGTGGAACTTTTATAAGCACACACAGCACACAGGGACTCATCTTGCATTTGAATATACCAATTCTAACGGCAAGCGTGAGCCCCAATAAACATTCCTGCATAATTTTTGCAGCTTGTCGGTCACACAAGAGGTTATCTGGTAGGATCCTTTGGTCCTACCAGATAAAATTAAAATAAAGCTGATTAAAAAAAAAAATCAGTTTGCTGTCAAGTCAGCTGACCCCTGGCGATCCCATGTGTGTCGGAGTAGAACTGTGCTACATGAGACTGTCATGGGCTAGGTGTGGGGTGTAGGCCACCCGCCCTTTCTTCCCAGGAGCTTCTGGGTGAAGAGAACTGCCAACCTTTGGTTATCATGGTAACTCTGTGCCCACCCAAACCCAAACTCACTGCCACTGAGTCACTTCTGGCTCACAGGGACCCCATAGGACGGAGCAGAATCTTCATAGGAGGAAATTGCCTCGTCTCCCTCCCTGGGAGCAGCTGTGAGTTCTAACTGTTGACCTCATGGCCAGCAGCCTAACGGATCTCCGGCTTGCCCACCCAGGGGCTCGGGAATAGAAAGAGGATGCAAGACGTCAATGCCCCTAGGGGAAATGACTCCACCAGCTGACTCGGGCAGTGCTCCTTCAAGCTGAGTTCTTTTCCGTTTTTAAGTTCGGGCTTCATTCGTTTTTCTTCTTCCTTTTCAAAAGCGTTTCAAACCTTTGGGTATTGAATGTGTACTGGGCACTTTTCTAAGTGGTCTCCAAATACCAGATCATTGAAGCTTTCTAAAAACCCCATGAGCTGGACAGTGGAGGAACTGCCTTGGGTGGACTAAGGAACCTGCCCTGGATGAGACCGATCAAGAAGGGCGGAGTGGGGGGCCAGAGCCGGCAGTCTGGTTTTGGAGGTGCTTGTGCGTTTGCTAAACTTTCACGAGGGCTGGCGAGTGGCTGCTCCAGGCTAACTGCGGCCCGGAAGGGTTTTGTTCAGTCAGGACAGCGCATAGAGTTTGAAAGTTCTTGGAAGGGCTTGTCCTAGCAGGTACATTTTTTGTCAACTCTTTCTTTCTTTCTTTTTTTGGTCCTCTTTTTAAACCGAGGCTCTACTTATACACAATAAAATGCAAACACCCTACATATACAATTTGATGTTTTTAAAATTTCATTATTAAAAAATTCAAACATACGAAACAGTTGCAAGAATATAGCAGATAAAAAATAAAAATAATATAGCAGACAATTTTCATATACCCACCACCTGGATTCTACAGTACACATTTAACTGCATTTGCTTTATCCCACATCTCTACCTCGACCCAATCCATTTTCAGCCATGGTTGAGCCTCCTGTCAGCTTCTAAAGGCACTGCAGTTTGTAGACACGAATGATACATAGCATCTCTGGGGCTAGTGGGCAATTGGTTGGCTTATCATCGTTTCATTACACTAATCATGTATAAATATTTCTAAATAAGTCAGTGCTCATCCAAATGCACAAAAATGTTTCCATGGTTGAGGGCGTAAGATGCTAACTGAGTGTTTAAGACCACAAAGACGTGAATCAAGGCAGGGAGTCTAGGGTCTAGGTGCCGCCAAATCCTGACAGCACCAATGGCTGGCTGGCTTCCTCTTTCAGAAGAAGCAGTGCTTCCCAAGGTGGTTCTGGAACTATCCAGGGGGACTGCAAAAGCAGGTACCTACACCTTACCCTGGATTATTGGTTACAGGACAAAAGTGTTTAATTACCAGGGGGAGCTAAGTAATTTGTCCTCTGAGAAGGGGCAGTAGGCCACAGAGATTTTGGAACCTGTACTCTGGAATTTGTGACCAGAGGTGAGCCCTAGGGGGAGCAATAACAGACACGGAGGTCACCAGCTCTTTCTTCCGAGGGGCTTCTGGGTGAAGAGAAGCCAGCCTTTGCTCAGCATGCTAACTCTGTGCCCACCCAAACCCAAACTCACTACCATGGAGTCAATTCTGACTCACAGGGACCCTAGAAAACAGAGCCGAACTGCTCCACCATCTGTATTTTTGAAGAAAATCCCTTTCTCAGCCACCTGATTCAAAGGCAGTGGTGGAAACACAGAGGCACGGACTTATATCACCCTTGCTCTTTCCCCAGCTCCTTTGTTAGACCTGAAGGCTGCCTTTAGAGTCAGCCTCATGACTCATGTTCCTGGGGCCTTCCTACCTCTCGATCTGAACTCATTGCAGCTCAACCCCCTGAAGAGAAGGGAACTGAGGCCACATGCCCAGCAGAAGTTGCCAAAGGCCCCCTGGGGCCCTCAGAGCTCTCGCACTTACGTTGGTGTTGACTTTGTAGGCATCCTTGGCTGCTTTGATGTAAACAGCATCTGGCTCAATGGTGCAGTTGGATTTATTTCTTTGGTAAACTTCTTTGTATTTCAGCTGTCAGGGGAAACACAGTGGGAAGGTTAATTTTTTATAGCAGTCTACTTAGGGTTTCCAGTGGGTGCAAACAGGCCAAGGATCGTGCGGACAGCTCTGGATGGGGGACCATTTTGTTCTGTTCTACTCTTCAAAAGGTTGCCAGGAGTTGGTGCTGACTCTGTAATCACTAACTGCAAGACTCAGGACTTAAAACAAAACAAAAAATCTAAGAAGATCCCTATAACATAATATGCCATTGATCCTTAAGGTGATCGGAGGGTAGGGTAGAGGACAGGAAATCTGATTTCAAGAAAGGGTCAGTGTGTGGTCACATTGATGGAGATGTATGGCATATGTACGTCTTGTTGCTAGGTGCCGTTGGGTCGGTTCTGGCTCATAGCAACCCTATGGACCACAGAAGGAAACACCAACCACTCCTGCACCAGCCTCACATTGTTCTTCTGTTGAGTCCACTGGTGCAGCCCCTATGCCAATCCATCTTATTAAGGGTTTTCTTCTTCCCTGCCCCTCCACTTTCCCAAGCATGCTGTCCTTGTCCAAGGGCTGATTTCTCTTGATAATATGCCCGAAGTACGGAAGGCACACGTAAATATATGAATGTGCATATATAGCTGTATCTCCAGATATATGTATATACATGTCTATGTGTGCTAGATATATATATATATTCATATATAAAATAAAGCACATTGCGGAGACTGTTATAGTTACTTTCTACACGTAGCACATATATCATAGTATTGGTTTACGGGGTTTGAGGGCTTAGGAACATAATTCTGTGGGGCAGCTTGGTCAATTGGTACAGTAGAGTTCATATGATAATATTTTATATCCTAATCTGATGAGTTGCTTCCGAAATCTTAAAAACTTTTGAGTGACCATCTCAGATAAAACTACTGGCTTCTAATTGTCCGGAGCAAAAGAGGAAGAAGGAAACCAAAAACTCAAAGAAGAAAATCGTCTACAGAAACCACAGTTCCACCATGAGATCAGAACTAGATGGGCCTGGCTGTGACCACCATGACTAGCCCACGAGCACTAGGGACACAACTGGTGATCCCAGATAGAATGGGAGAAAAATGTAGGACAAAATGAAAATTCCTTAAAAAAAAAAAAGCTAGACTTATAGGACCAGTAGAACCCAGAGGAATCCCCGAGACTGCAGTCGTGGGAGACCCTTTAAACTAGGAACTCAACCCACTCTTGGAGGGCACCTTTCAGTCAAATGACCAATTGACTCATGAAATAAACATTTCCCACAATGACTGTGCTCCTCTAAATAATCATCTAAATGAAACCAGACAGTTCAGATCCATCCGCGACCAAAGACGAGAATACAAGCGGGGAAAAGCAGCCAAACAACCGGAACAGAAGCAGCAGCATGGAAAGAACGAGAACCCTGAAACTTTGTGAGCAAATGTCTTCAACGCTTCTGTGTCCTGATGCCTGGGAGATCTGCATGTGGCTCAACATCTAGATGCCCTCATTCCCCACAGGCCCCCTTTACCTTTGAAGAGATTGACCCAAACTGCACCGGCACCTAAGCCTGCCTCTTGTAAAGAACCAACAACCAGTTCCCAAGTGTGATTATAACCATAGGCTGAGAGTTTAGGATTTATAATACAAAATTTGGGGGACACAAAATATAGTAAATCCATAATATGCAGTAAATCAGTATTTAGAGGAAATGCCTCAGACTTGACATTCGTTATCAATATTCTAGGTTATTCTTATAATGAACAAAGATTAGGTAGATGGAGGTATCATGTATTTATGTACAATAAGGAGTGAGCTATTCCAGGTGAGCGATCAACCTCACAGATGCTGATAAACACTTGAGATTCATATTTAAGTGTCAATACTTAGTTTCATATTCATACAATATTCTCATATGTCTCTTCTTCTGAGCACATTTAACGGTTTTCAGGGTGACTTGGGGTCAGGAGTATGTACATGTTCACTCGTCTATCAAAGAATCCCTGAATAGCAGTCCCAGTTGAGCTTTGGTATAGACAGAAGTTCTACGTAGTTGCCTTTATTATTCTTTCCGGTGTCCAGCAGCTCATGTAGCCACGGAGTTCTTTTAAAAATCAGATCTGATTCTTTTCAACCCAAATGAGGATAGCGTTAAACCAGACTCGAGCTGTAAATGTGAATACGTATGAATACGTTTGCTCGCTAAATTCATAGCACTGGAATGGAACGCCTGGCTGGCTCCTTCCAGTCAAGAGCAAAGGAGACAGCACACCACATTTCTCAAGATGACCTCGACACTCTCTCCTGTCCCCATGTCCTTCTGCAACGTGAGTCTGCCCACATTAAGGTGTATCAAGAAGTGGTGCTTGGATCTGGGTGGATGGCAAGGCATGGGGACTATGGAGGAAATGACAATGTGTTACTGTGGGACTAGACCTTCACTGCTCTGGAAGCTTCTACTCCTGCCTCTTGGAACCCAACCACTATGTTATGAGAGGTCCAAGCCAAATGGAGGTCGGAGGTAGGGGTTCCCATCTATACGTCGGCCAACCTCTCAGCCAACAGCCATATCAATGAGCCATGTGAGCGGGCAATCTTGGATGTCTTGGCACAGATGAGCCTTGGATGCCTGCTACCGTCCCACTGAGTAGAAACACTCGGCTGCACCCAGTCAACTGATGAGGAGAATACAGCGCTTGCTGTTTGAAGTCGTTAAGTTTTAGGGTAGCTGTTATGCAGCATTCAGTAACTGGACGAGAGCTCCTTGCATCTCAAGGAAAAGAGGACAAGAAGAGGGAAGCTTACATCACTGACTTCATCCTTAACCTTGCGGACGTGCAGCAGCATGGGGGTGTCGTGGATTGAAGTGTAGCCTCTGGGTCTGGCCTTGTTGTATTCCAGTTTATACAGAATCTGAAGGCAGTTAAGAAGCAGAAGGACACAAGGTTAGGTTTCTCAATTTACAAGGTAAATGCAACCTTTCAAAAGAAAGCAAGTATACAGAAACGCGATCCTATGTGTTTAACAGGTGGTCCCAGCCTCTCCACCAAGTCCCCAGAGTTTTTCAGCAGCGGTGTCCGTCCATTTGGTGGAAGCAGTTCATTCTTAGGAAAGAAGGCTCCTGTGCATAACAGGACATTTAGACTCCCCGACTTCCACCCTCTAAATGGCAGTAGAGTCCCCCATGCATTGTGACAACCTGAAACACACCGATGCTTTTGCAAATGCCCCAAGTTTGAGAGACCACCCAGCATCTCTGGTACTTACATCACTGATCTGCTTGTTAACTTTCGTAGTCCGAAGGTGCTCTGGCGTGTCCACAATGGAGGTGAACTTGTCTTTTGATTTTTCATATTTTTTCCTGTACTTGATCTAAGTTTTAAAGGGAAGCAAGAGTTAACATATAAGAAATCGAATTTGAGGGTTCTGGGGAATCAAATTTTCTTCTTGAGAGAAAATTATGTTTGTGTAGCAAATAGGATTCTTCTATGTCACAGGTGTAGGTGATGGGGCCATGGTGGCATTCTTTTAGAATGGTAGCTGGCAATGTGTGATTTGAATCTGTATGCAATAGCAATGGTAAATGCAGTGAGCAAATAATCCAAGAACACAATGACATTTTAAAATGCCACTTTGCACACTTTAACGTGTTTGAAACCCATGGGTGCTTAGGACCAGGAGAGGTGAGAGGACGAGCCAAGGCCACGGTCACGGAGTGCATCTCAGCAGCAGACCTGGGCCCTGTTCTTTGGACTCTGGCCACTACTGGTTGCCTGATAGCATGCTGCGTCGAGGATGTTTGGTCTCTTATTTTCCAACATCAGGTCTCAACAGGAGTATATAACAATGAGTTTGAAGAATTTATCACATTTAAAATTGTGTTTGTTTTTGTCTTTTCTAGATCAAAATGACCCCAAACACCCCCCCACCTCTTTTTTTTTTTTTTTTTGCATGCACACAAGCTGCTTTAAGTAGTACAGATACAAGGAGCTAGCAACAATTCATGCACAGCTATTTGATGGTTGTATCAGGGCGAAGACCAAGTTCAGGCCCGTAGAATGTTCATAGACAGAGCTCCTCCCCACTTCATCCACTTATTCATTTGATAAGCTAAAATGATGAAACAAGCTGCCAGTTCAAAATACTGGGTAAAACCTTTTAAATGTGGGGACAATGCTATTCTATTGGCTGTGTATTTTGTAGTTAACCAATGGTCACTATTTGCTGCTATTCCAAATTTATATTCCATTCTGTGATGGAAACTTCCTAGGAAGTTACTGACAGTGAACTTCCATTAGCCTTTCGGGAAGAAGGCATTTGTTTCAGCATTGTTAGAAGTGTGTGTAAGACTAGATTCATTGCCACGTTCCATTAAGAACCTAGAAAATTCAGCATCCAATTCAAGACGCTCCATGAATATGGACAATATCAAAGAGCTTCATTAGAACCTTCATTCCTCTCAAATGGCACCGTTGTGATAATAACACAATGGAAAATTAGAGGAGAACCTTAAATACTCAGACCTTTTAAATGCTGTTCCGTTTACTTAATACCCTTAGTCTCTAAGGAATCTATTTCTTGGGGGCATATACTGAAAGGGAAAAAAAAGTATGTCATGCCAATTTGGAAAATTAAATCGGAAAGCGTTCCAAAATGTTGAATGGTGGTCCACTGCCACCGTGCAGATAGGTGATGGCGGCGGCAGCAGCATCACTCCGGCTACAGGAACAGCACGCTGGCCACAGGCACAGTTCCCTTACAAGGAATGGCTACAGAGGCAGCTTTATCCTATGAGACCAGCATGGAGCAGGGCGGGGAGGGGCAATCCATGACAGCCTAAAAGTGGATGCACCCAAAGGTTCCTAAGCCACCTTCTCCACATCGCATCAGGCATTACCTGGCTCCACATGTGTGTGTTGTAGAGGGCAGTCAACATATCTGGACGCAGAATTTCATTACATCCATGTCGCAGAAGCATCTTGGCGCTAGACTTATATTTTTTCTGTCCATGCAAAGAGCAGTGAAGCACAAAAGAGACTTATGAAGACAAAAAAAGAACATGGCTCTACGTCCCCATCACCTCTGAGTGCAGAGGTGTCGGCAGACACACTTTCTGTCCTCACATACAGTGTGGTGAACACAGCAAGGGCATGATCGTGACTCCTGGGCTTGCAGTTAACTATTCATGGACCTTGTCAACAGAGAACGATACAGGTGGGTCTCTTGTATGTGACGTCCCCAAATGCCTTATAGGCGAGAAGGCATCATAGGAAGGAGACAAATACAGTAAACTGCATAGTCTCTTTCTTTACATTCGTTTGCTTCTTTGTTTCGGGTTGGTACCTCCTGAGGAAGCTGCAGACTACAAAGGGGCCCTTCCTCCCCTGTCTTGTTCATGTTCACCACAGCATACGTGAGGACACAGAGCATGGACTGGCGCACTCAAATAGCTCACGGGCTTTTTGGGTGGCTACACAGAGAACTTGGAAACAGAACAGTCTAATATCATAGGCAGGACCTATGACATCCTTGCAGCAGACGGGACGACATCTCGTGAGAAACTTGGCGCACAGTCCGGTTGGGGCTGGCCAGCCAGCCGCACACAGTACCTGGCTGATCTGCTCGCCTGCGGTCTTAGCCAGCACATGTCTAGGCTCATCAACCACCAGGTGGTATTTATCTTTCCGCTGCTCATAATCAGCCCGGTATTTTTTCTGCTCAAACATCATATCAGATTAAATCAAGCATACAATTTTAATTACATGAAAATGTCCCAAGGTAAACACACTAGGGTCAGAATCATGCCATTTCTAATGGCTCCCAATGAACGGGGCAGGCCTGGAAAAGACTGGGGCTTGGGGTATATCTGCTTAAGGACTGGTGACATTAGAGAAAATGTGCTTACATACTTTCCAGCTTTATAGCCCATGCCACTAGCAAGGCTGGATCTTACATTGTATTTAAAACAAATGACTCCCATGCCATAGGGTGACTGGTTAAGTTTATGAGAATCAAAAAGCACATCTGATGCTGAAACATTAAAGGACAAATGCTAAGAGTCTCCCCAGCCCAGTTCATTTACTTGACTATCAAAGAGGTGGAGAAATCCTTTTAAAAAGATATTTTGAAAAAATATCAAGATTGTCTCTCGGAAGTCACGGACAGTGATCCTTCAGCGTCATCCACTCTGGGAATCTAGTGAAAATAAACTAGATACAATTAAACAACAATGAAGTCCTGCACCGAAGCAAATATGCCCGTGGCTACATGTTCACTCCCAAGGACCGTTTACTAATATTCTAACTTTGTTTCTGGTTCATTTATAAATCCTGGGAAAATAAGAAATGAAATATGGTACTAAAAATTAATAAAAATTCACAGTTTCGGTGCTTAGAGTCATTTATATTTCAGTCATAGTAGTTCAGTACGCTTGTGCAAAAAATAACTTCAATTATTGCTAAGATGATCACAGGGGAAAACTGGGTAGAATATAAAGGAAAATTTTGGGTGACAAATGGCTATTTTTCTGGACCAACATTCGTGGGAGTAAAAATGGCAGTGAATAAGAATGAGAAGTTACAGATGTGCCCTTAGGGGTGGCTTAACCAACCACTGCCATTTTGAGGCCCTTAGAGAAGATAGTAAAATAACCTGGGATTTGTGGGCCTCTCAGTTCTTTGAAATACTATATTTAAGGAGCTCAGCTCATAGCAAACCCCTTGCATCCTGGGTCTTGTCACCAACAGAGCCACGCTGCCCTGTGTCAGTGCAAGCAGAGGGGCAGATGGCTGTGGGCTCTGCACTGGAAGGCTGTTTCACGTGCTCTTATTCCTGGTTTCTGCAGAGGACATTGAGCAGTGACAACCTAGGGCCTTTCCAAATCTAAATGAATATTTAGCATGGCTTTCATGACATTTTATATATTTGGTCTTTATCGCTACAGATGTCGAGGAATGACATAGGTTTAATGGGTCATACATACCTCGTTCATCAATTGAGTTGCATGCTTGAAGTGTCTATTGATTGGACAGTCAGCAACATACTTGAAATCTGACTTCGTCCTTTCAAACACCTCTTTATACTTGTACTAGAGAAAAGAGAAAGTGGTTATTTTGCAGGCTGTGGTTGTCTTAAGAGTGAGACATTTGTCTTCTATAATTGTGTCAATTAATTTATACAGAAAACAAGCAACATTTGATGATTCTTATCCTACCTCCTAAGGCAATGGGGGGTTGCCTCAGTCTATATACCAAAAATGGTATTGAGTGGATGTCACACATCTATCAATTTAATTTTTGTTTCTGTTACTTTAGTGATTATGCCCCCCCTTTGAGAGTATTTTTAAATGTATACTTAAAGACGGATTTCAGTCCACTAACATAAATACAGTTTTCCAAGTAATCAAATCTTAAATCAGGTAATCATACATTTTAGAGAAGAGGTTGATTAACTATGACCTGCAGGTCAAATTGAGCCCACTTTGAGCGAATCCAAATGCTGTTTTGTAAATAGGAAAACGAGGCCTATAAAAATTAAGTGATTTGTCCCAAGTCACATATCAAACTTGTAGAACAAAACAAATTCCCCTTTATGCTTAAAATTTTATCAGTTCTAACAGGGTGAACTGTCCAGTGACATGAAAGGATTTAAAAAAATTTGTAGGAACATGCCATTATCTTTCAATTAGACTTTCCCACGAACTTTTTGAAGTTTCCTATATAAAAAGAGAAGAATTCTTGTAGGGCTATATGGACTTGTACTGAGACGACATCAAATTCAAGTATGAACCAAATTTCTAAGGAGAGTGAACAACTGAGTATTTTTTTCCAACCGTAGAGTCTAGAAATGAATAGCAGGATGAAAATATGGAGAGGTATTTCCTCAGGGCTAATGTATTTTGTGGCACCCTGGTGGCCTAGTGGTTCCATGCTGGGCTGCGATCCAAATGGTCAGCAGTTTAAAATCACCAGCAGCTCCGAGGGAGAAAGACTGGGCTTTCTAATCCGGTAAACAGTTACCGTCTCGGAAACCCACAGAGGGGTCCCTCTCTCAGCATCATCTCAATGGCAGTGAGAGTGTCTTCTGTGGGTCAAGTGTGTGTTGGACGGATGTGATCATTCTCCTTGAGTAGGTGTACCTTGCTGTAGAGAGTCTTGTTCTTTTCGGCCAGAGTTAAGTCAGGGGTGTCAAAGGCATAGCAGCCAATGCCCTTCAGCCAGGTCAAATCTTGTTTATATTTTACCTAGGAGAAGAAGCATAACATCACAAAAATTTAAGAGACTATCTCCAAATAGTTTCCCCAATAGTATCGAGAGCAGTGGGACAAATGGAAGCACTGACCTAAAGCACATGGAATAATCCAATGTTTAAAACATTACTTAAAAGTAGTTTTCAGTAATACTGATTTTGTTCATTTTATGATATACTTCTATACAGTGTCCAGAATTTTTCATTTTTAATACTAGTTAAAGGGATTTCAGTTTAATAGGCATAGCTTCCTAGGGAGTATATAGTTTGTTTGGTAGCTGTGTTTTCATCTGGAAAAGCTGAGAGCTCTTTCTAGAGGAGCATTGCTGTGTGCCTCAGTCATCCCACAAGCGGTCCCTTCCTCTGACCCAAAGCAGGCAATTTCTTAGATGAGCAAATCATTTCTAGTCATGTAATATGATATCATAGATTTACAAGGAAAATAGGTTTATACATTTGAACATATTCTCTCATCCAAGTTGAAGTTCGCTCATTGAGAAATTGAACTTTATGATTTCACTATCCATACATAAGATCTAAATTCTAGCCCCGTGTTTAAACAGCTGTGCCGCAGTGTTTGGCTTGATGGCTCACAGGAGAATAAGGATCTAGATGTAAACATGAAAGGTTTCGAGACTCACATCACTGACTGCGTCGGTGACTGCCCTGTGGTGGAAATGCTCTGGGCGGTCAGGAATGGACCTCCAGATTCCCAACTGGCTCATGTAATTCTCCTTGTATTTCACCTAGGGACAAAACACAAAGGCAGCTGTAAAGTTTTGCCCAAACTCAAACTATAGCAGGCAGTCTTAGACATGGGAGGATGCTTCAAAACCAACAAATGATGGTGGGGTTTGGGGTTTTTAAAAAATAATTAATTTTATTAATTTTTTTCGATGGTGGGTTTTGTAGTGACCACACATAGAAGCGTTTAGGGACGTACTTTACTGATGTCATCTGTGACTTTGCGATGATAAACGATGTCCAGAGCGTCTTTCACAGTGTGATACTTCCCTTTAGTTTTTTCAAACGTTTCTTTGTAGCGTAGCTGGATGGGGGGGCGGGAGGGAGAGAAGGCACATGGATTATGAAAAATTACTAAACCAGGTAACTGAGCTCTTTTTAACTTGGACACTGTTGAGTTTTCTCTCTTAGGTTATTCACCAGATTAAAAAGCGTATTTCAGATCCTGAGAGAGAGATGGGAAAGAAAAGGAATTAGGAAGAGCTAATGAACTTCAAGAACAGTCAAAAGCTTAGTTGATAGGAACATATCAACACTGGTTATTAGTTGTGACAAAAGTACAAAGGTAAAGTCAGGTGGTAACAACGGGAGGAGGGTGTGGGACTTTATGAGAACTCTGTACTATCTTCCCAAATGCCCTGTAGATTTAAAACAAAAGATTTATTTAAATATAAAACAAGCAAAAAATGAAAGACTGGGTTTGGTGAAGAAACCAACCGAGGAAATATCTCATTGAACCTAAGGCATCAATGGGCACAGACAGAGAAGAGAGATTGAGCTTCTAGCTACTGGGATTAAAATGACTTCTTTGCAACACAATCCTGTAATTTTATTCTAGTTCGACCCCAAACATCATTAAATTCGAAAGAAAACAGTCCTGATGTTCACCTACGAACATCGTGCCAAATTCATGCCATCCGCACAAGACGGGCACTTCTCTGAGCAGCCTATTTCAGTTGCAAACACAGGTCTTCTCTTTTTGAGCAAAGAAAAGGTGTCATTTCTTTGGGTTGGTTACTCTGTTTCCCAGCAGGCTTGTCATATGATTCCTGTGGAGAGCCCTGACACGCACACTGGACTACGTGACAGATGCCACTCCTGTTTCCTGGGGCTGTTTAAAGATTAAGTCCATCAGCGGCGTGACACTGACAAAGCCACCAAGGGGGCTGCCCGATGGGACAAATTTCACTGGGTGGCAGCCACTGTCATTCTGTGGTGAGAATTAGGCTGAGTTCAAATTCATGTCAAGGATAACCTTGAAGTGATAAAGGGAGGGGTGCCTGAAGAAGACTAAAACTATGCCACAAGGTAGGTCTGAAGGGAGTGTATCATTTTCTTTCTGTGTGTGTGCGCGCGCGCGCACATGGCTGTAGGACCCCTGGTGACATAGTGGGTTATGCACTGGGCTGCGAACCACAAGGTCAGCAGTACGTGAAGATCTTTGCTCTCATAAAGAAGTACAGTCTTGGAAGCTTACAGGGCAGTTCTGGTCTGTTGTTCAGGGTTTCTATGAGTTGGAAAGGGAGTCAGTGGCAGTAAGGGTGTTTTTGTTTGTTTTTAATGTGTGTGTGTGACTTCGTTTATTCACTCTGGTTTTTAACTTTAAACATTATCATAAAATATCACACAAAATTTTTGTCTCAACTAGACTTCAGTGTACTGTTATGTGATATGAATCACATTGATTATGTTGGGCCAGTCACCGCTATCTAGTTTCCCCTCCAAAATGTCATCGTCCCAAACACAAATCAGTGCCCATTAAGTAATATTTCAGCTTATATTTTAATCATGAACTGCATATGCCTGCTTTGCAGCTAGCAGGGTCCCCTCAGTTCCACATGACAATTTCATAACAGAAATCATGAAACTGAGCTATTGTTCCAATTTGCTGTACCCTCTCGCATTTCTGCTTAGGGATCACTTCGATGACCTTAAGCTGCTTTGAGATCTTCCAGCTATGTGATTACACTGAGGGGTTATGGAGCTGGCTTTCAGATTGGTTTAAGTCCCAACCGTGCCAGCCTTCTCTAGTGTTCCCAATTCCGGCTTTCTGGGTCCACTGCCTTTGGAGTTGGGAGCAGAGACATAAAATTGCTAAGTGTTGGCCTTCTAATCCTTGGCTGCTCTCATATCTTCATTAACAGGAGATCTGATCACCTTTAAAAGATAGCCTTAAAATAAATACATACATACATGCATAAATAAACAAGTAAACAAAAGACAAGCTTTTCCTTGATCATGTGGTATAGGAAATAAACGTCTGCTCATGTTCATTCTAATTCAAGTGCCACCCACAGGTTCTGTGTGTAGGCAATGAGAGGAGGCAGGAACAAAGGTTTCTGGGTGTCACTGAGTCTCACACTGTGCTCACAATGGCATATGCATTGAGTCTTAATTTAAGGATCACAGTTACCCTCATTCCACATATGAGAAACCAAAGTCTCAGAATAATTGGGCAAATTATACAGAGGGAAACTACAGACAGGAAGCCAGTGATAGCATCAGGATTGGGATCCATGTTGGACTGGCTGCAAGCCCAGAATTTTATGAATAAGTAACAACTGCTTGACAACAATCCCAGGGAAGTGCTTTTAAGGAATAGTTACGGACCAAGGATCACGTTTTTTGCCCAGAAGAGCAATAAGAAGAACAGGCTTTTCGCATCTTTCAGCACACTTTAGCTACATTGCCTGACGTTATGCTAGATAGTTTGTGCCTGCATTTTGTCCCTCTCCCCACCCCACCCCACCCATCGTTTGGGACCTTGTACTACGGGTGTGACTGCAACCCTTGCACCACCCTTGCCCTGGGGAAGGCGAGCGCAGGGAGAGGCACCTACATCACTGGCGTTCCAGTAGGCCTTCTTGGCTCTGATCAGGATTGGTGTATCTGGAACTGGGGTGTATCTGTCCTTCATCTTCTCATACTGGATCTTGTACTTTTTCTAAGGAGTGAAATGGAAGACAAAGAGAAACCTTTTTCAATGCAGTTTTTAACTTTCCAGGCTTCTTTCATCCCTCCCAGTTCACACCCCAGTCACACTATCTAGCCAAGGAACGTAATGTATCGTTGAAAAGAATAGCTTTGCCTTCTGTGTCTTGCAAATGCTGAGTCCAATTTATAGCAATGTCTTCTCCGATCAGAGGAAGTAGATAGTGGCTTTAACAAGTATGGACATATATATATATATAAAATACATTTAGGATATATATATATATATTAAAAATACATTGTGTGTGTGTGTGTGTGTATATATATGTATATATATATATATATATATATATATTTTTTTTTTCCCCCTCTAGCCTGGTGCCTCATTACCAAATCCCCACCTTACCTCGCTGACCATGTCCTTGACTTCTTTAGCATGCTTCAAGGCTGTGGTCTGGTTGCCAGCGTGATGATGAGGTCTCTCTTTGGTGGCAAGTTCAACATACAGATACTAAATCATCAGAAAATGACCGAGAGAGGTTATGGCGTTGAAACATTTGAATTCAGTCTTCTTCATTCATGTTTGCCCCTTAAATGGGAGGGAGTGTCTGCTTTTTGTTGTCCCTTTGTTGTTGTGTATGCCCCCCCCCACCTTTTGTGCTTCTGTTCATTTCTCTGTGTACATATCTCACTTTGGGGAACACAAAGAAACCCACTCAAGCTAACCAGTGTTTGGGCTGGGGAGCGATCCAATGATATTTTAAAAATGGGAACAGAACGAGATGGCTCTGCTAGCGCTCTGCACATAGTACTTTTAAATCTTTTCCCTGAAAACACGGAATGTGTTATCATTTGTCTGTGGACAACAAACAAGTCCTCTGGAACAAGTGCTTCTCACTACCTAGAGTCCATGGTGGTGACAAAAGTTGTGGAGCACTCAGAACTGAAAAGAACTGCTCACGCACCACACCGCGTCAGTTACGGTGACCGAGCGCACACAGCTCGGCCGTGCTAAGAGGCGTGAGGCTGCATGGAGGGCAAACAAGCGTGAGCGTCTGTCTGCTCAGGCTCGTGCAGGGGACAGGTGTGTGTGTGTGTGTGTGTGTGTGTGTGTGTGTGTGTGTGTGTGTGAAGGTTCGTGCGCCTGTTAGTCCGAGGTCTTACCTGACTCTGCAGCTTGTGCCCTCGCTTGGCTCGTAAAAGATCAGGCGTGTCAGGAATTGAAGTGAAGATCGACTTTTGCTTCTTGCCCGAAGCTCTGTACACCAACTAAACAGACACCGGTCGTCACCTCCATTTCTGCTCTGCCAGTTGCAGGCGCCGTTACCAATTACTCAAGAGAGAAAGCAGGGCCCTGCCCACGGCAACCACCACAGCTTCTGTCCAAGGAGCCTACAATTTATTTACCTCTCGGTCCTTGCTGCTATTTATGTTTCTCCTTCTATCAAAGTGAGAGGCACTCTAGAGTCTGGCTGGGATTCAAGTTTGCTGCCATGTCCTTAGTCTCCTCCTTGCCTGGCTTTCTGGACCCTGTTCCAGCAATGATCCGGGTCCCTTCCACACCTCCAAACCTTCCTGTTCCTCCACTTCTCTCTCTCTATCAGCCACTGGCTCAAGCCCCTCCCTCCATCAATGCTTCCTCTCTAGCCAAAGGCCTGCTTCCTTGTAAGGAGGAGCCTCTTTCCTTCTCCTTTTCCCCTCTTTTGACTAATTTCTCAAGACGACAATCAGGCTTCCAACCAACAGCTCCAATGAAGCTACTCTCCTTAAGGCTTTACGATTGCCAAGTCTGGAAAACAGCTCTCCATAGGAACCCACAGCAACTCCTCCTGCTCAGCACTGTCCTTCCTCAAATTCCCTTCTCTGCCTTCCTCTGCCCATTCTCATCTCGGGGCTTCCGATCTTTCTGGGTACTCCTTGTTCTTCCCCTACCTCTATGCCTCTCTTGTTCCACCCAGACTGCTACTATAGGGCTTAGGGGTCTTTGACCCCTGTCATCTCATACAGATGGGCTATCTCAACCAGACCATCCCTTCCAGAATGAGAACTTCCAAATCTGCATGTTCAGGCTCTCCTGAGCTCCAGGCCCAAATCTTTGACGACTTTCTGAACTTGGATGACTCATTATGCTCAATACTGAACCCTTCACTTTATTCCCTGACCCAGCGGTTCTCAACCTGTGGGTCACTACCCCTTTGGGGGTCGAATGACCCTTTCACAGTGGTTGCCTGATTCATAGCAGTAGCAAAATGACAGTTATGAAGTAGCAATGAAAATAATTTTATGGTTGGGGGTCACCACCACATCACAACATTAAAGGGTCGCGGCATTATGAAGGTTGAGAACCACTGCCCTAACCCAACCCGAACCTGCTACCTTGGAGTCGCTCCAACTCATAGCCATCCTGCAGAGCACCTTTTTGGTTTCTGTGACTGTAGAACTCTGCAGGACCAGAATGCCTCGTTTTTCAGCCTCAGATTGGTTGGTGGGTTCGAATTGTTGACCCGCAGGTTAACAGTCCCAGGTTTAGCCCAGGACTCCTATATTATGCCCCACCCCTCCCTGAAACCTGTTTATCCCATTTTCTCTGTTTTGCTAAGTGGTTCTTTGCTGTCCTAGTCCCCCAGGCCAAAACTCAGGGGACACATCCAAGACTCCTCCTCCCTCATCCTGCATGTCAAAATGGTCACAAATCCTGTGCTTCTCACTTCATGATGTCCTTTACATGTTCTCCCTTTTCCTATTCCTATTGTTCAGCTTCCTGTCTTCCTTTTCCCTCTGCATACCCATGAACCACAACCTAACCCAACTCAGTGGCAGAGAGTGGAATCCAACTCATGACAACCCGACAGAGTTTCCGAGACTGTAGAACTTCACAGGCGTAGACAGCCTCATGTTGCTTCCACAGAGCAACTGGTGGGTTTGAACCATGAACCTTGCAGCTCAAAGTTCAATGCCTAACCCATCACTACCAGGGCTTCTAACATATCACCATCACTCTTCTAATACATCACCACCAGGGCCCCATCATCTATTTATCAGAATCTCCTAAACCAACCTTTCATGCTTTCTAGAATGGTTCCACTGCACTCATTCATGTCCACAAATCTGAGTGAGGATTTTTTTAAAGTTCTCCTCTAACCTAATCTTAATGCTCAGACCTATCCTGCCTGAAAGTAATTTTTTTTAACAGTTTGATTGGCACTTCATCTGCATATCATAGACTTCGATGGTTCAACCATATTAAAAAGAGTTGTCCAAAAGAAGAAGGAGGAGGGGGAGTTGTACAACCCTGAAAGTAATTCTTCCATGGTTTTCCATCAAACTCGGGAATATTAATATAGCACCCACCAGTTTTCAAAACCTGATCCTACCTATGTTTCTTGCCTTAGTCTCCAACATTTCTGCACATTCCCCATGTGCTTTTGAAATGATTCTCAATTTCCAGAACTCAGTCTACCTGTTTTTGTCAGAGTGGTGGTGCTGTGGGCTAGGCACCAGACTGCCAATCAAACCCACCACCCACTCTATGGGAGAAAGGTGAGGCTGTCTGCTTCTGTAAAAATTTACAGTCTCCGAAACGCTGTCAAGGATTGCTATGAATTAGAATCCATTCAGTGGTAGGGGCTCTGGTCCCTTATGCCTAGAATGTTCTCCCTCTTATTTGCGTGGGAAACTCCAAGAGTCGATATTGACGTCATTATTCTTATAGTACTTCATTTGCTGTATCGATATCTGTCTCTTCCACATGGTGGGCCCACGCAATGCTGGGTTCCACTCTAGCCTCTTATTATCACATGTGTTTAGACAAATGTCCTAATGGTTGTGCCATAATAAGTGTTGAGGGAATTTAATATAATGTTGCAAATTATAAAGAACAAATAGAGCAATCAATGTATGGATTGTAACAAGAGTTCTAAGAGTCCCCAATAAAATGATCTTTTAAAAAAAGAAGAACAAATGGAGTACAAATAAATTCAATCACAAATTTAAATACCAATGGAACAGATGGATTATTTTAAAATATTATAAATATACATATGTGTGTATATGTTCATTTCTCAAAATCTAAATTATATGCAAGTACAAATTAAAACAAATCATGACTCATCTTTTTGAGACTCTTATTGGTGTTATTATTGAAAGAAAAGGGATAGATTGAATGAAAATGTAATGTTCCTTCCAGGCTAAGTTTTTAATAAATTGAATCAACAAACTCACAGAATACCATAGTTAAAAGGAGCCCGAGTCTCAGGAAATTGAAGTGCTGATGTGGTGAATTAATTATACAAAGCCACAAAACTAATTGGAAGTAAATCTGGGACAAACACCCAACTCTTCCATGTCATTTCTATAATTATCATGTTAGTACATTCATCCTTTACTTAGGGATGCATGTTTTCTACTCCTGTGAAGAGGGGCAGTCTCAGAAGCCCACACAGGCAGTTCTTTCCTGGTTGGTAGCGTGGCTAGGAGTAGATTCGATGGCATGAGTTTGGTTTGAGTGTGAGGAATGTGTTGCTTATGATCCTTGGGACAGTCTCTCTTATGCAGTATGCTACAAATGTATACATGTCAAGATTCAAGACAATCCCGAGATACCTTTTCTTACCATCAAACTTTTACTAAGTTGTGTTCTTCAAAAGTTCCAGATTCTAAAAATCTCCTGGATCCTTATTAAAAATGAACTCGCTGGTTCTGTATCAGATCCTCTAAATCCAGGGGAGTGGTTTGGATCAGTATGTTAAGCTAGCCATTCTGATGGCTACATAAGGGTGGAAGAAATAATACAGAAGAATATCCTTTCTCTACTCTAGGGTGGAAGTTAAGGAGCCCTGGTGGCATCGTGGTTATGCATTGAGCAGCTAACTTTAAGATCAGTAGTTTGAAACCACCAGCCACTCCTCAGCAGAAAGATGGGACTTTCTACTCTTGTAAGAGTTACTGTCTCTGAAACTCCCCAGGGCAGTTCTCCTCTGTCCTATAGGGTTGTTTTGAGTCTGCACCAACACACTGGCAATACCCTTGGGTTGTTTTTTTTGGGTTGTTGTTGCTGGTACCTGTGTGGAGGTGGAGGGTGGAGTCCAACCTGTCAATCAGATGGTAGCCTGGTGATGCCTCCCTGGAAGTTGTGGCCTCCTCTTTCTCTGGTCTTTCTGCTTCTTACCTGCTGGAACTCTGCCTGGCTCCAGGGGTGTTCCCCTGGGGGCCGCCTGAACCTGAGAGCTGTCAGTGACAGTGCCCCTCCCATATTTCCACTGACTTCAGGTTCACTGGATGCTGCACCCACTGGCCTCTGATCTTCCTGCATCCTACTTCACCTTCCTAGGTCATGGGCCTATGACTACCGAGGGGGACCTGGCTTGCATCACACTTATAGATTTGAGAGGGACTGGGCTGGGTTGCCTTCTTGATATACAGTCACTTCTTGATATTAGCTCTTTTTTATACATAAATGTGCAAGTATCACTGCATTTGGTTCTCTAACAACCCAGCCTAACAACACACAGTGTGCCCAGAATCCCAATAGGGATTGGGAAAAAGAGAAATCAAATAAACACTTCAGGTTACCAACTTTAAAAAGAATAAAGCAGCTGAATGAGCACAGTGCGACCCCCGTGCCTGGTGGGCTGGTGCAAATGAAAGCAGCACTTTCAAATGTCCTGAGTGGGCAGCAGGGAGTCACTGGACACTTTTCAATAGGGTCCCTGACAGCAACCCTTTATGACAGAGTTTTAATATAAAAAATTTCACTTGGAGAGAACACAAGTATAGGGCAGAGGGTCATTCTAATCTGTAAAACCACATGTCATGCAAGCTCTCAGCAACCCAAGTCATGGGTAGGACAAGTATCAATATCCTCATTACCAAATGGGGACACAAGATAGGTCAACTAAGAAAACCACCCAAAAAACTCGCAGCCACTGAGTCGATTCCAACCCACATCAGCTCTAAAGGGCAGAGTAGAGCTGTCTCAGAGGGTTTCCAAACTTGCCAATGTTTACAGGAGTAGAAAGCCTCATCTGTGCCCCACCGAGTGGCTGGGTGGTTTTGAACTGCTGACCTTGTGGTTAATGGTCCAATGAGTAACCCACACCATCACCAGGGCTTCTTACGTGGAGGTATAAACAGAGGTCAATTGATTTGTTTAGGCCTGGTGTCCACTCCATAGTTTAAGGTTGGGGGCAAGGGTTTGGATATTTTACCTGCTGTTGTTGCTTGAAAAATGATAACTACAGCAAATAAGCCCCCTTGCCCCCCTTTAAAAGAAAAAAGCCCTTCGGTCTCTCTTGGTCAAGTGGGCTTGCTTGTATCAGCAGGCAAGCATCCTTACCTCACTCAGATGAGTCTTCAGCTCCTGTACTTTTCTGTATTCGGGTGTGTCGAGAACCACTTGGTATTTGTCACGCATCTTCCTTGCATTGTCAGTGTACACGTAATTAGACTTTAAAAAACAACAACCCAAATACACAGATCAGCAACAATGCGACCACAAGATGACTGTGTCCCTTGACCATGCCTTCCCTTCCACAGGGCTGGTATGTGCACACTGAGGGACCCTCCCCATGTTCTGGCTGGCTGTCTGTCCAAGTAGGAACTAATGCCCCATGTCATATTTAATTAAACGTTCTTTTTTATCGTACACACGGATCAACTTCAGTTGGTCACGATCAGCTCAGGAGGATTAATGGGAGGTATTCCCCCCAAAAGCAGCTGCCCGTCTAATTCTTCCTGCCCTGCAGCACTCTCCAGCTGACGATGGGGGTGAGGGGGTGTGGGGCACGTGGATCATTGTTTAGGGCTCTGAAGATCGAGACTCACCCATAGCTTCCGCAGATGGCGGGACCGGACCATGTCAGGAGTGTCGTACAGGAAACAGCCCAGGCCCCTCAGGACCTGCAGGTCTTCTTTGTATTTAATCTGTGGGGCACAACCAGAAATATGACTAGTGGGGAGCAAAGGTAAATCAAGAATTTTTTTAAAAGACAGAGTAGTGCGACGCTTTAAGCCGATAAGCCATCTTTCATTTTGGTTCAACATGTCTATCTTGTAGGCTTTGTGCTGTTATTCTCAGGTATCTTCACGCCAACGTGACTCATGATTAGGAATGTCGTCCAGATGCCATCCAATCAGCTGACTCACGACTTCATGAACGACAGAACGAAATGCTGTTGCCTGTTCCTGCGCCATCTGCCTTATGGCACCTGTGTGTGAGTCTATTGCTTGGGCTATGGCACCGACCTATCTCATTGAGTGCTCACCCTCTCTAGCTCACCGGCCTTTCTGGATGATATGGACAATGTCTAATTCTGTGGACTTGATGGAAGCAGATAGCCTCAACTTTCCCACAGGGAGCAGTTGGTGGGTTTGAACTGCTGAACACCCCCAGGGATTCTGAGGGGCTGAGAGTGCAGCTGAAAAGGGGAAAGATACTAAACACCATGAGGTCATAGAGGGCAAGAATCTGGCAATGATTCAATGTTGAGTGAAAGCGGTCAGTTCCCAGCTGGTCCTTGTTGTCCATAGGTAGTGGATGGAATACGGGGTGCTGTTTTCCATGTGGGATCCCTAGGTGGTAAAAATGGCTCATAGGCTTGGCTGGTAACCAAAGCATTGGTGGTTAGCATCCACCCAGAGGGACCTTGGACCACAGGCCTTGCAAGATGCTCCTGAAAAAGCAGTCACCTAAGATCTTACAGGGAAGTGGTTCTCAACCTTCCTAATGCCACGACCCTTTTATACAGTTCATGTGTGGTGACCCCCAACCATAAAATTATTTTTATTGCTATTCATAACTAATTTTGCTACTGTTATGAATCGTAATGTAAACATCTGATGTGCAGGATGCATTTTCATTGTTATAAATTGAACTTAAACATAATTAAAGCATAGTGATTAATCACAAAAATAATATGTAATTATATATTGTGAAATATTTATGTGTTTTCCAATGGTCTTAGGAGACCCCTAAGAAAGAGCCCTTCGACCCCCAAAGGGGTCAAGACCCACAGGTTGAGAACCGCTGCTCTAGGGCAGGGGCTAACCTGACACCCGGGGGCTGCCGTGAGTCGGGATATGCTCCAGGTATTGGTTTCCTTACTGTTTCACCCCCAACATGTACAGCCCATTTGCAAGTGCTCAGGGGAAAAGGGTATTCAAAGATCAGTGGTTGGCCGAAATGCTGAAAGCAAGGCTGCCCTTGATAAAGCACATTGCCCACCAGAAAGATGGCTATGAGATGCTTACATCGCTGGTAATGTCTCCCACGTAGCGGCAGTGGATCACTTGGGGCGTGTATGGTAGAGAAATCATGTGGCCCTGCATCTTGAAGAAGTCTGATTTGTAGATCAACTATAGAACAGAAACACACACATTAGAGACCACTGGCTGGCATTCATCCTTGGATTCCACAGCCTGCCTTTTCCACTAAGAAGACACCCACCTCGCTGACGGCTTCCTGCGTCTTTTTGACTTGGCGGATTTCAGGTGTGTCAGGCGTTGTGTGGATCTTGTCTTTCAGTTTGTGGTACAATTCTCGATACAGTCTCTGCATTGGAGGAAAACCATGGCAGGGATTTAGTGTGCGATAATCAGGGTGTCTATTGACCAACTAACAAGCAAATATTTTACACAGAGATCCATGGAACAAAGTATTGGAGGTAAGAAAAATGACTGAGATTAGGAACAAGGAGAAATGGATACTGATTTTATTTAGATGAGGAATCTGAGCACAGCCTTCCACTTCTGTCAAAAAGTTGAGCAGAAGGCCCAGACACACAAACGAATAGTTTATGTGGAACTAACTGTCTTGTGGCATAAAATTCAGGATTGAATATGAACGTCAAAAAGGAATGCTTTCCTTTGGAAAAAGTGTGCACCATAATCGATGGAACTGATTCTGGAGACTCCATAGTTTCACAAATTATAGAAAAGCATTGCCAACGGAGATCCGTTTCAAAATAGTGTGCTGCTTCTGGCTGAAGTAAGTTTACAGTGAAACACAATGCATTCTGAATGCATTTCAAATACAGCATGAACTTTTTCTCCACTATTTCTCCAACAGAGTTAGCATGTACAGTACCTCGCTGGTAACTTTGTTGGCCCTCCGCACATGGACAAATGGAACATCCTTGGGGCCAAGTGTATACCCATTTGCTTTGATGTGCTCATAAACTTCTTTGTACTTGAACTGTGAAGACAAAGTTGGAACAAGATCAATGATGGGGAAACAAACCAACCAGAAAAGAACAAATTCACTCTCATAGAGTTGAATCAGACCTCATAGCACAGGCTAGTACTGCCCCTATGAGTGTCTGAGACTAGTTCTTTAAGGAAGCAGAGTCTCATCTTTCTCTAGATGAGCGGCTGGTGGTTTTGAATTGCTGACCTTGCAGTTAGCAGCCTGGCAGCCTAATGTCTAAGCCACTATGCCGCCAGGGTTCCTTGGGGAAGCAAAGAGCAGTATCTCCCACAGAAAAAGAGGTGTTACTTTGATTTGAAAATGCTATTAGGTATAAAGAAAGTCACTAGCTTAATTTCAATACTAACCTAATGCTTGACCATTCTTTAGTATTAATAAAAGCAGATTCAGAAAGCAGTAAAACTCAACTTTGTTTAGATGAAATATCTCTGTTGGGGAGTATGCAAACGGCAAGAAAAAAAATCTATCACTTTCGCTCCAGCCTGGCTAAGAAATTAAGAAATGTAAAGAAGGACCCAAGAAAATCTTTTGAAGTCTGATGAATAGCTTTATAGGCAGATCATCTAAGGGAAAAGCCATGTTCCCAGACTTATGACTCTGTGCCCTGAGGACAGGACTCTTGAACCACAGTCTCCTGGATTCTGCCTGGCAGGCAGGTTTGATTTCTGGCCCTCTGAAGGGAGGCATGGAAATGTGAGCTTCCTCTCCAGACAACAGCTGGTTTGCAGGCACATTGGGATAGCCAAACCTTCTCCATCAAGTCCCAACCGGGCCTTTTTACAAGTAGGGGGGGCTCTTAGGAAAGCCAGCGCCTGCATAAGCTAGTAGTTCTGAGATTCTATCCCCTCAGAACTGGGTGGACACAGAGGGTAAGCGGCGAGGTAAGCAGCAGAGCAAGCTGCTAAGGAAGAAATTCTTCCACTTTCAAGGAACACATGATGACATATTAAAACACAGCAAAAGGAAGACGATGACTGTTGTCATGTCGGTTGCTTTTCTGGTGCTGACGTGGCATGGTCTGGCATGCTCGATTACTAAGGCCAGGAGAAATAGAAGCATTATGGCAGCCATAGGCTGTCTGGATCAAGGTCACTTACTCATGGAGGTACAGTTCCTGAGCCCCTGGGTTACTCAGGCACTGCTGATTGCAGGAACAGGCCAGTGTCATCACCCCCTAAAAATATGCTGTCCCCCTCCCTCCACTTTTGGGAGATAAAAGTAGGCTATTAATGAATATTAGCAACCCCCACCCCGACCCCATCTTAACGAGGAGGAGGAGGTACTCACATAGCTGCTCATGTATCGGGTGTCTTTGTTGTGTTTGAAGTGAGGGGTGTCAACAGGGAGCCGATATCCAGTGGGCAGGAAACGCAGGCCACGTCGGTACAAGTTCTGCCAGAATGAGGAGGAGGTGGGTAAATGACATTTCACATCAAATAACAGATCAGGTTTAAGAAATCATACCCAGCGGATTTAGGAAATCACACCCAGCCCACATGAGGTTTCTATCGGGTTTTTTAATGTGTGCATGCTCACTGCATTGATTTCAGGAAGATATTAAGTAAGTTCTATGTCTTGAAGTGAATGAGACTTCTCTTAACCTACTGTTTTAGAAACAGAGGGGAATTGATGACTTCTTATAGGAAGTAATTCTTCTATGCTTTCAAAGTCCCAGTGGTCTGCATGCCATCTAGCAGGGATTTGGGGAAATTAGAGAAAACAGGAAGCCAAGTGACACCTCTATCCTGAGCTCACTGGCAATATTTAAGATGCCACCAATCCTGGAGATAGTCATAATTATAAGGCACATCTTGGGGACACGTTCATCCTGTATCTACATACAAACACAATGCCATGACACCAGTCTAAGGAAAGACTACAATGCTCATATTTACGGCAAGAGCAGGTAGGGGACCTTTTTGTCTGTGACTTTGAATACTCTGTCTTTCAGGGGACAACAGGGTTAAGGAGAGTAAAATATTAAGAAATAAGTTTTCTTTTGACATTCAAGATAAGAGAGTAACATTATAAAAGACTCGAGAAGCACCGTTGGCTGATATAGAACAGGTTATCAAACATGTGGGTTGGGTTCACGTTCTTTTTCTTCTGAATTCTAACAGCAAATTCTAGCTTTATTTTTTATTTTCAGTAGCTTTTTATGACTATATGCCTTGTCTTTCTCAACTTGATTCTAAGCTTTTACAGAACAGAGATAGTAGCTTTGCAGTTCTCTTTGCTAATTTGTCAACATTGCTGAAAACAATGCATATTGTTTGTTTGTTTGATTACCTGATGGGAGAATGCTCCCAGCCAAGAGGGAAGACAGTCTCGGCTCTGTTTCGTTTTCCTTCTCTCTCTCTCTTTTTTCCTTTCACTCTTGATCCAGCCAAGGTCATTTCTACAGATGCCAATGGTCTGGCTGCCCTAGATTTTTCCCGGGCCTTCTGTTGTGTCCTCATGCTTACCTCACTCTGGAGCTTGTAGGCATGCAGTGCACGGTCCAGATCCACCGTTTTAGTAGTTGGGGCCACTTTACCTCTGACACTGTGGATGTAGTCATGGTGGTAGACAGCCTGTGTGGAAAGAGGAAGAGTGGATGGATTCAGACTGTGTTAGAGAGTGCAAAGCAAATGGAAATTCAAATTTCTCTCTTTAAAAAAAAACTCCTTCACGTTGCCTAGAAGACTGATAGTGTCTAGTTCAGTAGGATCCAAGTCAACGACGTGTGATCAGCTAGACAGAGAAATAAATGCAAAGAAATGCTCTGTGTCAGGCATCACAAATCTCAAATGAAACCCGCTGCCCTTTGAGTCGGTCCCAACTCAATGACCTTCTCGGGCAGAGGAGAACTGCCCATTGGGCTTGTGGAACTGCACGGAAGCTTTCCACCTCTCTCTTGAGGAACGTATGGGTTTGAGCCACTAACCTTCAGTCAGCAACCTGACACTGAACTGACTGCATCACCCACGTCCTCTGACAGGATGAGAACAAACCAGAACCACTGCCATACGGTCAGTGTTGACTCTCCCAGCCACAGCCCTACTGGGCAGAATAGAACTGCTCCTTTGATTTTCTGAGGCTGTAAAAAATTTTTTAAATTAATCATTTTGTTGGGGTGGGGGGGGCTCTTAAAAAAATCTTATCATTCAGGCTGTAAATCTTTGTGGGAGCAGAAAGGCTGCTCTTTTCCTGTGGAGCTTCTGGGAGAGTTGAACTGGTGACCTTGCAGTTAGCAGCCCAACGCGTAATTCATTGCATCACCTGCTCTCCTCTTTGAGGCTGTAGAGTGGAGGCGGTACATGTATTTTCCCATTTTACAGGGAAAGATGCTGAGGCTAGGAAAGAGGAAGTCCTTTTCCCAAGTCTAAACAATTAATTAAAAAAAAAAAAGGTTTCTAGCTAGACAGGTATAGATAATAGCTCAGGACACATGGAATCCAGGCCAGATAAATCCTCAGGAACAGAAATGGGAGTAGCAATACCAGAAGTGTAGTGGGTAGGTGAGGGGAGAAGGGGAGGAAGGGCCAATCAAGTGCAATGATTGACACATAACATCCCCCACCCCTCCTGCCCAGGGGGACAAACAACAGAAACTTGGGTGAAGGGAGACAGCGGTCATTGTAAGATATGAAAATAATAATAATTTATAATTGATCAAGGGGTCATGAGAGAGTATGTGTGTAGGGGGGGGGGCCGCAGTAGGGAAAAAAGAAGAACTGATGCCAATGGCCCAAATAGTAAGTAAATGTTTAGAAAATGATAATGGCAACATATGTACAAATATGCTTGATACAACTGATGTATGGAATGTTATAAGAGCTGTAAGAGCCCCCAATAAAATGATTAAAAAACAAACAAAAAAGACCCCTTTGCTATATATATGCTAGAGGCACAACTCCAATCCATTCTTCTAACTTTAAAGCCTAATTGCTTTTTATTCCATTAAAATAACTAGAATCATAACTTCACTCAAACCAAACTCACCGCCATCACTGAGTCAATGCCAACTCAGAGTGACCCTCCAGGACAGGGTAGCACTGCCCCTGCGGGTTTCCGAGAATGTAACTCTTTGTGGGAACAGAAAGCCCCAACTTTCTCCGAGGAGTGGCTGGTGGTTTCAAACTGCTGACCTGGGGGATCACAGCCCTCAAGGTGGAACCAGTTTCCGAGACATCAATTCCAACTCAAGGCCACCCCGTGTGCTGCTGGCCAGGGTTGTGCTCCCTGGGGTTTTCAATGGCTGTAACCTTTTAGAAGCCAACTGTCAGGACTTTCCCCCCTGGAGAGCCCTCTGGTGGGTTTGAACTGCCAATCTTTTTGTGAGTAGCTGACCACTCAACTCAATAGGGAATCCTATTCTACCGTAGTTTGCTAATTTAGTAGGGAATCTAGGTAGTGAGACATAAGCTGGTGTTCATGACACAAGAGTCTAAGAAGCATATTTGAAGCTCTAAGCCACAAAGTATTTCACATATTTAGACCCCTTACGATGCCACCTCAGAGCCCTTGCATCTTAAGTACTTTGTAAGCCATCAACTCTGGTTCTTCGGCTAGAAAAGGGGTGGCATCAGTCACCCAGTCTTTAGTTTTCGGCACTTCCGCTAAGTGGTAGCCTGATCTTGATTTCTGGACATGTCTTACCCACGGCCTTTCCCTTACAGCCAACACTGTCCAAAGCAACTTCCATCAGGAGCACTTACATCACTTAGCTGTTTCCCACTCTTGACAGCTTGGACGTAGACTGGTGTATCAGTGACCAACTTGTAGTTATTCTTTGTTTTCTGCACGTGCGATTTGTATTTGATCTGCCAAGAGAAAGAAAACAGGTCTGTGTCGGGACCATTTGTGATATTAGAAGTATTGTTTCTCACAGAGGCCTTGGTTTCCCTGAACGTAAGGGCTGAAGGCCATCAGTACTCAGTGCACAGACCACAACGTGTCTTTATGCAGATGACTCAGGGCGTGTAGTCATGTGGAGCTTCTAGAGGCTTTCAGAATGCTCAACCAATGCTCTTCTAGGAAAATTTAACTTTCTTTTTGAGATTGTAATGATAGTTGGAGTCAAGGTTTTATATAGCACTTTTCCCCCCTTCATTATGAATAGGTGCTATCTATCATTATCATAAGCTCCTAACAAATTATATTTTCTTTTTTAAAAATTTGTTTTTGTTTTTTTTTTTTAATTTATTTTTTTGATTTTCTTATAATGAGAATTACATATTTTATTTTCCCAAGTAATCCAAAGAGTGGAGAGAAGCGTGAAGGACCCTCTCTTTACCAGAGGGCAGTGCTACAACATGACTCTATGTTTAAGGCGAATGCTCTATGCAGTCCCAAAACTTGTTCCTCCGTGTCTTTTCCCAGGCCAGACTCCCTCGGCATCACAGAAGCCGTGTGGAGCACGGGGTCTGCTGTGGTGTCCCTATTTTACATACTCTCTCCTTGGGTCCAGACTCTACCGGAGGGGAAACATTTTCAAAAGCAAGGGCAAACTCACATCGTTGCGCAGATCATAAGCATGCTTGGCATGGAGAATTTCAGGAGTGTCCCAGACATAGCAGCCGATGCCTTTCAGCCAGGTGAGGTCATCTTTGTACACAATCTAGAGGGTTCCCCCAGATGGAAAGAATTTGTAAAAATCACAGTATAGCAATAAAATCCAAAGACACAATCTGGAACCGCCTTGTCGAGAACAGCTGGTGGCCCCTTAAAAAGTGAACAGCCCTGCTCATGCGACCCACCAGTCTCCAGCACAGGCACGTACCCAGAAGCAGTGGAGGCGAGGATGCAAACAGAAACCTGTATACGCATGCTCATGTGGAGCACTTCCCGTAACACCCAAAGGAGGAAATAAACCAAGAAGGTCCAGCACCAAGTGAGTGGATGAAGGGAGTGTAGTATGTACACAAAGTGGCTTCTCCGAGCCGTCAAGAGAGATGAATTCCTGATGCATATCACAAACTGGATGACCTTGAGACTATGATGTGGAGTGAAATAAGGTCATTGCAGAAGAACACATATTGTGCGACCTGACTTGTGGGAAATAAGCAAATGTCTACAAGCCAAAGCTGATTAGTGGCCACTGGTGGCGGGAATGTGGGGATTACTGCTTAGAGGGCGGCGTGTTTATCTTAATGGTGAATCGGTTGGAAAAGGGCAGAAAGAACGGGCGCACAACTTGAAGCATTCAAGCAGGGCCACTGAATTGTACATGTAGACATCGCTGCAATGGTGTATGCTTTGTTAGCTATCTCTTCAGCATAACAGAACTACAAAGCAAGAACACACCGGGCCCAGGGTGACTTGTGACATGAGAAGGGAAAAGCATGGAGGAACCAGGTCTGGGGAGTTATTTCTGGAACGCACGCAGCTCCGAGGGCAGAGGCAGCGTCCAAATCGAGCCAGACCCACGGATGTGCACCAACGCCGCACCGACAGAGGCTGCGATGGAGACCCAGCGCGCTCTGCTTCTTTCCTAGGTTGTTAGGAAGGGAAACCTCTCCGCGGCCAGGGGCTTACATCGCTGATCTGATCCGTGACTTTCCGGACGTGACTGTTGACTTGCAAGTCGGGGTGGCAAATCCACTCGTGGAGGTGTCGGCGGTAATCAATCTCACTGACTTTCTTCTGCGTGTTCTTAGCAGTGACCATCTCCACCATGTCGGGTACCATGTGGATTTTCATCTTGTTCTTTTCGTAAACCGATCGGTACAGGCGCTGTGGAGTTAAAGCCGCACACGCCCGGTGAGGCAGGGCATTGTGCGAAGTAGCAGGACTTTACGTGCCTTTCCCATACAACACCCCCAGCTAGGGTCGCCAACCTTGATTAGTTGTGTTTGGAAACGGGCTGTTTGGGAACGGGGTGGGGCCTGGGATTTCCCCACCCTTTCTATTGATTCATACCCCGAGAAATTAAAGCAGGCACAGAAATAACCCCGGGCTGCGTCTCCTATGAACACCTGGTGCCACGTGCGTGTTCTCCTAGAAAACGTGCTGATTTCTAGGATGGGGATCTTTCACCCGACTTCGATTAGATTGTGTAAGGTCTTGGGAGGACTTACGTCAATGTTGAATTTGCCAACCCGGAGGCACCTCGCTGTGTTGGGATCATCGTCCACGCTTTTCGGTAAAGTATAGAGAGCTTTGAACTTCTCGTATTCCTCCCGGTACTTGTTCTATAGAGAGCAAGCAAAGAAAGAAACGTGGTTTTGAAGCATCACGGGGCTGGTCTTGTTCAAAGATGTCCTGCCTCTGAGATCTGGCCAGCGCGGGGTCATCTCGGATCTCTGGGCTTGTTTGCTGCCCCCGTGTGGTCAGGCAGCCCTCTTGTCAACACGTGTACCTGCCACAGGGCTGATGAAGCCACTTTAAAACTGTAAACTGCCACAAAACTTGTGACTGCCGTTGAAACGCCTGTCCCAACCCGAGTGCTTTTATGGTCATTACGACCAATTCCTTTTTTAAATTACGTAATTTAAAAATACTCCCTTTTGAGGGAGGGGGAGGGGAAAAAGGAAAATGAGGCGCTAATTCCAGGAACCCAAGTGGAAAGCGAACCTTGAGACTGAGGAGGGCAACGAGTGTATAAGTGCGCTTTACACACTTGATGCATGTGTGGATTGTGATTAAGAGTTGTGTGAGCCCCAATAAAATGATTAAAAACAAATACTCCCTTTTGTAATGATGGCCTAATTTTTTCTAAAGACCATAACTTAAACTTGAAAAGCACAGTCAAGAATTCCTTTATTTTCAAGAATTGCCTCCCCTCATACTTAAAAAGACACATTCCTTGAATTTTAATTTCTGCAAAGCTATAAAAAAAATACAGCATAACCCACTTCTGTGGGAGAGGAACGTTTAGGCATTCCTAGCTGAATGCATCACATGACTAAGTGGTAAGGACTTTGCAGAAAATAAGAGCCAAGCTCAACTGCCCCACAGCCCAGAGGCCTCCGCTCGCCGCCCCCCATGCCCCACCCCAGAGGCCTTCTTCTCAGTAAGGGAGAAGCGATAGGAGCGTGTGTTTCAGAACTCCAGTGAAGCCCTTTACTGGCTGCAGGCCACCAAGCACCCATCACCGGAGTTCCGGGACCTTAGTCGCCATGCTCCTTAGCTCCGAAGAACACAGCATTCAAAGGCGTTGTTTTTTTTCCTTTTGAAACTCAGGTTGGCATCCTTCGAGGATTCATTGCCTATCTCGATGACTTTTCCCCACAATGAAAAGAAAATCCCCGTGCTAAGCTTTCTAAATCCTACCCATGCTTCTTTTCCCGGACGGAAAGTTTACTGCTTTGTGCTGTTCCTTTGCAGTCTTCCAAATAGAATTGGGGTCTGAGCAAAATCATATACATTAATTTTTCCTTCAAGGGACAATTTAGATGAACTCCATATATTGTGCAATGAAGTCCTTTTCTAAAGTGGGCATCTCTGTGCCCATTAGAAGCCAGTGAAATCAATTCAGTGTGTCAAGTAGGGTTCTGAACGGGTGGACGAGGACTGAAACAGTCACAGTGTTCTACTGTCTACAGAGAAGAGGTAAGTGGTCTTCCGTGACACATTGTAGATTTATGAATGTGTGTGTGGTTTGACTTGCAATATGAAATAAATTTCTCACTTCAAACCATGGTTAAAAGAAAGTGGAGAAATGCTGGCCTGACTCACTAGGAGGGGAAAGCCTCTTACATTTCTAAAAGAGAAAGGAGTTTGTTAGAAGGTCAGTGAAGCTCACTGGGAATTTTATAAAAAGAAGTTTTACTTAAGAACATTTTAGGCACAAAAGGTTAGAGCTCCTAAGATGTTGTAACTGCTTTGTTTGTTTGCTTCACTGTTTATGCCTCCGAAAAGTTCTGCCTTATAAAAGTAGAATTCTAGAAGGTTATAAAATTTTGTATTTCATAATTTTAAAAGCAATTTTGCCCCATCATTTGTTTGGGCATGGTGTAATAACTGGTTATGACATTTACTGTTTTATTTTTGTCAAAAAGCCCACATAATACTACTGAAGAAGCATCTCTGCTGAGGAGTGTATTTGCCATCGGCACGGTCTCAATCTGGCTAAACCGGAGCCTCCATGTCAGGAGCAGGCAGACAGCCCAAGAACCCCATGTTGGTGCTCTTCCCGCCAGTGCTTGGGGTCACAGTGCCCTTGACGGGGAACAGTGAAATGCACAGACTTTGAGCACTGAGTATCCAGAATGCTTTACAGGGATGAGCCCACGGACATAGTCAGAGGGTCAGCAAAAGAATCAGCTGGAATTGTCCGGGGAGTGGAAAGCCGCGAGGGGCAGAAGGGGCGGGAGGGGAAGGGGGATGGCGGCCAGGTTTGTCTGACTCACAATGCTGGCTAGATGTTTCAGGTTCTTGGCGTGGGTCAGGGACACGGCACTGGAAGGCAGAATGTAGCTGGTGGCTTTCACTCTATCCCAGGCCTCCTTGTACAGGTTCTGTAGGGATTAAAAATCTTTCTTTAATATGGGGAAGAGGTTTCTGTGGATAAGGCATGGCTCTTCCTTACAGAAGACTTGGCAATCAATAAAGGAAAACCGAAAATGAGCACACTAGAAATGGTCACTGAAGCAATATCCACTATGGGACTCTGAAATACGTGGGAGAATGCTTGAAGAGAAACAGGGCGTCCGCGTGGTCTCACAGTAGCTCCCCCCAGTGAACACAGTAACTTTGTAGTGGAGAAACTTGACAGATAGCAACTAGAACAAGGAATCAGGCTTAGTATCAACAGGGACTGTCATCATACACCATCTGATATGACATCCCTAGAGGGGTCTATCAGATAGATCTGTGTTACTCTTGACAAAAACACATAACTGAAATCTAATCATAAGAAAACACCTGACAAGCCCCAGGGGAGGACTTTCTACAAAATAAATGGTAAATATTCTTTGAAATGGCAATATCACAAAAGGTAAGACAATGCAAAGGAGTTTTGAGAATGATGTACAAATGTGCTTTACACAATTGATGTGTGTATGGATTGTGATAGAGTTGTATGAGCCCCTAATAAAATGTTTGAAAAAAAAAAAGAAAATGCAAAGGGATGGTCACAGATGCAGGAGAGGAAGCAGACTGAGGAGCCATGGGAGCTGCGATCAACTTGAGATTATGAACTGGCTCCTGGGACAGAAAGAGAATGTCAGTATTAGGAACAATTGGTGAAACCCAAGGAGAATGTGTAATTTAACGAATAGTATTTTGGCAAAGGTAGTTCCTTGGTTTCAATCACTGTAATATGGAGAAATGGATTGATGGATATCTGTATTGCGTTTGTGAGTTTTCTGCAAGTCTAAAGTAAAGGGTTCGAAAAAATGTTTGTTGAACGAACCGACTCTGAGAAGGGAAAACAGAATGCTTTCGTTGGCCATTGTAAAAGCCCGTGGTGGTGCTGTTTGGGAAATCATCGGATGGCTGACTCTAAGGTCAGCGGTTCAAAATCACCAGCTGGTTCAAGTGAGAGAAATGCAGCCACCTGCTCCCATACAGGTGTATGGCCTCAGAAACCCAGATAAGGTTGTTAGGAATCGGAACTGACTGATGGCATGAGTTTGGGAGAAGCCAGAGTGCCTGCCCATAAAAAGAAACAGGCTTTGATTTTGGATCAATGGCATGAAATAGGGCAATATTCTAATTAGGGTTTATTTCACTGTAATGCCGAGGATTTATTAGGTAAAGCAGGAATTTGAAGGTCCTGAAAAACCTCTGGGACAGGGTGCCTATCCATTTTGTTCTTTTATTATTTCTGAAGGAGGGACAGCTGGGAAAACAAAACAAAACTCAACTTACACTGCTATAAAGATTCTTTAGATTCTTGATTCTGCCGTGGTCCACTGTTTCTAGAATGGTTGTGTATTTATCTTTAATCTGGTGATAATTTTCTTTGTATTTCACCTACAGACAAAAAGGGGGAAAGAAGGGGTTATTCAACTGCTGTTGTTTGAAATGGGGTTTCAGACTAGTTCGAGCCAATTCAGTCATGGCTGAGGAAGAGGCACCGGAAAAGCCCTGAATTGTTAACACGTGGGCGATCCAGGAGCTCTAACAGGATAGGCAGCATGCTGACCGGTGGACGGGCTGGGATGGGAGGCTCAGGGGAGGAGTAGCTGAGCCTAACTTGGACCCTTGCATGACTGGCCGGCCTGTGCAGAGCGACACACATTCAAATCAATGTGGGCCCACCCTTGAGTCCGGCACCTCCCCAGTCTGCTGGCCCAGTTTGGTTGCTATGCAACACCACTGTCCTTATTGTCTACGAGGGAAATTACATTCCTAGCAGGGTTTCTCAACCTGCAAATTTCTCCATTCCAGTGATCACCCCGGCTCACCCACATTTTAACAACTCAGGTCCAGTCAGGACTACACAGCGATGGCGACTCGGGGTGGGACGGGTCCCCGGTCCTGGTTTGAAAATGCGTGCAGACAAGAAGGGCTTGCTCCTGGCCCAGCAGTGCCAGGAAAACTCACCTCGCTGGCATTGATGCCACTTTGAACAGCAGTCACATAAAGTGGCGTGTCTGTGACCATATTGTAGTTTTGCAGGTTTTCTTTACCTGCTGCTGTGTATTGTATCTGCGAAGAAAACAAAAGTCAGCCCAGATGGTTAAAGTCCTGGTCTGTCATCAACTTCAACAACCATTGCTAAGTTAGGCACCTTTATTTATTCCTGGGTGTTTTTTTCCCCTTTAATCCTTCAAAAAAGGAAATAGAGGCTGTCATCCTCTGCTCTAGCAGGCTGTATATGGCTGCCTGAAACAATAGTCTCTGTTGCCCAAGACCGGATCTCTAGGACGTCTCTGTTGCTGTTTCCATGTCTATATTCCTATTTCCCCACTCCAATTCGACGTGCCATTATATCCGTCCTATCAGAGCCACACCCGAGCCTTCAAATTGTCCATCTAGTCATTATTTTCCCCGCAAACTTATCTATGCTTTCACCTCCTACTCCTAGCATGCTAACCGGGACCATTACGGTCGAGACGTGCGAGAGTAATTCCCTATGAAATGCCTCCCAGATGCCTCTCTGCTACAAACACCCAGTGCCTCAAACCACAGGAGTAGCTCCTAAGGAGAAGGCCAAGCACCAGGGCGGGGGGGCCCCCCAGGGCGGCTTCCTTGGGTAGGGCCTTTGGTTTCCTCTGACCACACACAGCCAAGAGACAGCATGGCTATTAGGCCCACTGGGTCCAATGCGGATTCGGATGACAAGTCCTTCTAAAGGGAAGACTAGCTCACCTGACTCTGGAGATCATACGATTTCTTGGCATGCAGGATCTGGGGCGTATCCCAAACGTAGCAGCCGATGCCTTTCAGCCAGTTCAAGTCCTCTTTGTACACGTTCTGTAGGAAAGAAGGAACAGCAAAAGCGACAAGTACCAGATGGATTGAAAACTGAAACTGGGCTGGGCTTCCTAAAAGCTGGAAGACCGTTAATGCTCTGGCTTGGGTCTTAGTCTGGTGTTAAACAGATTAAGTATCTAACATAGCTATCCCAAAACTTGTAGAGGATTCTTACACCCCAAAGTGGCTACATCAGGACAGAAGCCGCGTTCCTAAGAATACGGGCAATGGGAACAGAGAGGGCAAGGCGAGGGAATCACGTCAAGTTGCCGAGAGGACGTACATCACTCAAGATCTCCTGGGCATTTCGGGCACGTATAACGTTGGGTTCTTCCGGAAGAGAGGTCCACTGGTGAAAGTAGTGCCGATACTCCAGGTCGCTGAGGATGTACTGGCATTTTTTAGCCAGCACGTGATTCATCATGTCATTGGGGATATGCACATTTGCTTTGGTGTCCTCGTAATCTCGCCTGTAGTTCAACTAAAGGTCATATTTTAAGACAAACAATAAGAAAAATTGAATGCTATGATGGATGGATTCAGTGCCAGTAAAACTATTAAAAAGTAAATAAAAATTGAAAAGAATAAAAATGTAAATGATTCAGATTAATCCCTTTTAGCGTCTCATTTCCAGTGTACATTAGCACTTTAGAACAGACTATGGTTTTTTTTTTAAAAAAAGAGATAATGTGTTTTGTTGGGTTTCCTTTTTAATTCCCCTTTCCTTTTAAAATGCAGTGTAAATAGTGAACTCGTGCTTTCTTCTTTCCAAAATATGAAGCCCTCACTGTGTGTTTGGTAGTGGGGGAGGAGAGGAAATGGAGGTGGCACAGAACCAACAAGGGGTGCCAAGGCTAGCTGTCAGGGTATAGACAATCTTCAAGCATAGTTCATTGCTCACTACCTCCTCCTCTCAGCTCATCTCGATACAGAATCCCTGCTATCAGAGGGCAAACGCACAAGTACATTCACCCAAACTATCATTGACTCAATTCTGACCCACAGTGACCCTGCAGGACACAGTAAAGCTGCCGCTGTGGGTGTTTGAGACTGTAAATCTTTATGGGAGTAGAAAGCCTTATCTTTCTCCTGGTGCTTTTGAACTGCTGACCTTGTGGTTAGCAGCCCAACACTATGCTACCAGGGGTCCTTCCAGTACACTTAAGGTATTTTTAAAAAATGTGAACCTTTTGCTTACCGCACTCCTCAGTTTTTGGAAATCCAGACAGTGAACCACACCAGGGAACTCACTGATTTCTTTTCCAGCTAGGTAGTGGCCCTTCTGCTTTTCATATATCTCTTTGTATTTAAGCTGTGAAGTAGACACAACATTGAGAATTATTGGGGTTCTCTAGCCCCTGCCTTCCCAGCCCAGTGCTGGTACCAGGACAGACCAAGGAAACAGAGGCTAAGGAAACAGAATCAAGAATCCTGATAAATCCATACAGCTTTGGATGTCTGATCTTTGACAAAGAGTCAAAGTCCATTAATAAGGAAAGAGGTCTCGTGAACAAATGGTGGTGGCAAATTGGATAACTGTTAATGTCTCACCATACAAAAATGAACCCAACATGAACCAAAGACCTAAGTCTTAAGCCTCAAACTAAAAGTTCATGGATGAAAAAATAGGGATAAAACTAGGCCCCCTAATCTATGGCCTAAGTAGAATATCAAACACAACCAAAAATGTACAACCAGCAGAAGGAACTAGGGCCTCTAGTTTTTTAAGAAGATTCTCAAGCCCATGAGTAGAAACAATCACTCAAGAGGTAAGGATTTACCTCACTATTCACGTAGTCCGCATGCTTGGCTCCAACAATGGGAATATAGCGCTCATCCAAAGTATAGCCGTAGGCCTTGGTTCCCTCCCAGGCTCCTTTGTACAGTATCTAGAACCAAGAAATCCGTGTCAACCAACGTTTCCACTGAACTTCTTTCAGACATCACCAAAAGTTGGTAAGCTATTTATGTTTAAGAAAAGGCTTATTGAAATTGGATGCTGAGGCTTTTAACGATATAAACAAGATTTTTTTTTAACATTTTATTAGGGGCTCATACAACTGTTATCCCAATCCATACACACATCAATTGTGTAAAGCGCATTTGTACATCATTTCTCAAAACATTTTCTCTCCATTTAAACCCCCGACATTAGGTCCTCATTTTTCCCCTCTCTCCCCGCTGCCCCCTCCTGCATGAGCCCTTGATAGTTTATAAATGGGTATTTTGTCAATAAACAAGATTTAACTACATTTACAATTCTAGGAAAATAAGACAACTCAGCACACACGTACACATACATCATCCTTTCAACTAGCTGGCTTAAATTTTGGAGAACACGGCTTCTGTTTGTTGGTTGAATAGATGTAAACTGGCTGCTAAGAAAGACCAGCCTTTCTTCCCTTCTGCTTGTTGGTAGTCGTTCAAATTCAGAGCTTTTTCATCACTGGTTACACGATTATCTATCCATTTACACATATGTCTGTTTCTCTCACTGGACGATGAGGGCATAGCTCCTTGAGCTTTTTCTCCTTTGAGCCTCACAAAGTGCCTGACACATTAGAAGGGCTCAAACATTACCAGCTGAATAAATACTGCTCACCTTGAATAATACGCTGCTTCCAATAAAAAAGACCAAATAAATATTTTTGGGGTGCCCAAACCCAGGAATTAAAGTCTTTTCTCACAAATTAAGCTGTTGACAAGTATCAGCTGAGAATATGAATGGTGACAAGAGCGAAACCAGGAACTCAACTGCATGCCTGTCACATAAAATAGAGCTCACCATGCTATAGAGCTTCCCCATGGCCTTGGAGTGGGTGATATGTGGTGTGTCTGGAGAAAACGTATACTTGCCCTTGGCTTTATTAAAAGTTTCTTTATATTTTACCTAAGGAGGGAAAACAGAACAAAGAAAAAGGTCTTTTGAATACTACACACATACAATTTTTATTGGATCTACCTTAATGACACAACAATTAATCTACATTTACACTTAATCATAGCCCAAAGGTGGAAAAGCAATTCATCTACATTTAGAGGAACAAGTAACCACCTATCTGGTTAAATTTCCAGTTCATTTTAATATAGTAGGATAACTTGGACAAGACTATAGATGCTATCTAGAAATGGACATAGTATAATATCTCTAGAGGCTTTTAAGAAATCCCATCCCCCCAACGTTATCTTATAATTTATATACCCAATATTGCTTACAAACAATTATCAAGATTGAGCAACTCCCCAATTTATGTACTTCCTTATCTGCAAAGCACACTTACATCACTTTGATTGACTGAGTTAATCTTGGCCAACACAATCTCTGGAGGATCTACCACACTTGTAAAATTAGGGTAGTTGTCAAGAGCACCTTTTTTATATTTTATCTGCAAAGAAACAGAGAAGATTACGACAGGTCTCGTCCCAGAGAACGCATGCAGGTAAGGAGGGCCAGTAAGAAAGAGAATTGACTGCATACCTGATTCACCATTTCCTGGTTCCTAGTAACTCTCAAGTGGTCCACAGAATCCAGGGGGATCCAGCCAATGCCTCGGAGCCATTCCAGGTCGGCTTTATAGATGTTCTGAGAGCGGGAAGACAGATGTGAAGCAGGTGTAAATGACCCAGGCACAAGATGACAGAAAGATTAGGGGCAAAATGTTTTTTGTAACCCTTTTAAAGGTTTTCTTTAGTGGCGGTTGTTTAGTTCATTCAAACACGGATTATTTTGTTCCCTTAATGCACGATACCTTGCCCTTGTTACTATGACCCAGGCACTGTACTAGGTGCTTTGAAGGATGAATATAAACAAAGATCTAGGAGTAGAGAGCTGATGATTTAACATGCTCGACTACTAATCGAAAGGTTTCATAAAGCTGACGACCTGCTGCCCCGTCACCCATTGAACCCCATGGAATACGGGTACTTCTGATACACGCTGGTTCTTCAACTCGAACCCCTTCTGATACATGCTTCAACTCGGGTCCCTTCTGATACACGCTGGCCCTTCACGAGTTGGAATCGACTCTGGGGCAACACTTTGGTTTTGTTTTTCTCCCCAGATGTGTTGATAAAGCATTTACAAAGTGGAGAGTGGCCCATGCTTTGAGAGCAAGGTTACCAACGTGCTATGGGAGTTTAAGGGAAGGAGTCCTTGTTCTCAGTGGACATAAGAAAAGGTGTCCCCCAAGAGGCTGTGCTTTTAAACATACTTAAACATTTCACTATGTGGAAATATGTGAGGCTTTCAGACTACATAAAGTAAATAAGACAAATAAATGGCCATGTAATTGTTGGGAATGGGGACGTGTCTCCTCATGCGGCCTTTCTCCCGTCCCAGATCCTGGCTTCTCTGGGTCAAGCCCACAGCAAATGACGAAATGATACCACTCTGAGAACCGTTCCAAGCAGTCACGGTGCTCCAGCATCATGGGAGGTGCAAGAAGCTTGAGTTCAGCTCGGGGGAAAGAGTCACTGTCTATGCATCTGGTTTCCTTTCTGCTTGTGACGAGAAGCCCCAGGCAGGGGTAGCTTCCCTGTGCTCCTGACCATGGAAGGCATGTGTCGTGTGTCTGTTCCCTACAGACTACTGGTGGTAGTGGTCTCCATTCAGGTTTCAGAGGGAGATGGGCTAAGTGACATTCTCCAGACTAGCTTTCCCAGGGCTTTGGATGAGAGAATATGAAGGCCTCAGGCAACTAGTCAACACTTTGTCTCCCTTTGGGTTTGAATACTGGTAAATACCTTCAGAAGAGGTTTGCAGAATGAAGAGTTTGGCAGAGCAAATTGGGGTATTCCTAAGTCCTTGATCATAGGACGTCCAGTATGGTCAAGCCCCAACTATCACCCTGCAGTTCCCACCCATGCTATTGATTTTTAAACCAGCTGATCGTTTTCCATGTTCCTGTGAGTGAAGAGTTGCTAAGGGGACAGAGAGAGCAAAATGGGCAGATTTTTTTTTTTAAATCGACCTTGATTTTGAAACGTATTCAGGAAAGAATATTCAATAGACAAAGTTGTTAATCAATCACTGCTCTAATTTTTGTTGACCCAATCCTCAGTTTCAATGGTTTCTGGAATACACATATGTATATATCCCAAAGTTTCAAAGACTGATACTTCTGTAACATTGTGTCTGTTTCCAGGTCAGACCACAGATTTCTAAATAATTAAGAAACAAAGATCACTTACGTCACTCTGTAGGTCATAGGCCTTCCTGGCCTGAATCACATCATTTTGGTCAGGGTGGCACGTCCACTGGTGCAGGTAATTCCGGTAATCAATGTCACTGACAAGGTTCTGCCCCTGCTTGGCAGCCAAGACTGACACCATATCGGCAGGTATGTTGACTTTGGATTTGGTTTTGTGATAGTCCACTTTGTATAGCCTGTCGTTCTGAATCTGGCCGGCATGCTCAAACCAAACCAGTTTACGGTCATCTCTCATGGTCGGAACGCCGACATAGTGGCCCCTTTGCTTTACGTGTTCAGCTTTGTATTTCAGCTGGTGGGAGAAGAACACACATTGTGTCAGCTTTGACGAGCATGCACCGGTGAAGGGGGCTCTGACCCGCTGCTAGGGAACTCAGCTCCCAGTCTTTGGGGGTGACTCCCCCTGAGAACGAGTAAGATAAAAAGGTCTCTAGAAGTAAATTACATAAAAATCAATGAAAAATGAGGGAAAACGGATACTTGGTTCCTAATTCTGATAATATTTTTATGGTAGGCCTAGAGATTTTGGGTGGGGAGGGTGTAGAGAATATAGGAAGAAGAACTCAAATAGTAGATTTGGAGAGAGAGAGAAAAAAGACGAGTCGAGAAAAACCCAACTTCTAAGGCATAAGGGCCCAAAGGGGAGTAGGTTTGCCCGCTAGTGCCATGCTCAGCTGGGTGTGCCAAGCTGAAAAGGAAGATTCCAGTGGGCAAGGCTTCAGGCAGAGTTTACATCGCTGATGGGCAAGGTCCAACTTCTGCAAAGTAGCCGGACACCAGGGTGAATTACCTCACTCTGCACATCGCTGGAGTGATGGGCATGAACGAACGGCACAGCATCAGGAGGCAGGATGTAACCAGTGGCCTTTTGCTTCTCCCAGCCTTCCTTGTACAGGTACTGAAAGATGGAACGGCATCAAGAGGTTACCACCGGAAGTCAGACCGGAAGGAGAGGCCATTTGCGTAAATCTCATCCCGTTATCCATCCCCACGCAAAGTACCGGGCTTCCTGGTAAGCCCATACCTGGTCCAGGATCCGGGCTGCCTCCTGGGCAGTGTGTAGCAGCGGGGTTTCTGTGAGGGTGTACTTGTATTTGTTGTCATTCCAATCTTTCCGATACTTAATCTAAAATTAATAGGGAGTACGTGAGTCGATGTTAAGGAAATACCATGTTGACCATGTGGTTGCTAGCGTCAGCAATTCCCACCATGAAAATCTGTATCTCAGGCAAGAATAACATGCTGAGTGTAAGCATTTAGAGCAGCTGTGCACATGGTTGTGCAGTTTGCGAACGACAGCCAGGCACTCACATCATCCAGGATCTCGCCACTTTGCTTTGCTGTCACATAATCCACTCTGTCATCCACAGGGGTAAAGTTGAGAGATTCTATTTTTGTGCGATATTTTTTCTGTGAAGAAGAAAGATATACTTTAGACAGAGTTGTCGTCCCTGGCCCTGGGTGAGCTGCGGAAGATACACTAAATTTAAAGGTCCTTCTCTGGGAAGAGTACCACCCATCTGCCAGGTGTGTTGTCCAGTGGCATCTTGCATGCTGTTGTGGTGCTGGATGCCATACCACTGTTATTTCAAATCTCCACGGTGGATAGGCTTCAGCAGAGCTTTCACACTTAAGGCTCCCAAGAAATGCCTGGCAATCTGTTTCCCAAAAATAGCCAATGAAATCCACACAGGTTGTAACAGAACATTATCTAACTTGCTTGCTCAGGACACATTATCCGTAGAAAGCTCTTACTAGAGGAGATTGGTACAGGATTCTTTGGGGAGGATGTATGCCTGGCCTAAGGTATAGCAGTTGTAATTGCTGGTATCAGATGGCTGAATGTTGGCTTCTATTTGTTTCAGCCTTCTGGGAAGCGTGGTGAGTGGCAGGGTGATATCTTGGAATACCTCACTGAAGATATCTGCAGCGTGTTTTGCGAGATTGACAGAAACGGAATCATTTGGCATCCACCCAATGCCACGTAACCATTCCAAATCAGCCTTGTAAACAGCCTGTGAAAACAAGAACACGGTAAGAATTCAGCAGCCTGCTCAGCATCCGTGGGTCTGATGGGTACATACAATTTAAATACTGCATAATTCCAGGATGACATACTTCAGCAGCCATGCAGGTAACTTGGGTCCATTAATTAGATCAGTGTGGCAAATTATTTTCAATTTTTAAAGGGAAGCCCCCACTCGGTTCTAACTTCTGATGGCAAGAGGTAATGCAGGTCCAGAGTTTTTTCCCTCCGATACTTTAGATAAATGGGAGATTTGGATTTTGTATATGGAATTCCCTGATTTAAAAATTTAAACAGAGTATCAACTTTTGACTTCTGATATATATCTTGATAGCTACCTAAACTTGACAAGGATAATATTTGGGCAGCGTTTTTCTTTCAGCCGATACAACTAAGAACAATATTCACATGACATTGGTGATTTAGATATCACACTATAAGTTCTACCTAATGTCAAATGTTTTACTGTAAGAAGACCCAACATGCTCATACCAGGTTCCAATGTCATAAACTGTCTAGGAGTCATGGCAAAAGATAGGAGCACTCCTCTTAAGATGCAGCCTACTCACATCACTCTGTAGTTCATAGGCTTTCTTGGCCTGAATCACATCGTTCTGGTCAGGCAGACATGTCCACTGGTGAAGGCGATTACGGTAATCGATGTCACTGACCAGAATCTGACATTTTTTAGAATGTAAGATGGAAAGCATATCCACAGGACTTTGGATCTTGGACTTCCATTTGGCCCATTGGAGCCGGTACTCTCTTTCATTCTGAATCTTGCCAGCTATGAGGGCCCAGCGGATCTTGTTGTCATCCCTGGCTGTCAGGGTGCCCACGTAGTGTCCTTTCTGCTTCTCGTGGTCCAGCTTGTATTTGTACTGGGATGGAAAAACAAAGCAGATGGGTCACAGTCGGCACTCTTGCTGTAGCCAGGGCAGTTGTTTATAAACCGAGAAGTTGAAAAACGTCGTGCTTACGTCACTGGCGATCTCCCGGGAGGCCTTGGCTGCCTGGATAGGGATGGCGTCTAGTCGCACATCACAGCTCATCTTCACCTCGTCCCAGCCTTCTCGGTAAATTTTCTGAAGAGTAGAAAAAATAGGATATCATTCCAGATTCCTGTTCACCAATAAAGCAGGGAAGTCAAGTAGAATGAACTGTTATGACAAAAGAGCACAAGTGGAAGAAATAGTCCATGCATCATTACGTCAATCTACTGCACAAGTGCTGAAAAGCAGAGATGCTACTTTGAAGACTAAGAACAGCTGACCCAAGCCATGATGTTTTCAATGGCTTCATATGAGGGTGTAAGTTGCATACTGAGTAAGAACTGAAAAAGAACTTGAATTACGGGGTTGGTGAAGAACGTTGAAACTATCATGGACCGCAAACGAAAAAACGTATGTGTACAGTCAGAATGCTCATTAGAGGCTGGGAGGGTGAGACCTCGTCTCGGGTACTTTGGACATGTTATCATAAGAGACCAGGCCTTGGAGAAGGGCATCACGCTGGTAAAGGGGAGGGCAGTGAACCCGAGGAAGGCCCTCGATGAGATGGACTGGTACAGTGGCTCAGGCCGTGGAACACCTGTGGGGGTGGCACAGGATTGAGTAGTGTTTTGTTGTTGTGCACAGCATCATTGTGAGTCGGAACCAACTCAATGGCACAACAGCAATCAGCGACAATGACCTTGGACTAGGACTGCTGTGTGGACTCCAAAGGTCTGAGCTTTACAAAGAGTTATTTCTTCATTATTGTAATCAATCTCGCTGTGGTTGCTCATCGTGTATGATCACATGCATCCCACGAAAGGGTTAGCTACTTCCTGAATGTCTATATGAGTCAAATTGGGCCAAATTGTTGAATTTTTTCCCTTCAACAATCCAATTTCTTCAATTCAATTCCATTTTGTGATCTTCAGAATTATAAGCTTTTTATGTTTGTATGGCTTTGTCCCCCCACTATGGCTCCTTAGAATTTCTCGTAGGACAGGGGGACATGTGGCTTGGAATGTTAGGTCTTCTGCTGATCCCCAATGAGCTGAAATCGTTTGTTTTTCAATATCGTGCTGTTTTGTTCTTACAGAGTACTTAACTAAGGTAGTGAAGACCTTATACATGACTTTTTAGAGATATATTCATATTTAAATACAAATCTTATGTGGACAATGGTGGGAGGACTCAGAAAAAAGGAGTAATTTAAATGGTGAGTGCTCAGGCAAATTTTGTTCTTGCAACCATGGACAAGTTTGGTACAAGTTTACCATCCAAGTTTTTGCCTGAATATTGGGTGGGCCTATTTAAAGAATCTACATGTTTCTGTACCAAAAAAAAGTATTTGTCATAATAAAATTTTAGTAAATGTTTAATGAAAACTTGTCATTCTATTATCTCTTTTAAAATCTATTTTACTACATAACTCCAAAAATGATGCCATTGAATGGATTCTGATTCATAGCAACCCTGTAGGAAAGGGTAGAACTGCCCCTGTGGGTTTCCAATATTGTCACTCTTTATGAAGGTAGAAAACCTTATCTTTCTTCCATGGGGCAGCTGATGGTTTCAAACTGCTACCTTGTGGTTTAGCAGCCCAATGCATAACCTCTGCGGCACTGTTTATTTGATTTAAATATTCTATTTTCTTCACACACACACAAAATGTATTCATTGCCTGAGTCCTATCTTTCCACCTACTTCTGTTGAGAACTTGGGTAAATTCCTTCGCCTTTTAAAATTTCCACTTTCCCTTCTGATAAAAAGCAAAACAATACAATCTTACCTTTGTGGTATAAAGCTGAAACAACTACATTTCTTGTAAATGGATTTGTTATCTATAAAATCATATGCAAATATTCTGCAAAGGGATGTTGTTTGAAGGGATAGAAGCCATTGAGCATAGTGGGTTTTATCTGGCTGACAGACTGGCAGAGCCTGGTGCTATGGTGGGGTGCACATTGAGCTGCTAATCAGAAGGTCATCAGTTCGACCCCATCAGCTACTCTGTAGGAGAACGACAAGGCTGTCTACTCTCATACAGGTTTATAGTCTCAGAAAATCAAAAAGTAGCAGGTCTACCCTGTTCTACAAGGTTGCTGAGTCAGAATCAACCTGATGGCAGTGAATTTGGTTTGGGGTGGTTTGATGAGTATAGGAAATGTCTTTATATTTTGCTTAGCATCAAATGTGATGTTTGAATTCTTCCAAAGCCATTTCTCATTTATACCTAAAATCAACACACTTTACTTTTGGCATCGTTTGTAAAACTAATTTGCTTGTATCATGATGCTAAGGGTAGACTTCTGGCCTTTCCAGCTGAGGTATTTATCATGCAAAAGAAAGCACATGGGGGAAAACATTAAAATTGAAAAAAAAAAAAAAAAGCACATGGAGACTTTCCTGAAGCTTCCTGCCAGAGGTGCCTGTGGACAGCACTGAAGCCTATGCAGCAGCTAAGAACTGAATGCCCCTTAATCTGGTCTCCTGGCAACAGTAATGCACTGCTCCATAATTGCTTGTGGTGTGAAAACAAACATACTCCCATGCCTCAAATTTCATTTTCTTCCCAACTATCAGGGAAAAAATTGCCCCAAAGTGACTCATTACAACAGAGTCAATGGAGCACTTTGGCAACCCATCTTTGGTTGGCCGTGTCCTTCACTCACAAAGACTTATTGCTCTTCTGCAAGGACTCCATGTTTTTAACCACAGGGGACTGCACTAAGGCAGTACTTTTCTTCCAACGTCATGCTTATTTTGCACACAAGAAATCTGAGATCCATGAAAGTGGTCTCTTGGTTGAATTTTAATTTTGTAGTTAGCTACGTTAGTGAATGCTCTTATTGAACCCAATACCTTTTCAAGTGATTCCCTTGCCTTTTCCAGATATATACAAAAACAAAAACCAAACTCACTGCCATTGAGTCAATTCTGACTCACGGCGACCCCATAGGACAGGGTAGAACTGCCCCTGTGGGTTTCAGAGACTGTAACTCTACTTGGGAGGAGAAAGGCCCATCTTTCACCCAAGGGGCCTCAAAAAGCTTATGGAAATATGGATGGTTGAAGTCTCTTATTATTTCTTTTGCAAATAATGAAAACTTTTTTTCTCTTCCAATATTCATCTTATTCTGTCAGGTAGTTGCTTCCAACATTTGTGACATGATAGTAAAATGCCAGAGAGCACCATTGCTTTATACTTGATTTCAACAAAAAGCTTACTGAAAATAAAGCTGGCCTTTAATGTGAGGTTACTTTCAAATCAGTGTCAACAAATATATTGGTTGACTAAGATTTAATAGCTAAATGAAATATACTAACTTGCTAAGTTCACATTTCGGAAAAAACAAGGAAGAAAGCTATTGACTTGTCCACGTGCCTTTTCAAATCTAAGACCAGGAGCACATGGTGATTCTCTTCCCCATTATCTTCCTTGGTTCTGAATATGGAGCCCTCCTGGCATTTGCTCCTATCATGATTTCAACGTATGTGTCAATATAGTATTAAGATTTTCCTCTTTACTATTGGATTTACAGTTTTCATTTGTGGGAGTATCTTTGACAAATTTTGGGAGTTTTACGACTCTCTTAAAAATTTTTTTTTGACTCTCCTCCTTTATGCTTTGAGGCATGTCATATATTCTTTGACATTCTGAAAGAATTATCCTGTGAAATTAGTTGGGTGACCCTAACATTGAGAGGGAAGGAAAACTCCTTTAATAACCTTCTCAAAGTTTCGTTTTCCACTTTTTTATGGCGTCAATTTTAGCGGTTTATAATTCCTCAGGTTTTTAACTTAATGTGCATAGATTTTTGCAAAATAATTCTCAAAATTATTTTGAGTTTTTGTATTCTATCCTTGCTGCCCCTTTCTTGTGTGTGTGTCTCCTCACTCCTCTTCATTCCCTTTGTCCTCATTCCCCTCTCCCTTCGGTGATGTGGTCCTGGGCTCATCAGAACTGGCTCTGCCCTAGTCCGAGTCAGGAGTTTGCTCCCTCTTCATTCCTGGACAAGGGCTGAGGGCAAGGAACCTTCCCCATCTCCAGCACAGGCTCTGAAGAGTTCCATGTTGTCCTGTGGCTTCAACTGGAAGATTTTTCAAAGAAAACAGGAGTCCATGGGTATACTTACATTGCTCACGTTAAGAGCATTTGCTCTTGCCAGATTAATTTCTGGAGTATCTGGCATTATGTGGATGGATGTTTTATCCTTGTCCCAAACTTCTCTGTATTTTGGCTGTGGAAAGAACCAATAACAACAAGATTACTTGGAAATTTGCAATTTTGCCAGTTCCAGTACAGAAATTTCAACTTTTCTCATTCAAAATATTTTCATGTTAAGGCAATGGCTGCTGGATTCTTTTCACAAAATTCTTCAAATATGATAGAAAATCTCTAATACCTTTCAATAGTACTCTGAGCTTTTGTTTAGAATTGATAAGCATTAATAAAACAACCCTGTCATCCTCAGGTATTACAATCTTTGTTATCATCAGTATTATTATTTTCAATGAAGTAGATTACCAGGCTAACGATTTATCATTTATAGTACTAATTAAATTTTAACGTAGGGGAAAAAGATGACATACAATACTAATATTTTCAGCGTTTGATTTAGCGAGGACAACTTCAGGAGTGTCAACGATACTTGTGTACTTCAGTTTCACCACGGGTGTCCGATAGACACTGTCTCGTAGGATCTCCTGGGCATTTTTGACTCTCAATACTTCAGGAGACCCTTCTGGCAGCCAGCCAATGCCACGCAACCACTCCAAGTCAGCTTTGTAGATGGCCTGGGAAAGAAAACAAAGTTGTACATGAGCAGTTTTGATCGCCCACAAACAATAATACAAACAGCTCTTCCCCAAGAAATACAACCCACATTCACTAGCGGGCTCTATGTTGGAAACTACTTTATTTAAATAAAGCAAAAAAGGGTTCTTTGTGTTGAGGGATCATGCAAGATTGTTGACTAATAGATAAATCATCGTACTAGCCATGATGGACTTTTAAGTTATATCACCGAGTGCAACACACAGCAGTCCGAGTTATCTTTTCAAATTTCAAATCTGATGTTGCAACATGGTCCCTATTTCTTGCTTTTCCCTTGAGCTGAGAGTAAAGATCAAAACCTTTAGCATGGACCAGGTGGTGGACAATGTAATACCAATCCTAGTCTCTTTCTCCAGTCTTTTCTCACTCATTCTTCCTTTGACCTGTGTGTTGTGTCCACACCAACCCTTCAAAGGCCACTTAGTGGTTTGCGGGGAACAGCTGTTTCCACTGGTCATTCTACATGCGCCGTGTCCAGGGTCCTACTCGTGCAGTCAGTCCCTTCTGTCGGCTTCCCTCAGAGAAGTGTCCTTTGCCTCTCTCTTCGGAGTCCCAAGAATCGCCCCAGCATCACAGTCTCAAACGAACCTCTATTTCTTTGCTATTAGTGTGAGCTCCCTAAGATCTGGATTGCATGCGCTTGATCAGCATCATTAATGGATTTTTAAGAGGATAATTAAGAATGCAATTGCTTCTTCAACTGGGTTTTCTTTTCCCCAAACACCACCTTCCTTTGAACCAGATTTGCGTTTTATTGGTTATCTAAACCTGCTTCCTCGGACATAGGAAAATAACACTGCTTGGAATCGACTCGATGGCAGTGAGGTGTTGTTTTGTTTCTGGTGTGCCAAATACCAGTTATTTTATTTTAAAAAGGAGGACGGCTGACGCCACAGTTACGTGCTGAGCTGCGAATTGGAAAGTTGGCACTTCAAGCCTAACCAACAGCTCTGCTGGAGAAAGGACTCGGCCATTTGCCACTGTAAAGCTGATAGCCCAGGGAATTTAGGGGAGGGTTCTCTTCTGTCGTCTGGAAGTCACCATGAGTCAAAATCTACTGCATGGCACCTGACAGCAGCAAGGATTTTGTTAAAAAGCCATTGTTTGGCTGAGAAATGAACATTTTAAAAGGCACAGTAAGAACAGTGAAACTGTTGGGAAATCCCTGCATGAAAAAGAACAATGTGATGAATTTTAGCGATTGAGGTATGATGGGTGGGTTCTCAAAGAAGGCATTCTAGAAGATGACGGATGCTTTCCCGTTATGACCCTTTCAGATCCTGATTGATGTATGTGCCTTATTACAAAAAGGTTTCAGATTAACGAAGAGACTGTATTTCTCTAGAAACTGGCTTAAATCCACCACTTGACAATTCAAGTGATGGCATTCTTTCCTGTCCACAAACTTGCTGAGGCCACTGCTCCCGGGGCTTGTATTCTTCTACTCCAGTCCCCTAACCAACAAGGGGGAGAGCCTGCCTAGCGTCGTGAAACACACAACACGCACACACACAACACACACACACACACTCACACACACTCACACACACACACCCCTAAATGTATCTCTTTAAAATCACTTCAGCAGCGACCTCAGCTTTAGATCCATTTTAAACCTGTTTCAGTTTTTTAAAAAGGAAGGGGAAATACACATGGATTAAGCCCGTGATGAATCCCTCTGACCATGTGAATAGCCTTGCTATCGTGCAGAACGTATTGGAAAGTGGATTGTTTCAGGTAAAATTTAGCACTCTGACCTCCCTTATGATCCCATTTAAATTTTAAATTTGTTCTAATTTTTAATGTTTGCTACTTTCTATTCAATCGAGGTTTTTATCTCTTTTAGTTTGTTATTGCTTTAGTTGTTTATTTAAAAATGTTTTTCTTTATATGAAACCAAGAAAGGTAAATCTATAGAAACAATAACTGGATTAATGGTTACTTGGGGGTGTGACAGGGAAGGTTGAAGGGAAGTGGGGAGCTAATGAGGAGTAAAAGTAATGAAGAAAATATTTGAAAACGATTTTGGTGATGATTTTACAACTCTTCTTCATGCGCGCGAACTCTTGAATTATATGATGTGTGAATTATATGCCAATAAGACTGCTGGGAAAAAACGTATACATTGTAAGAAAGTATCCCTTAACCTTAAGAGCACCAAGTTCAGATCTTGAAAGGACGATATCCACTTTATACAAGAAATAAGAAACTGTGGGAAGAGATTGTGAATTAACCTAAGAGTCTTAGGGAAATTAATAAGTGGCATGTTGTGGAGACTTCATAAAGGAAACTGGTGCATTTTCAGAGCCCTGGTGGCATAGTGGTTGTGTGTTGGGCTGCTAACTGCAAGGTAAGTAGTTTGAAACACCAGCAACCCCTTTAGAGAAGGACCGGGCTTTCTACTCCCTAAAGAGCTCGTCTTGGGAACACATCAGGGGCAGTTCTCCTCGGCTCTGCAGGGTCGCTATGAGTCGGCACCGACTCCACGGCAGGGAATGAGTTTGGAGTGCATTTTGGAGCATGCCTGCGTGAAATCCGTTAGAGGAAGACAGCCCTCCCCTACCTAATTGAAGGGCCATAGAAATGCAAACACTGTCACACATCTACAGAAAAGTCCTCTAAGCAGCATTTTAAAAAATGAAATGGAAATTTTCAGCATAAACTCAGAAGGAAGGTAGGCAACTAATTAAAGTGCTAAAATACTAGAGTGACATGTTTGTGTAGGAGAGTGTGAGTTTTCCAAGGGTGGGAGGAACCAATCGCCCAGCAGAGCTATGGGAAACTTCCTTCCTGGGGGACAGGTCTCCACCGTAGGCCTCACTGGGCTCTCCCCACACAGTCGCTCACTTACATCACTCTGCAGGTCGTAGGCTTTCCTGGCTTGAATCACATCGTTCTGGTCCGGGAAGCAGGACCACTGGTGGAGGTACTGGCGATAGTCCACATTGCTTGCTAAGGCCTGGCCTTCTTTGGCAGCATTGATGGCCACTGTGTCCACGGGGATGCAGATTTTGGCTTTGTGGTCATTGTAGACCTTTTTGTACAGCCTGTCATTCTGCATTTTCAACACCTTGGCTGCCCAGACCAGCTTGGGATCTTCCTTGGCGCTGGGACATCCAATATAATGGCCTTTTTGTTTCTCATAAGTAGTTTTGTAAAGGTACTAGGAGACGTGAAAGGAAGAAAAATGAGTGGTTTTTTCCCAGACTCGCTTTTTTCTAGAGACCCTGCTCAGAATAATTCCATCTCCTTTTGATTATCTTTTCTTTGGACAGTTTGTTTTTAAATCTATATAGTAAGTTTCACACTCTCTGACACATTGACTTGTCTCTTAAATCTATTTCCACAAAAACATGGTGATAACCATTAAGGCAAGAGCTCTGGCTTTTGGATTATCCTCCCAATAAAGCCCTGTCTAGTGTTGTCCAAACCTTAGCAATTCCTTGACACCCATGCCTGTCTTATCATCAACAACTAACACGTCTTCCTCATCATTTACTTTGAATCAGCTTGATTCTTTGGCTTGGGTAAATTTAAAATTTCATTATACATTTGTAATACTATCTACATGGAAAAACGCCAGTATTTTTCTAGTGTACGTTAAAGAAAACACTTTCACGTTTAAAAAAAGAAAAAGCAACAACAAAACGTTAACCTTGTACTATATAAAACTATAACAGGAACCACCAGTAGTATGCAGGTCCCACTTTGGGGAAAAACAGAATTCTCTGTACCCATTAGATCTCCGTCATTGCTTGCAAATTAACTGGTACTGCCAAATATTGGGCACAAAATCAAAGTCTGTACTTAAATAGAGCAGAACCAAGCCCAGCGGGAGGGGGATCCTCAAATTGTTCTATGATGTTTTTCCTTGGATTGGGGGTTTTAAAACAGCACCCTCATTGCAATGACCTGAATTTTATTTAAACTACCTTAGGGATTGAATTAGAAATGAATGCATTATCAACCTCTCTTTGTCTACCAGTTAGTTTTGTTAAGACTGGGCCGTGCGGAGCTCTTACATCACTGGCAATATCCCTTGATGCCCTGGCCTGCTTGAATCCAATGGCATCGGCTCGGAAGTCATACCCTGTCATCTTGATGTCTTCCCAAGCTTGCTGATAGCGTTTCTGTAAATAGAGATTGCAATGCCAAAGTCAGTCTGAAGAGGGAGCTACACAGTGAGCATTATTGAAGTGCTCAAAGAGGGACATTAACAGTAACACTGAAAATCAATCTCACCAACTCTTAATAAAATAGGCTAAGCTTTATTCCTGTAAAATTTTGATGATGGTGAGTAAGTCTCTCACTCTAGTTTTTAAAAGGTGGATATAAATCATGTGAACCGCCAGGTGGGGGTGGGGTGGGGTGGGACACATTCATTGTTCAGCTTTTGAAAGGAAAAAGCAAGGATGGCCCAGTAATAAAGGAGGGCTAAGTACAAAGGGGCTTCAAACGCTCATAAGAAATGGAATGAAAGGAAAATAGTTTTTCTATGAATGTTTTGAGACCCTCTCGTATTGCTACACTTAGGTCGATGCATCTTTGTGTGGTGTTTTTGGCAAAATTATGGTGATTTTCCTTCCAACAAAGACAGAGACGCACATTTTTGGATTATAAATGCACATCTAGATGAGCACACACAGTAACTTAACAAAGCTGCATGGTTAGAAATGGATGGCAGGGAAATGCTTTGTACTAAACTCCCTAAGGAATATCTCCATAGAAGGCTCGTTTAGATAAACGGCATGTCGCAGAGTCAAAGCAGGCATAGTGTCTCACGTTGCTGATCTGTAATGCGTTGAGCTTGGACTGCAGCATCACTGGGGTGTCAGCCGGCACATTGACATTAGCCTTTTCTTTGTCCCACGCATCGCGGTACAATGGCTGGTTAAGTTAAAAAGAAAAACAGAGGCAGGGCTCATTAGCAAATAATTCAATTACCACACGGAATAAAATCAAAGGGAAACTTTAAAATTTGGGGGGGGGGGGGGATGTCCTCAGGTGTAAATATAGATCACATCTTGTCTCGATTTCAAAGGCGTCAGTTGTGCCCTCAACAAGGATATAGTGATGTGTGATAATATATAGATTCTAAAAAAAAGTTTTCCCATTGATCTACATTTAATCATCTGGCAGGTTAATTCAGTATTACAAGGAATTGATGATCCACATTGCTAATCAGCACTTGGTATTCTTACCCCCAACTGATTGCCAATTTGTCCAATCTGGGGTCTGCCTTGTACTTCTCATGATTTCATAGCAACAGAGATACGGAAATGTGACTGTGATATGAACTGGTAGGACAGTATTATAGCCAGGTTTTCATAATATGATCAAAGTGTGTATCGGGGTCCACGGAACATGAAGATGGCCAACCTTCCCTTGTGTTGACCAAAGAGTTATCAAAGTCCATGGAATGTGGGGATATTAGATTATAGATGATATGAAGGTGTATCTGGCTACACACTGGTGCCAGGCTGGGTGGGATTAGCAGCTTAAAGTTTACATTAGAATTCCTCTTGATGGGAACTTCAACTTGTGAGCCTGTCATCCTCCCAGCTCACCTCACTGATCTGTACAGCATTGATCTTTGCCCGGATGACTTCAGGGGGATCTGCAATGCTGGTGAATTTGAAGGCCTCGGGTCCTATACGATACAACCTTTCATTTATGAGATTCTGGGCATTCTTCACTCTCATCACTTCCACAGAGCCCTCTGGCAACCATCCGACACCCTTCATCCATTCCAGGTCTGCTTTGTACACATTCTGTGCGAAGGAGAACACACAGGGGGTGAGGCTAATGAACTGCACACTTCCTCTGCCTTATCAGCTGGGTGGCCCATCGTGTGAAATGCAAGAATTAATATTAAATGTTATCATTGGGAGTAACGTCTCTGATACACATCCCTGAGAGGTGGTCACACCCTTCAGCAGGGCTCACAAACAGCACACAATGTTGTTTCTATGCTCGGGTGAGCTTCTTTGCACACTTGCAGTCAATCTTTTAAGTACCACAAGGAATAGCATCTTTACGAATCTGAGGAGGAAAGGGGTTGTAGATGCATATATGAGGAAAAAGCATCTTTCCCTGTCTGTGTCCGATAGACTTTGAAAACCAACCTTTCCTTATGCTGACATCGGTTTCTGCAATTACGATAACTGGTTATGCAAACTTCATAGAGCTGCACACCTGGGGCTGGATATTTTCTACAGAACTAAATAGATTCAGTTTTAGCTTGATGAATCAGGGCCTGCTACCATGAGATGGATTCCTTCACAAGAGAAGCTGGTTGTTGTTTTCTTAAATTTTACTATCTTGAATTGTATGGACTATGTTAGCTTCAATTAAATCTACCAACCAGGACTCCCTGGGTGGTGCAAATGGTTAAGTGACTTCTAGCCCAAAGATTGGTGGTGTGAACCCCCCCCCCCCCCCCCCCCCCCCCCCTCCAGGCACTTCTGAAGGCACATCAGGAGCTCAGAAACCCTGGAGAGCATTTCTGCCCTGGACTCATCACTGTCTGTTTGCACTGGGCCCGTGGGAAATACAGAGGGAATGACACCCAGACAGGTCTCCCCTGAGCCTGGTGACAACATACGTACATCGCTCTGCAGTTCATAGGCTTTCTTCGCCTGGATCACATCATTCTGATCTGGCAGGCATGTCCACTGGTGAAGGTAATTGCGATAATCAATGTCGCTAACCAGGACCTGGCACTTCTTGGCCTGAACAATGGACATCATGTCCAATGGTGTATTGTGAATTCCTTTCGACTTCTCATAAGCTTTCTTATATTCTCTGTCACTCTGAATCTTGGCAGCATGTATTGACCACACCAACTTGGGATCATCTTGTAGACTACGGAAACCCACGTGGTGGCCCAGTTGCTTCCGGTAACCTTCTTTGTATTTGTACTGAAGTTGTGGGGTGGGGGAAAAAATAGAAAGACACATGAAAATAATTTATTAAGAGAACGTATCTTTAAATGTTTTCAGAACATTTCGTTAGGCTTATGGCAAATTAACTTAACACTGGCAATCGTATTTCAGGGTATGAATCAAATCAGGAGGGCAACAGTGTGACTGAAAAAGTAAGAACTGACATTTATTGAGCAACCCCTATGTACCAGATGCTGTTACGAGTGCTTCAGCTGTTTCAGGCTGATCCATGTGGGATTGCTGAGATTTGGGGGCCAACAGGGTTGACTAGAGGTAGTTATAATCCTGTGTCCTTCCATGGGGTGGTAACTATTATTAGTACATATTTTGATCGGAGATAACAAGGCACAGTGAAAGCAAGTATTGTATCGAAGGCTGCCTAGCAGGGAAGTGGTGAAATGTTAGGTCAGCCAACCTCCCATGAGAACCAAAGGTACCGCAGGGGAGGGAGAAATCAGACTTGTGGCTTTAGAGATGAGACAAGGAGGGTCCATGTTACAGGGGTGGGAGGATGCCAACCAAAGGCCAGTGGATGAGAGTTTCCATCTCCTGAGTGCCCCAGAGCTAGAGGAGGTGGGCTCTTTGTTGTTTCCAGAAGGGGTCAATTGGTACCTCAACAAGGAAAGAAGGAAGGCGGGAGGGAGAGAGGAAAGACTGAGGAGAAATAAAAATAAGGCAGGTGCTATGGACTAGTTATGGTTTCTAGCGATAGAAATGGAGAAGCAAATAATGGGTTACCTGAGATTCACTAAAAGAGAAAGAGAGAAGGGCGCAGAGGGAGGGGTCAAAGGCAGCTAAAAGATTTGGAGCTGGGAGCTTTGTCAGCTAGCTTAAAAAATTGTTACTCCCCCCCTCCCCCAAATTGTTAAGCCAGTGCTAACTGAGCTTTAAAAGGTTACTCAGAATCCCAGTGTACATACATGCATACATCCCAATGTAGTATGCTGCACACAAAACCCAAGTTAAATCTTAGGTTTCTCATGAAACTATTCTTATGTCTATGAAATATGTTAGAAACATTTGCGGGGGACCAAATGACATTTTAAAAATGTCCTAAATGTTGCCCCCAAATTTCAAATAGGCCCTCCATGATATTTTATGTATACTTTGAAAGAACCTGGAAACTATTTGCACGGATATGTCACCTACATTACCCTCGTGTTTACAGAGCCACTCAAAGAAATCGGAGGGCAGGGTTTCAGGACAAGACAAAGTTGACAAAGATGGCTCTCCATATTTGTTTCATGGATGAGAACAAAGGAAGGAACCAGAAGGAATCCACTGTACCTCGCTGGCGATCTCTCTCGAGGCTTTCGCGTGCGTGATTTCAATGGCATCCGCTCTGATATCGTAGCCTTTCTGCTTGGCCTCATCCCAGGCCTTTTGGTAGAGTTTCTATTGGAGAGAGGGACAGGTTTGTTGCCAAGCATTTAAAATGACGGCATATGCTTGGAGTATTCACAACATAAATGAAAACGTTTCTGTCAATGAAGCCAGCGTGAGGGAAAACATTTATTTTTCAGCGGTTGTTGTTTGGTTGGTCGGGGGTGGTTCGGATTGACAGTATAGAGTTGAACGTCTAGCCCTATTTAATGTATGAGGAGGGGAGGCATCCAAAACTGCACCACCGCATCGTAGAGGGAAACTCCGAATCAGCTGTGAAGTGGGGGCACGTGGGTGTGCCACGAGCTGGTGCTTTAGCTGAAAGTGGGCCGAGCAAACTAGATTCCCATTGGCGAGTTTGTCTAGACAGTGCTCCGTGATCCCCACCATGGGTCAGCACTCTCCCCATTCCCAGCCTGGATCCGATTTCTTTGCACCCAATTTTTTTTTTTACCCATCTCTTCATCTTTGCTTTTGGGCAAATGCTGTCCTTTCGATTTTGTGTGAGTGATTGTTCTAAGGAACACATTCCTCCGCTCAGTGTTACCCCCGTGTATTATATGGTTTGCCTGAGAGGTGGTGTCCAGGAATGGCTCCCATTTCACGTCAGAAGGCGTCTGAGTGTCTCACTCTCCAGGAATCCTCCTGTCTCTTGTCAGACTAAAAAGTCAGGCCTTTTGGGGGAATTTCACTTTTTCTTTTGGAATCTCACTTTTTGTTCTACATTTTTCTCCTACTCTGTCCAGGAAAGCTAGAGAACCTTTCATTACGATACTATTGATAAGATTTTAAAAAACCATTTTTTTGGCACTGACTACTCAGAGATCTCTGCTAATGGGATGCCATGTGGAAAGAATAGCTGTTTTGCTCTTTGGATGGAATTAAAACATGGCTTTGGGTGATTCTTCTTGTCTTGAGGTGTCACATAAGAAGGTCTTGGATCAATCAAAAGGTCTAAAGGACAAGAAAGACTGCTATGTCTTACCCTTTCTAGAGTAACAGGCACTTAAATGGTGATTTAATTATTCCCAATTAAAATATAATGAAGCTGAGATATACCATATGCACTCGAGTATAAGCTGAGGCACCTAATTTTACTACACAAAAAACTGGGGGGCTTTTTGAGCATAAAAAAATGTGCTGAAAACAAATGTACAAATGAGCTTGGCACAATGGATGTATATATGGATTGTGATAAGAGTTGTATGAGCCCCATAAAATGATTTTTAAAAGGGGAAAAAATAAGTGCTGAAAAAACTTGGCTTATACTCGAGTATATACAGTAAGACAATAACTTCCAGGATAAAAGGTGGCCTTAAAAGGTGGCTAATAGCATTGAAGTATCTCACCTCCTGCAGTCTAGGCACCCAGTTTTAGATCTAAATTAAAGTTAAAAGGGGAAATTTCTGTCCATATTACATTGGCAATGGTGGCTAAAAGAAAACATTTAACCCCCAAAGACATGAATACGTTTAAGGTATGTAAACCGTCCTTTAAACAAACTCCACAAATGGATAGATACTGTCCCAGAAGGGCAAGTACACTTCCTGTCTGTGCTCCTTACATTGCTGGCTTGCAGGGCATTGATCTGGGCCTGCAGCATGACCGGGGTGTCCGAAGGGATGCTGATGTTGGTCTTGTCTTTATTCCATGCTTCCTGATACAGCTTCTGTTAAGAGAAGGAAGATATTATTTTAGCATAGAGAATACCTATCTGAAACCTTAGGCCTGAGGGACTATTTAATTTGGAAAACATTTTTATATATGCAATACTATTTAATAGGTAGCACAATGCTAAATATTTTAGTGTTTAATACCCAGGGGGCTACCCTGAGTAGAAGTGGCTCAACAGGAACTAATAAGAGGCGTTAAATAGATATTTGTTTTCCCCGAGTTGGGACGGAGCAATATTTTTCATTTTAGTGTTTCAAAGTGCGTGTGCGTGTGCGCGTGTGCGTGTGCGTGCGTGTGTTAGGGGAAAGGCATGTTGAGACTCGTTAGATTTCAGCCTTTCACAGGCCTTCGCTAAGCTACTGGAGAGATTAAGAGTTGCTGCTGTCACTATAGCTTCTTCTGGGGAACAGGCGGCATCCTTGCTATGCTTGGAGGCACCACCTGAAAACAGACCCCAGCCAAAGGAAAGCTGGGTAGCAAGAGGGTCCTTACCCCACTCATTTGCAGAGAATTGGCTTTTGCCAGGACAACATCCGGGGTGTCAACAATGCAAGTAAATGTCAAGGCTTCTGGTCGCGTTCTGTAGAGTTTTTCATTCACAAGGTCCTGAGCGCCCTTCACTCTGGTCATTTCCACGGAGCCTTCTGGCATCCAGCCGATGCCGCGCAGCCACTCCAGGTCTGCTTTATACACATTCTACCAAGAAGTGGGACACAGCATTTGTTTGAAATGTTAGACACGCCATCTTTGCATTGGGAAATACAATATATGGGTTTGAGGGGCTGGCTGGTGGTTCCACAAATAAGGCCCGAGACTTTGACCTGGCTTGGGGGTGTTCAATTTTCTAACAGAAATTATTTGTAAAATCACCACTATTCCAACTACCCATCAATAATAATAAAATGATTATAATACTGAATTCCATGATAACTAGTTGATAGCTATAAAAATTACATCACTGAAAGTTAAGAAAGAACAAGTTGGCTGAATATCATTCTATTTGAACTCCTGAATTATTGATCCAAGGAAATCCTGGTTAGTGTTTTAAATCTAAGATAATGGTGGCTATTATGAGTATTATTTTAATCAGATGGGTGCTGCTTGTCTGAAGCTTTTTTTCCCTTTCTAGCAAGAATAAAATAGCCTATGAAAACAATCTGTCATCTAAGGCCGGAATAAAATACTTGCCCAAACCAGGGTTCTTTGTCTCTCTCTTGCTGTGCATGACATAACTCCTAAATACGGGCTAGACAAGAAGAATGGTGCCCCATGGTGTTACACAGTACACAACCTATGGACCTATCCACAGAGGCACGGCCGGGACAAATAACAAATCCGGTCCTTCCATTCCCCCCTTCCCAGAGTGCCAGGACTCAAATGGTTGCATACATCACTCTGTAGCTCGTAGGCCTTCTTGGCTTGGATAACGTCATTCTGATCAGGCAGGCACGTCCAGTTGTGCAGGTAGTTCCGATAATCTATGTCACTGACCAGAATCTGGCATTTCTTGGCCAGCAAGATGCCCAGCATGTCCACTGGGCTACTGTACTTGGTCTTCCACTTCTGGAAATCCTTCTTGTACTCCCTTTCACTCTGAATCTTCCCTGCATGGATGGCACACATAATCTTGGGGTCGTCTTCCACACTCTGCGCGCCGATGTGGTGGCCTCTCTGCTTCTCATAGGCTTCTTTGTATTTGTACTAAAATGCCAGAAATCGATGTTTAGAAATCGGCTGTAGGGTCACACACAGCTGACAATCACAGACAGCATGCACGTCCACACATACATGGACGAGAATTTCATATCGCAGACATTTTCGCATCTCAGCCATTTAAAAACACTTAGTGCTGACAAAGTCAAGGAGTTTGGGTCGAAAAAAGACTGTTTGGAAACTGATTATGGTGTCCATTGTATAATTGTACTGGATGTAATTGAAATATGGACTGATAGACGCATTCATTCCCAACTAATAAAAAGGAAAGAAAGAAAGCTGCAGACTAAAATAAACATTTGGTGCTTCCATAGAAGGAAATGCAGTGCAGTCGAGCAGCGTCACTGGCAGAAGCCCCTGGTGCAGTCACTCTAACCACAACGGAAAGGCTGAATTTTCATCTCCAAGATGAGACGTTCTCCCGTGACAGCCTCGGAAACGCACAGGGGCAGTGCCACTCTGTCGTATAGGGTCGCTATGAGTCAGCAGCGAAGTTTTCCCTTTTTTAAATGACAACAAAGAAAAATGGGTTGGGAAGGGGTGGAAAGTAGAGCTGAGGAATAAACGGGGAGCGCTTACAAAGGCGGGGCCCCAGTAATGGTGTGGGTTGTGGACCACTGTGAGGGCCACGGGGAGTCACTCGGAAGCTACTCACATCACTGGCGATGTCCCTGGAGGCCTTGGCACTTTTGATGGAAATAGCATCGGCTCTCAGGTCATAGTCTTTCATCTTTGATTCATCCCATCCCTTAGTGTAAAGTTTCTGGGAAGAGGATAACACACAACAGAGATGAAGGCATTTTAGAAAGCTAACGTAGCCAATTGCAAGGAGAGGATCGCTAAGGCAGAACAAAATGTTTCAGCTACTTCTAGAAAGATCTGGACAAGGAGGAGGAAATCACTTACGTTGCTGACATTGAGAGAATTGCTCTTGGCCAGCATGATTTCAGGAGTGTCTGGCATCACGTGGATGGAGGTTTTGTCGGTATCCCAGGCTTCTGTATATAAGTGCTGCAGGAGAGGGAAACCCCTTTATTAAAACCAACAATATGTACAGTCATTCTGAGTTAGTTAGTTTATTGTGCCAACCTGGCCGATAAACACATGTAGGGTTAATTGAAGGGTGGAAGGATAAATGGCTTGGTGAGTCTCGCATTTCGAGTTCTCAGGTCTCTTGCTTTGTGATGGTCGGACTAGGGTGGGTGCAGTTGCCTCAGCAGTTCCCTGCTTCAGCTTGCAAGGCTGACTTCCTGCAAGACATCCCCAAGGAGAAGCTGCATGGGCCTACCCCGATGCAGCCACGGGTGCTGGAGCACCCGTGTGGAGATCCCTGCCAGCGCTGAGATGCTTACACATTCACTGACTCGGCTTTCCTCCTGCAGTCGGCATCATCGCATCTGCTTTGTGAGATGGAGGAGGACTTGGTGGATTGTGTTCGACATATGGGTTAATTTTGGACTTACTGGGTTAGGATGTTTTCTTGATGCAACACTTAACGTGTATATAAAACTCTCTCTTATACATGAGTTTCTGTGGATTTGTTTCTCCAAAGATTTGATTCGAGGACTAATACATCCTCGAATCCAACTAAACCCATATACTTACATTTAATTGCAAAACTGCTCATTTCTAGGCTATTTGAAGGTGAGAGTAAAACAAGTCTATTTTAAAATCTGTATAGCGGTAGAGCCCTGGTGGTGTAGTGGTTACACATTGGACTGCCAACCACAAGGTGAGCAGTTCGAAACCACCAGCCAGTCCACAGGAGAAAGATGGGGATTTCTATTCCTGTAAAGAGCTGTAGCCTTGGAAACCCACAGGGGCAGCTCTATCCTGTCTTACAGGGTCATGGTGAGTCAGAACTGACTAAATGGCAGTGAGGTTGGTTTCGCTTTGATAGCAGTGTTGTAGCTAATCATCTCAGTGGTCCTTCTCACTCAGTGAATTTATAGCTTAAAAAGGCTTTCTAAAAAAGAAGCACGGTTACATAACTATAGTTTAGTAGATAACGCTAGACTTCACATTTAATCCCACATTCAAACCCAACTCCACTGTTTCAAGGCTACATGCTCTTGAGAAGAGCACTTCCTCTTCATATCCCTCATCTCTACCAGGGAGATATCCCTATCTTTCTTGTGGGGTAGTTTTGGAAGATTAGCAATCACAATGTAGAATAGATGTCTGTGTCACAGTGTTGGTGTTGCTAGGTCCCATAGAGTCAGTTTCAATGCATAGTAGGCACTCACCTATTCGATGTGCTTCCTATTGTTCTTATCGCTACTGTGTGGTATAATATAAAGTTAGCAGAAGAGTATATGCCAAACTCTATGGAGTTTGTTATCTCAGATCTGGTTCTTATTCTGCACTAAGCACTTGCAAGTGCTTGGAAGACTTCCTTGCAGGTGTGGCAAGAGTTCAGTTAAATTCAATGAAATGTTAGAACATGCATAATAAGGGCCTGCTCATTGAATAAAGAATTAGCCCATTATCAGTAAACAAATTGATAGAATGCTGGAGGGAACAGTGATCATTTTTCTTGGGTGAAGGAACCAAAAGCAGCCATAGAATCTCCTTTTCAAAAGCGGATTTCAGCAATCTAAGCGGGGGAGAGCATCCCAAGTGATTGCAATTGTTCACTACATCATATTGCCAGGAAACGCAGTTTCCTGGCATCAGAGTGAAATGAAAAATGGCTCTATATTCTTTACTGGGTGGACAGAGAGACCCAATGGCCCGAGTCTGCACTGCCTGGGAGAACGAACAGAAGAGGAGGTCACTACTGGGAAGTTTGTGCACCTTACCCACCCCGTGCTACATTTATGCATGTAGAGAAGCATAAAGGGGCAATTAGAATGCAAGCAGACGCTTTGTGGAAGGCTGGCATGAGAAGACGGCCCACTGACTCTCTTCTAGGAGGACCGTGCACACAGCATGAAGCTACGAATGGAAAGGTCGGCAGTTAAGAGCCCACCAGCCACTCTGGGAGAGAGATGAAGCCGTCTGTCTCAGGGAAGAGTTACAATCTCGGATGCCCGAAGGAGCATTTCCACTCTGTTCCATTGAGTCAGCAGGAAATGGAATCCCTTCAACAGCAATGGGATTCTGAGGAACCTTTAACATCCGGGGGACATGGAACTGGGCAATGGCAAGCAACTGGGGACTCACCTTGCTCATCGTCAGGGCATTGGCCTTTGCCAGGACAATTTCTGGAGTGTCTGTAATGCATGTGAACTTGAGCTGGTCTGCAGGCTGTCGGTACTTCCTGTCACTCAGGATTTCTCCAGCTCGCTTCACCTTCTCAACCTCGACAGAGCCAATGGGAACCCATCCGATGCCTCTCAGCCACTCAAGATCAGCCTTATAAATAGCCTGAAAATGAGATGATGTCAAAGGCTTTCAGAAATGACCTAGACAACCTGGTACCTGATTTTGATGGAACATCTACAGATGAGTGAATTCTGAACCTCATTTGTGTAAATTTTGGGGTCAGCCCATAGGGTTGCTTTAGTTTAGCTTAGCACAGATCAATAAATTCCCTCTATTAATATACGATTCCAGTAAGATCTCATCATGTTAGGGCAATCACAGCCCGCCTCCTGAAACCAAGTGTCTATTCTTGGGGTTGGTTGATCACCCCGTGCTGTGCGGGATTAACATTTGGGTTGGACTCATTTGGTTCCAATCTCTTTGGGCAGTGCCTTTCACAGCTTGTCATGTGACAAACGAAAAGATGAGCATGCCTTCCTGACCACAAGTTGAATTAGTGTGTTCCCCTCTGCCCTTGGGAAATCTTTTCAAAATAGATTGTGGGCAGAGCTACAGAAATGCAATATTTTAAATAAAAATAGCCCTGTATCTAATTATAATAACAAAAGCATTTTTGCAAGTCTAGCTTACATGTATCGATAAACCTACAAGGCTGAAACACTATGCCAATTGACTTTTTGAACTTTCTAAAGCACTAAGCTTAGAGCTGCCATTATAACCCAATTATAACGACATTTCAAATCACGCAGTTTCACCTACACACACTGCAAGAATCCAGGGTTGTTTCCAGTGCTGGCTGTGCTTTTATCATCACTGATTCTTGTCAAATTTTCTGGTGCCTTAGCTCCAGATAATTGGGGCGGGTAATAACTGTGAATGTACATTCATAACATTTTTGAGAATAAAGTAGTAATTAAAGTAAAAGGAAAAAAATTTAATAGCTTGTGCTCAATTACTAATAACGTAACAAATGATGTTGTCTTTCAATGTAGAAAGATTTTGCAATAAGGTTTGGTTGTCAGTATTCATACAATTTATAAAATGTTATACCTAAGTCATTTACAGTTATATTTATCACATATCGTTCTATGATTAAAATTTGTAATGAAAATGACATAGGATGCTGGAATGGGAGGAGGTCCATGGAGGTAGATGGGGTGACGCCAACCCTAGTTGACCCCACTGCTTCTAGCTTAAAGCATACAAACTCAGCTTATTGCTCCTATTCATCTTATTCTTCTTCCAAGGCACAAAAAGACTGGAGACCTTATTTTACACCATCAGACAGACACATGGCTGAAGAACAATCAACCCACTCACATCACTCTGGAGGTCATAGGCCTTCCGAGCGTGGATGACATCATTCTGGTCAGGCAGGCAGGTCCACTCATGGATGGGATGCTTGTAGTCGATGTCGCTAACAAGAATCTGGCACTTCTTGGCCAGCACCACCCCCAGCATGTCCACTGGGCTGGAGTACTTGGTCTTCCACTTCTCAAAGTCCTTCTTGTACTCCCGGTCACTCTGGATCTTGGCTGCATGCATGGACCACATAATCTTGGGGTCGTCCTGGATGTTCCGGGCCCCAATGTGGTGGCCGAGCTGCTTGCGATAGCCTTCCTTGTACTTGTACTGAAAATATGAAGTGGGTGTAAGTCTGATGATTAAGACACCTTATGTAGAGAACACTTCATAGTTTCACACATTGTTTCTTTTTGTTTCTCCACCATTCTTGTGAGGGAAGGTAATTTTATGAACCACACTTTATGAAATAGGAAGCTGAAGTTAAGTGATTTGTTCAAGGTCACATCACAAGTTGGTAGCTGGGCTGAGACTGAATACAGAGCTACTGGCTCCTAATATTTTTTCTCTTAGTATTAAGCAATATTTCCTGGTTTATATTTGCTTGCTTAAGTAAATATAAAACAAACACCCTGAGTATTTATGAATTTAAAAGACATGGCCTTTTCTTTGCTAAACAATGTTTTGATAATAAGAGTATTTTAAAACTGCATCCTTTGTTATTAGAATGTATTGTGAATTCCCAGGCTGAGTTAAATATGATCTAAATATGTATTTATATCAATGACCATTTAGTTTAGGGCCACTCCGTTATTAACTTTTCAATGCCCTTGAACTTTCAGTATGAGTTATCTATTGGGCTGAAGACTTTGTCTACTTGAAAATTTTAAGAATTTTTGGCATATTTCATGACATCATTGTTATAAGAATAAACCAAGAAAAAAATTGGTTTTCACATCAAATGATAAGACTACTAGGAGGCCAGGGACGAGGGAGGGGTGGGGCTGAGAGACCGGAGGAACAGGAAATTAGGGAGGGCCGAAGGAAGGATGGAAGCAGGTAGCGGGGACAGGTCCATATTTCTGAGGAGTTTAATGGATATTATTACTTGGATTTCAATTGTTAAGATGGACTGTCCAACCATATAGAACATGCTTCCTCAGAAACCTAAATAAATAAATGAAATGAAAGTGAAGGCTCACAGCCATAAAAAGAATCCTTCCGTCAGATTCCTTCCACGTCAGATCTAAATATTGGTCTGAGTGGCTGAAAAAAAAAAAAGGTAAAAGTAAAACTGAAGTGGCCTTGGAGTTCTCAGGGACAACTTCATCTCAAACATATTTTTAAAAATAATTTTAAAATTTAGTGTTTTGTACTATTATTTCATCTGCAACTTTGTATACATGGGAATGATGAAAGGAAATGGAAATGGATAGAAATGACTAAAGTTCTGGCAAGAAAAACTCTAGAACATGCCATTTGTCAACACCTTTGAAACGCCCCGCACAAAACCATCCACTTACGTCACTGGCGATCTCTCTGGAAGCCTTGGCTGCTTGGATTGGGATGGCGTCCAAACGCAAGTCACACCCTTCCTTCTTGGACTCCTCCAGGGCCAGTTTATAGAGTCTCTGGAGGAAAGAGAGTCGCAATCATTACTCCTTTCATAAAAGAAGAAAATCGCTACTCTTAAACTTTCTCCATCCGACATTGCAGGAATGATCCACCCGGTCAAATGTGAGAGTGGGTTTGTTGATCGCGTTCGCTCATAGGTGCTCATGGTAATCCAGGCACACGGCCTCAACTTTGGAATCTGCTCAGCTGATCGATTTGAGACATGGAAGGAATTCAGTATTTGGTTGTCAACATTTTATTTTGTCAGAAAAGAACACGTAGCAAACAAAGGCTCTCTCTCACCATCATACTGTAAAAGAAGGGCCATCTTACTACTAAAGAAGGAGAAAGACTCTTTCAAAGAGTCTTTAAAGAGGAACTCCGGTTTTATTCAAAACTCACTGTACTGCCCTTATTTCTTCCTCCTTTCGTTGTAGACTTGGCTTTAGAAGTCATTTTTCTAAGGAAAATGTGGGTCCTGATAAAGATGCCTAAAAAATTCTTTCAAATAAATGGTAACCAGAGCATCTTAAAGCATCAGGATACCACAGGGCCCAATGCCACAGTGAGTTTCAGCTCAGGGCCTGGTTCATGACCAGGAAATGATGGAGGGAGGAGGGGTGGGAGGAGGGGGCAGAGGGGGCGGAGTAGAGACACAGAACCATATTTATGAGGCGTTTAATGGATGCTATTATTTGGATTTTAATTTTAATAACCACCATCTTAATGGTTGTTATTAATGGTTAAAGTTGTTGCATCAAGGAAATAGACGCAATACCCACATCAAGAGAGACTTCCAGAGTATCAGGTTGATCACATTTCTCCTTACACATTCCAGTCTCGGAGCTCTCGACTATAGAGACCGGCAGACTTCTGGACCTGCCCCATAGTCTAAAGGGCAATTGTCGGGGCTGCGCGCTCTCTCTGACAGTGTTAGTTTGGAGCATGTGCGATGCATGCCTTCATACATTTCACTTCAAAAACAGTTACTGACAGTAGTTCATTTTGGCCTTTCTGTTCTTTGCAAAATGAATTTACTCACCTCACTGTAGTTGATTCGGTTGAGTTTGGCTAGCATGATTTCTGGTGTATCAGGCATGACATGAATTGATTTCTTGTCATTGTCCCAGGCTTCAGTGTATAAGCGCTAAAAAAAGAGCAGAGGGTATATAAGCGCTAAGAAAAGAGCAGAGGAAGATTGTTGTGTTGTTTGCAGATATTTTACTTCTGTGGTTTAAACGTCAGTCACTTCTCTTTGTCGACATAAAACGATCTAAGATGCATTACTACTCCCAGGAGTTAATATTTAGCACACTATTTCACTACTGTTTCTATTAAAAAAGTTAGCAGGTTTGAAAAGCATACCTGGGTTGCAGTGTGTGATATCTAGCTAGGAAAGTATTGTGAAATAATTGAATAACTACAGCACATAGTAATCTCACCACCAGTTTACTGTTTGGAAAGATCACTAAGTCACTGTGCTATTATAAATATTATTACGTAATGGCAGTATTATAAAAACGCATTTTAAAATGTATGGCAAATTTTATAGCAAGCTTTAAACTGTAGTACCATTTTCTTCCTGGATGGATGCCTGAATCTCCTGACGAGGACAGAGGACTCACCTTATTCATGGTGATAGCATTGTTCTTGGCCAGCACCTGCTCTGGAGAGTCCGTTATACTTGTGAACTTGAGTTTGTCTGGTCGTTGACGGTAGATATTATCACTCAGTATCTCTGTGGCCCTCTTGGCTTTCACAACTTCCAAGGAACCAATAGGAACCCAGCCAATGCCCTTCATCCATTCCAGGTCTGCCTTATACAAATTCTGCAAGTCAACAGAGAAGATCCCATTTGTTCATCAGTTCCACAAACATGGTCACAGAGGGGACCATTTCAGATGAACACAATGTCTTGGAGAACAGGTGACGTTAGGAGCATAAAGTTAATCATGCAATACTTCATAAACATGATGGAACACTGAGCAGCTCTTGGTACAGAAGGTTGTACTAAGAATGAAAACTTTTTTAAAAAGTACAAGTCCTTAAGGATATGACACACTGGTGACACAGGGGCAGCGTTTCTCAACCTTAGAAAGCAGTTCCGAGCAGGACCACACACGTAGACCCCTACTCTGGGCGCCACATAAGCTCCAGCGGGGGTCCTCAAAATCCCAGCGTATCAAGTGTATGAAAGAAAGGCAGCAGTGTAAACATAATGTATCCCTCCTTTCATGTACTTCCAGTAACGGCAAAGGTAGTCATGGTCAAGACGACGCTGGCTCACTGCGACCCCATCTGTCAGAGTAGAATTGTGCTCCATAGGATTTTCAGGCCAAACTCAAGACCATTGAGTTGACTCCAACTCCTAACGACCTCCTAGGACGGGGCGAACTGCCTGCTGTGAGTTTCTGAGACTGTGACTCTCTACGGGAGTAGAACTTACTCCCAGTTTCTCACTAAAACATGCTCACTGTGATCAAACCCACCACGCTGCCCCACAGGAGAAAGACCTGGTGGTCTACTGTGATCAAGATCACAACCTAGAAAACCTCATGCTAGAAGTTGAAAATAGACCTGACAGCACCTAACAACAACAACAACAAGACTTCCCTCCACTGCCAACACTCATTTTCTGCCCCTTTAACAAAAAGCTATGGAGTACATTTTTTTTTGAGTACTTTTTAAAAGACAATGTTTCCTGTAACTCAGAGAACAGATACCTGAAGTTTAGGAAGATTTATTAAAAACCACAACAAAAACCGCAACAAAACTCAACTGTGCTCCAGTGTTTTTAATATCTGGCTTGTTGGAAGTAGATTGCCAGATCCCTTGTCTGTGGAACTCTGGGTAAAGTTGAACCACCACATTTTGGTAATGTTAAAAATTTTCACCACCCAGGGACTACAGGAAGATATATACTTGTGTATCAGATAATCGGTACTTTTTATCCCTCTTTACCTATAATTTCTGGGGGAAGAAAGCAAATAGAAAAAGACTGCTGTGTTTCCAATGGGAAATAATTTTCAACTATTCAATTACAGATTACTTAAAAATAATACAAATAAAGACATGGCACTAGTTTCAACATGGTCATGTCTCCTCTCTGTGCGTAACATGCAAAAGCAGCCCCATGGACACTCACGTCACTCTGGAGATCATAGGCTTTCCGCGCCTGAATGACGTCATTCTGGTCGGGCAGGCAGGTCCACTCATGCAGGGGATGCTTGTAGTCCACGTCGCTGACCAAGGTTTGACATTTTTTGGCTAACACGATACCGAGCATGTCCACTGGGCTGCTGTACCTTGTCTTATATTTCTCAAATTCCTTCTTATACTCACGGTCACTCTGCACTTTGGCAATGTGGAGGGACCACATTATCTTGGGGTCATCATGCACGGCCCGGGCGCCAATGTGGTGGCCCAGTTGCTTACGATAAGCTTCTTTGTATTTGTACTGGAAAAAATAATTCAGTAAGTGGGGAGGGAGGACCATGGAATGTTCCTCGCTAGTCTTTCCTTGGTGAAATCTTTCTACAAAATATTTAAGACAAAAAGGGTGTTTCATAAAACTTGCTGTTGTCATGCAATCCACTGATACACACTTACTACTAAAAAGAGAAGTGTTTTGCTAATATGCACATTACCACATGGTACCTCCCAAAAGATGCTTTTATATTATGCTAGAGAATTACATATTAACAAAAAGTGGTTAAAAAGTGCATCTGGATAGAGTGAACTCAATGTCTGTGGTAAACCACGAGAATGTCTCAAGAATCCATCCTCTGTGCGAACCCAGCTGACAACACCCCCGAGGGATAAGTGTACCCAGTTAATGCCTTTTCTTTTCCACGGGCATTCTGAGAAATAATCTCACCTCTGCAATTATCTGAGAAACGTACTTGTAAAACAGGCAAATTTGGGGAGGGAGGGGAAAAATGAGGACCTAATGTCGGGGGTTTAAATGGAGAGAAAATGTTTTGAGAAACGATGTACAAATGCGCTTTACACAATTGATGTGTGTATGGATTGGGATAACAGTTGTATGAGCCCCTAATAAAATGTTAAAAAAAAAAAAAAAAGAATCAGAAACAAACAAAAAAAAAAAACAGGCAAATTTGCCACTCTCAGATTAATGTTTACATTGTCTAGGAATTGGATGTCTTTGTTTTTAAGGCAAGGACGTATTACTTTTGTGGGCCCCATAGCAAGGAGCCTTTTAGCCTTTGTCTATTATATGTCCTTCTTCCAATGATGGAGGAGCATTTCAGAAGGCTTGTTTCATTACTTTCCTGGACTGTATGCTTTGAGTGTTATCATGAGACAAGCTCACGAGGCTTCATCAGGGCCCCACATGTGTTCATATGACTTTAATCAAGGTGCTCCCTCTTGGCGAGTAAAGACCAAAAGGCGAGCGTCAAGGGAACAGCAGTCCTTCCTAGGCTTCAGCCTATGATGCAGTGATTTGAGGCAAGGCATCTACACACTGACCCAGAGTCTCGGTTTCTTTGCTTATGCAATGAAGGGAGATACAATGGTAATGATTAAAGTCAGATCCACCTATATTCTAGTAATGTGATTTTTATGCAGAGGACTGGCCTGATGGTAACAAGTATTTAGGATTTGATTAGCTCTTACATCACTGGCAATATCCCGGGAGGCCTTCGCAGCCACAATTGGAATGGCGTCACTTCTCAAATCATAACCTTCTTTCTTGGCTTCTTCCATGGCTTGGCGATAGAGGCTCTGAGAAAAGAAACAGTGGCTCTTAGACCTAGCACTCGATACACTCATTCTACAAATGCATTTTTGGTCAAAGGAAAACTATTTGGATTGCAGAACTACTTTAGTATATTCAGTCTTAAATTAAAAAAAAGTGTATCGCATTCTATTTATTTAAACTTTTTATTTAAATCAAAATGTCAAATTCAGCAGGTCTTAACACCATAATTCTCTCAGCACAATTCCTTGTAGATTTAACACATGAAATAAATAACTCTCAAATCATCCTGCTAGTATTGTATTCTCTTCATTTATTGATTTTGTAAACTGCTGGAAATTGCTGGAGGATGTAGGGGTGATATAGAAAATACCAAAAAATTACGACATATTTATGTGTGGGAGCACAATAACTCAATATACCATTTTGTGTGTGTGTGTGTGTGTGTGTGTGTGTGTGTGTGTCCTGAGGAAAACCTCACCATGGTTCAGTTTCTGTGGTCAGAACCAAAGCACAGCAAAACTGGAGCAAGGGTCCTATCAGAGCAGAGTTTGAGAACTGCTGCGTTGAACAAATCATTGATGCCAGGGGTTTGCAGCCCTGTGAGCTCTTGAAAATTTTGACCAACTCTGCATTCTCGACAATGTAGATTTAAAAATAACTATCATTACTATTCATCTCGAGATTCAATATATTTAACAAAATAAACATACACCTTGAGAAATATTTATAAAATTGTATTTATTGTTATTGAGGATGTACACACAAGTCACTTACCAATTCAGCAGTTTCCACCTGTACTATTTAGTGACTTTGATTACGTTCTTCAAGCTGTGTCACCATTCTCAGCCTACTTTTTCTTTGAGAGTGAGTACCTATATTAACAAAATTCACTGCCCTAGAAAGGTCCTATGTAATCTTGCAAGTTGCTGCTGCCAAGTCAATCCCAGATAGATAGCTCTTAAAATAATAACACTCAAGGTGTGTGTGTGTGTGTGTATTATATATATATATATATGTATATATATATATATAATTACTATTTAAGCTAAATCCTGGTTTTAAGACAACTTCATGAACTTTGTTTGTTTAAGGTTTAAAGATGATCACAGGGCAACAGGTTCAGGAGTTGATCCAAGCTTCATGATTCTGGGAAGTCTTGAGTCCATGAGATTTTAAAATTCTGTTCCACATTTCCTTCCCTTTTAATCAACATTCTCCCATGGATTCTTTTATCAAAATGTTCATTAATGGTAGCTGGGCAGTTTTAAAGATAAAAAAGTAAAAATTACTGGATCTTTTAATGAGACTTTTGTAATGTATAGGAATTCATTACTTTCATTTTGCCTTCATTAAAAAAGGTTTGGTGGACACTGATGACTTTAACTATGTCTGGCAGAGGTTTACTTGTTTGTTTAATGCTCCAGACATGCTGCTGGGGTAGATGGACCTTCCTTCCTTTTCATTTTTAATAAAATGTTTATGTACTATTTATTCAAATATTTTCATATCTTTTTATAATTTAAAGTGTTTATTTTAAAACTTACATGCCCAGAGATGAGTTACAAAAATAGTATGATGAGCACCTAGTCACCCTTCAGTTCAGATCACTAATTATTAACATTCCTTCCATCATTGCCGTACTGTCTGATCTGTTGCTTCGTGTGTGTGTACATGTGCATTCTGCTTCTTCTTACTGATGTTATTGTTTCCAGTTGTTGAACCAACTAAGAGTAAATTGTAGGCATCACTTTCACCCTCAAATATTTCAGCATGTATCGCCTAGGAAGAGGGGTAGCTTTGCAACCATACTAAATGTATTAAGCTCAGGAAAATAGTATTAATACAATGCTATTATCTAATAGAAGGGCTTTTGGTGCCACATTTGTTAAATTCGCATTGGACTGCTAACTGAAAGGTTGGTGGTTCTAAATCACCCTGTGCTTCTGGAGGGATTTACAAGCTCAGAACATCTATGGAGCAATTCTACTCTGCCTTATAGGTTGGCTATAAGTCAAAATTGACTAGAATTATATATAGATATATATTCTATTATAGAGTGACTATTCAAAGCTTTTCCTTTGCTCTGTCTTCCTTTTTGAAGTAAAGGAAGAGTGATTTTCAGGGAAGAAATGGCCCGTAACTTGAACCGCATGGGAATTCTCAGGGAGAATTTTTAGAAAAGAGCACATAAACAAGTTGAAGCTATGTAAATCTGTTCAAAAGAATCCATTCTGGAAGAATACCCTTTGGAAAATCTTGTAACCTCAAGGGACTTCATCTTTACACTCCCGAACAGGTAAACAACAACTAAACCAAACTTACAGACAAGGAGTCAATTCCAACCCATAGTAACATGCCCCCGTGGCTTTCCAACACTCTAGATCATTATGGGATAGAAAGCTTCATCATTCTTCCATGGAGAGACTGCTGGTTTCAAACTGCGGATCTTGGGATTAGCAGCCCAATGCATAGCCCACTATGCCACCTGGGAGCCCTGCAATCAGTTTGTGATTGAATCACTTCATCTTTAACTTCAAATTTCTCTTCCTCTGTAAAAAAATTATTGAAGTGGTGCAAGCAGGCACAGTACCAGAGAATGGTTGTGGGAGAGAATTTAGAAGCCACTTACGGCTTTTGGGAGGAAATGATGGCTTTAAATTTTATTTCTAATTTATGCTGTTCAGCATACTCTCTACTGTTGAGGCTATGTAGAGAAATCTTAAATGTAAGGAAATTCTTTAGAAGTGTGCCAAAAGTACTTAAAATAAATTGTTTCACCTTTATGCCCTATTCACAATTTAGACTAAATAAAGACTGTTGGAAGAGGATCTAGGTTTTAATATGTGACAGAGATGCTTACTTTTGAACTATCTTATGGGATCTTAGTATGCGCTTAACATATGGATCACTACAATGCGACAGTACGGAATGAAAAAACCACCGGTAATGGGCTAAGAAGAGATTCAAACAGAGCATTCTGAAATCAAGTTTTCAGAAGATAGCTCCTAGGCCATTTTAAAAGAAAGTAAATCCAACCAAAATGGTTAGAATTAAACAAGTAAATAAAAAGTCCATTTTCTTCTCTGATCCTTCTGACCAAATGTAACAATATTTCATAATCTGACCTAATTTAACAAAAGAGAGTGGCTTAAAAGCTTTATCACAGTCTGCCGCAGAAAGGAGCGCAGTGCACCTGGGTGGGATGGGCCTCCCGGGAGAAGCTAATCCCACAGAGAAGCTCTGTGACCAAGAGCTTCCCCTATGGCGCCTTCAAAAATGCATGGAGCCGAGGCCAATCGAATATTTGTGATCAGGCTTGTCCCTGGGTCTGTTTTATAATCCTGGAGAAAGGGAAATTATACCCTTTTCATTCCACTTGTCATGGTTATTGATATTACCAAGCTTCCCCTGTAGGCCAACTTCATTACAGCAAGCCTAACTAATATGGAGAAAAGGACAGAGATGGTAAGGCATGAAAATGAATACTTAAATTTTCTGTCTCAACGTGAAGGAAAACCAGTCCTTATGATCCCCCCATGTTTTCCTTTTTAAATGAAGACACGCACCCGTGTAAGAGAACAATCGCCTTCTGCAGCAAACCAGATACACACTTAACTTTGGGGCAAATGGGCAAACAAGTGTTTCTGCAGGGGGATCGCAAAGCTGCAAAGATGATGCACTGACCGAGGCTGCCTGCAGTGCATGAAGGAACCACATTTATTGACCTCCGGAAA